GATCTCACCAAAGCGAGTCACTCAAAATTCAATCAGTGAATAAGATTTGATTACATGACAGATTCATCCACAAAGATTCGGATGTGTTCTATTCATGGCTATTATCATGTCATTAACAACAAGTCCTTTCTCATCAACCACTAATTTGGTTGATGTTTCTTTTCCACTCTTTATTTGAATTAAGGACTTTAACACCAAAAAAATGAATCCACCCGATCATCCGTCATCCTTGGATTCGGAACGATCAAAAACAACAACAATGAGTCATCATTGTTCTTCTCATCCTCTTTCGGGTGTTGTCGTATTGGATATGAGTCGACTCTATCCAGGACCTTTGTGTGCTCAATTGTTGGCTGATTTGGGAGCGAATGTGATTAAAATTGAAGATGAGAAGAGTGGAGGTGATCCGACGAGACATTTTCCTCCCACCATGAAAGAGTAGGTGCAGATTGTTTGTTGTTGTTGTTGTGATCACATGAGATGATTACTCATTATGATTTGAATGATGATTTTCTGTTTTCATGGATTGGACTATATTTCGAAATTTGTATGTTGAAAAAAGAGAGGAAAAGGAACAAGAATTGTCAAAGAATAGTTCTTATCTGTTTCATTGTTTTAATAGAAACAAAAAATCAATTTCATTGGATTTTAAACGAAAAGATATTTCACAAATTTTGAAAAAAATTATATTGAAAAACGATTTAATGGAAGAGATTGTTCATTCTGAAAACCATATAGTAGTGAGGGTATTAATTGATAGTGCTCGACCTGGAAAATTAGAACAATTGTTGGGAATTCAACATGTGAGTGAATTATGGGAATGGAATCCTGCACTTGTAATTTGTCGAGTTTCTGCATTTGGACAAGAGGTGAAAAAATATGGAGATATTCCAGCTCATGATATGAATACTGTTGGAGCTGCTGGTAAGTGAAATAGAGGATATTTTGATCTGTTGACATTATGTGAATGATTTTCTGATCTTATTATTTTTCCATTTTTAGGAATTTTCAACATTATGGGAGATGTTTCCGAAAAGAATGAAGAATTGAAACCTCTTCCTATTCAACTCTCAGATGTCATGACTGGTTACAGCGCTGCCTTACAAGTGACTGCTCTCATTCGAAAATTGGAATCCATTCTTCAAAATTCAAATTTCACACACAATGAAAAAATTACATTACTGAAACAAGTGAATCGACAAATTGATGTCTCCATGTTTGATAACGCCATTGCTACGATTCAAATGCCACTCACTCTACAACTCAATGGATACGAAGAAATGGCATCCAATGGCAAGCATGTGTTAGCTGGTTCCATATTAGGATATAACATTTATCCAACTAAGGAAGGATTATTATCAGTTGGATGTTTGGAACCACATTTTTGGAAAGGTTTTCTCACTGTATTATCTCAATATGAAAACCCGACTTGCAATCATGCATCTCGACACAAAACGCTTTCTGAAGAATCATTCAATCCACAAAAAGACTCGAAAAAATCACAACCAACATCAACAACAACTCTTTTGCCACCTCTCACCAAATATTCATCTCCTCAATATTTATTTTCCAATGATGCAACCTTGAAAACACGAATTACAAAAATACTCGCCACAAAAACAGCATTCGAATGGGAAGAAATTTTCACACAATGTGCGAGTTCAGCAAAATTGCCAATCACTAAAATTCGAAGATTGAATGAAATTGATCGAGAATTATTGAGAGAACGAAATATGATTGCGAATATGGATAAGAAGAAACAATTAATTGTAAAGAATGCATTGGATTATTCTTCCTTATTGAAAACTAGCGAAACGAATGAATCTACTTCCCAACGAGGACCTCAATTAGGAGAACACAACGATCTATTCCTCTCCAAGTTGTAAATTATTTTGTAAATTGTTAAATGGGATGGGACCAAACTGTCTACACAAAACACAATAACACAACGGATCTCCGCTGCACAGCGCGGTTGTTGTGAACTGTTCTGACTACAAATGAAGATGATTTTATTCTTGTTGAAGAATAAACATGTGTCAAAACGGTTGAGCACAAAACCATGTTGGAGAGCAGCGTGTGACCTAGTCCTTACAAAAAAAAACAAAAAAAATTTACATTTTCGTTCACAAGAGAATGCAACTCTTCCAATCACTTCCTAAAGAGTCTTTCCAACAAGAAACGTTGAACTATCTCCATTCGGTTCCGATTCGAAAACACATTACAGCAGCAACAACCGATGATTGCATTGTCGTCTATCAAGCGTATAACGCGGAAATTGCACAACATGCAGTGAAACATCAGACGTTTGAAAATTGTTCGAAATTTAGCATGAAACGAATGACTTGGATCAAGACCAATTATTTGTGGATGATGTATCGAAGTGAGTATGCGACCAGTAAAAATCAAGAGCGAATTTTGGCATTATTTATTGATAGGGATTATTTTGAAAATTCCATATTAGGTGAGTTTAATGAATGTCAATTTAAAATGTTTCAAATGGTCGAACATGTACATTTATTTAGGAAATGGAATTTGTAGTTATTTCTACCATGGATTAGATAAAGTCTACGGAAGCGAAGAAGAATGGAAGAAATTGATGGATGAGCAAAAAAACGCCAAAACCTGCGTTCGAGTGCAATGGGATCCCTATCATGATCCAGCTGGAAATAAGTTGGGAGAAGTGAGAGCCATTCAGATTGGATTGAAGGGTGACATTGTAAAAGAAATGCTCTCTCAAAAGAAAGTTAAAAAGATTGAAGATATTACCACCTATGTTCGGGAAGAGCATGAACATTGGAAGCAAACGGGAGATATTACTATTCCAGTGGAGAGATTAATTGAGATTGAGAATGAGGAAATTAAAAGTAAATTGGCAATTATGAATTGAAGAATATTCAACTAGGCCAACCTCTTAAATATTTAACAATGATACTACTGTTTAATCTGAGTAAGCACAATGTTAATAAATCATGTAATTGGTGCATTTTGATCGACATTCTCTACATGACAGGATCTGTCGAAAAAGCAACTGCTTCCAGATCACTTTGCAAAGTATCCACCAACGCAGAAAATTGTACACTCGATTGCAGATTATCCACTGAAATGCCTTTCTTGAGTAGAGTTTGTGTAATCTCATTCACAAGCCCATCATAATAAGCTGATGGATTTTTCAAGTGTCTCTTCAATAAATTAATTGCTCTCAAATCATGAGCCAAAATATCATAATAATCAATTGGTCCAAAAGTACTACCATCCAATGAAGTAATTCCAGTATTGTAAGCACTTCGTTGACCTGCTTCAATAGCACGAACAATATGAAAGTGAACTCTGGCAGCAAGAGCAACATAACTAATCATATCAATGGAACAGAATGGATACAAATCAGTATAAGTGGTGTATGTAATTCGCAAAGCACAATCCTCAATGATATCTTTTCGTTGTCCAGCTTTTGTGAGAATTGCAATTTTCAATCCATTGGAAATAAACAAGTAGACTATTTCAATTTTTGACAACGGTTTTGATTCTGCTGTTTTGGACAAGATGTTACTTGTTTGTGCATACATTAATTTAGTCAATGTATCAATCACATCCAACATGTCTTGATAATTGTTTTCTGTAATTTCCTGTGAAACGAGATGATGAAATTCGGGAGGAAGTGTCTGTCCTGTGGAAAGAGTATACATTTGTGGAATTTGCTTAATCATGTCCATCACATTTCCTGAATAGTCGTTTGGAATTCTATTGTTGCATGAGGATATTTTGGCATAAGCATGAGCTTTTTTGAGAAGTTGAGCGCGAGTATCCATGACGTTTTCACTTGCTAGACATTCCAAATAAAATTCACAACATTGCAAGAAAAATTTAGCTGTCTTCAAATCATGATTCAATGACTCAACAAATGACATGTAACAAAAAGCAGTGGCCACATAAAAATTGGAGTGGTGACAAAACACAGTTGACAATGCATGCCGTGCTTCAAGCATAGCTGTAGTAGCTTCTTCAATTGTTCCACATCTTTGTTCAACAAGTGCTCGAATTACAGCAAATAAGACTTCAACTTCTCTCTTATTTGGAGTTCCAGGAGGACAGTTTTGGTCATCCAAATAATATTCCAATTCTTCCCGAGAAATCAATGGAAAATCACCAGCCAAACATGTGAAATAAATATCCACAATTTTAGATTTTGCACGATTTGGAATGATCGGCATATATGGAGACAAACTTGATGCCTTTGATCGATTCTTCTTTTTCTTTTTTTTCTTTTGTTGTGGCTGCGTGGTATTTCTCTTTGGAGTTCGATAGGTACATTCAACTCCTCTTGAAACGCACTTTGAACATGATGGCAAACGCTTGTCACACTTTTTGTGTAATTGCCTATTTCACAATCAATGCATACTTGAGATAGTTGGCATGCAAAAAAACACTTACCGACATTGCACGCAGGCAATTGGATGAAATTCACATTCATCTTCTGGATTGGAATTTACATCACACTCATCGGAACTGTCTGAATCTTCAGACAAATTTTGATGGATTGGTGGCAATATTCCACTGTAAAATATTTGTTGTGAAGAATGTGTCGTTTGTGGATTGCTAGGAGTGATCGAAAGATTATTTGGCTGAGGTGATGAATACATGTATTGTTGTTGATGAGGTGATGATTGATTCGATGATGAAGGTACGTGGGAGGTCATGATGACATTTGTTGGTAGAGACGCCGCTTGTTGATTGGCTATATCAACACCTCCATGTGCGCTGTCACTTGTCATGAGAGACAACAAAGATGACGAAGAGGACGATCCCGATGAGTACGAGGTTGAATGAACCAAATTGGTTACAGTACCCAAATTATTGTGCATGGTATTTGTCATTGCATTATTGTCATTGATTGAACTTGGAGAGTTTGATGTTGCCACATTCGAGAGGTGATGAACATGGAATTGAAGTGGTTTGTTGTTGGTATTGCTCTTAGACTTCTGACTAGATGTGTTGTTGTTTGCATTGTTTGGATTAACATTAATCATTTGATGATGCATGCCGCTACTCGAGTTCATGTAATTGACATTATTCCACGACGAGGTTATTTCGTTAGAATCATTCATGTTGTTGTTGTTGTATAAACCAGGATTCTTGTCAGCTAAATTGGTAGCACTCAGCATCTTACATTTGTGCATGTGGTTGTGGTAATTTGTTTGACTTGTATTTGAAAGCATCATTCGTTGACGTTGTAACATCATATCCAACAAACTTGACGAACTATTGTTATTGCTACTCGCCATAGTAGGGTTCGTGTTGTTTTGGATATTTGCCGACAAAGACGACGAGGGATAATTATTTTGTTGTTGATGCATCAAATTGGAGTGACTGGATTTTTGTTCCATCAAGTGTTGATGATGTTGATTCGTGTTGCCACTTGTCACCACAAAAGGATTGTCTTGATGTTGTGATAGCGATATCCCTCCTTGATGGGGAATGGTTTGTGTCATTGATTGAAACGATGAGACCTCTGTATTGGTTGGAGGAATGCTGTTGGATATCTCTGTTTTCATTGGCAGTGACCACTGCGAGGAGAGAGTACTGGATGAAATACCATGACAAGTGCTATTGTAACTTCCACCATGCAAGGTGGAGTTCATGTTTGTGGTTAAATTCATCGCACATTGTTGAGAGGAGGAAGAAGAAGATGGATTGTTGGGCATGTCAGGAATCGCTTGCAAAGATCTCCAGCGAAAAGATTGAATTTCTGTTAGGTTGCACACACAAGAATTGAGAATCTTCAACAAGTGAGGATGATTCAGAGAAACAATTTTTTGAAAGGCTGAATGACAAAAATCCACATTCGTGTTGGTGATGAAGGGTCTTCGAGCAATCCAACATTCTTTTGTCTACAAAAGTAGTGGTAATATGCGATTGAGGATGAGAGGACGTTTTGGGTGGAGTAATCCGAGATAGCGGTCAAATGCCATTTCAGTGTTTCAACGACGCATGCATCGTCTCTTTTCAACACAATACACATATGATTGGGATGTTTCAAGAGCTTTTCCACATTTTAAATTTGAATTATTGCCTGAAACTGGATGTTTTGGTGTGATGTTTGAAATACGGGTGCAAATTTCGAAAAGTTTGTTGTAACATAGTACTTGAAGTCAACAGAACAGAGAGGGAATGAATTCATTCACATCATGGAATGTGCAGTTTGTTTCATTCACAGGGCTACCTCCTCGCAAGAGAAGAAACACTCTTTCAATGCGATACGATCTTTGCAGTAAGATGCATCAAACACTAAACAAGGTCGCTACTTTGCAAAACCTTATCTGCAAAGATCGAACATGTATGAAAACTCCAAATTGTCACCGCTTGTCAAATGTGGCCTCTCCGTTCGAAAACCATTCCAATTCTGACAATTTTAAAAGGCCGATTACACCGCTTCCATTCTTCATGCTAGATATTGATACCAACTCGAATCCTCGTTCACACGTTTCATGTACTCTTGCTGAAGAAGGGAATCAATCGCTCTTTTGATATCTACAGTTGTGGGTTTAAAGGTTGGAGAAAGTTGTGTGAGTAACAAGTTCACTAGTTGCTTGTGCTCAATGAGTTTTCGTGATTTCAAAATTCTTACAATGGCTGCTTGGATCACATATCTTCGATCTTCTTGAATTTGAGAATAAATTTTGTCATTCAATGGGTGGTCCCTTCCAGCTTCGTTGTATTGCTTGACCGTATATTGGAAGAGAGCAATTTTGTTTTTCTTGCTTTTGAAATTCTCGTTAACGCGTACAATGGATGTTTGGTAGAGAGTGTTGCCTGTCAAATGTTCAACGTCAAACAACTTTAAAGAATGCAAGGGTGTGAATACTTGAACGAATTCATCAAAATCCAGACCAGTCTCATCCATTAATTGTTGAACCGTCCATTTGATTGTCGACACATCCTCTGACGTGGATTCACTGGAGGATCCATGTCTTTTGTTGAATGGAAGTAACAATGCAAGTTGAACCATTGAAACATTAAAGTCATAGTAAGGTGAGGATGAGTTCATGAAATGTCCTCTCACCACTCCTTTGGATAGGATATTAAGCCATGTTAAATGTCTGCCCGAGTGTAGATTTGCATAGAACTTGGAAAAATCATTCATACGGTCAACCAACATGTGAGGCACAACAAACTTGTTGTTTTTGCTTGGAGAGGTGAGAGAAGATACTTGCAATGGCCAATATCCTCGAGTTAAAACTGTGCAAGAAAGGTAAATCTTGTGTGAGTTGGTCGAACTGGACTTTTCATTTTCGTGTTGCTTGAATTGTTCATTTAAACTTCTTGCGACGTCCAAGTCATTGATCACTGTACGAGTTGTTATTAGCATGCTGACACATCTACAAATCACTTACTTGTTTGAATTTTGTAAATATGGCTAAATGGACAAACTTTTTTCAACTTGTTGATCATTGACAACTCGATTTCTTCTTGTGAGGTGTCGCTTTCTGATGAAAAAATTAGCAGTCTTCTCGAAAGAAAGACCTTGTAAAATTGAACAAAAACGTCCATGTCATTCAACAATGTGCAAATCATTACACAACGATCTAAGCCATCTTCAAAATTATAGTCATCTAAGGAACTAGCTGGAAGGGAGGTTTTAGAAGTGGCTTTCAGCAAATGATTGGTATATCTCGCCAAACTCTCAGCACTTCGTATGCTTGGATTCGTTTGAAACACAGGCGGATTATTGAAAATTTCTTTAAATGCCTTATCTTTCGTCACATTCAGATCAAAGTTACCTCCAAAAATGTTCTTTACAATGCTTCCAAATTTCAAATAATTTTCAATAAAAATTTCAATGAATAGAATTGAGTCAATGTCATCTTCAGCGCAGTTTTCAAATTTAGATTTGAGCTCATTTGAAATGTCCATCAACACTTTGTCTCGCAGCTTGCTTGAAAGAACATTAAATGCATTTTTGCGTGATGATTTCATGATTACTTTGAAAAGTAATTCCAATTCTTGTTTAAAACGTTCAACATCATTCATCCAGTGATCAATCTCACTAAACAAGAAATCCTTTGATGAGGACATGGATTGAGTTGGTGGCATGGTCCTTGGAGATCGTTCAACAATGTCACTCACATCTATATTCATTCCTTCCACAAAAATATCAACGCAAATTTTGGTGAGCACATCTTTAGAGCTTGCGTTGATATAGTGTAAAATTATTTTGTTGCTTTCTTGTTCAATGCGTGTTAGGGTATGCTTGATATAGGTGAGCACTGCTTTATCCGAGGATATCAGCAACTCTGATATGAGAGATGAAACTTCGTTAGTATAATATTCAACAGTTTTCTGAAGAAGGAATCGTTCGAAATCGATTGTGTAGAAGAGGGGATAATATGCAACTCGTTTTTTGGATCCTCCTTTGCAGTGATCATTTTGAACTTCAGAAAATAGAGAGTTGTAATAATCTCCGATAAATGGTTGAAGTCTAGAGTTGAATCCATCCATAGAGATTAAATGTAAATATTTGACATTGAAATAGTAATCTTCCTCAATGTCCAAACTTAAATCTACCAAGGATCTTATTACTGATTTAAGAATTGGATAATATTCATCTACCGATGAGGATAGTTGTGATTTTGATCTCATTGGCGAGTGTACATTCCTGTCCTTTTCAATTTCTTGCAAAATAGTATGGTACAGCAGGTATTTGTCGAAATAGACTACCTCTTCCAATAATGGTGAATTTTCATCCAGGTCTTGTGTGCGTGGGCTTTCCTTACTACTCGTTGAATAAAAATGTCGGTCAATATTTACAATATCCTGAATATTCTTTTGTGAATTGCTGTCACACCTCTCAAAAAATAATTCTCTCCAAAGTAAGTAGCATGTGGTTCTTGTGTGGCAGACATGATTACTTTCGCTAAAATGTTTGATCAATTTCAAATTCAAAAGGGAAGTGGTGTTTTTGTCAGAAAAAGTACTACTGTACGACTGTCGGTTAGTCTTTCGTTTACACTCCATGTCGTTTATCCAATCTGTATTTAAGTAATGAAATACCTTGTTAATAAATTCACATGAAATCACAAAATTTTTCCAACACTCCGAGTATTGTTTCAACATTGCAATTCCTCTCAGATCTTTTAATCTTTTCCCAATTAATTCTTCTTGAATAAATCTAGAAATTAATTTCTTAAACATAAAATAGAGAGTATAGGGTTGAATGTCACCTTCTTGCGGAATAACAGTTGCATGAGGATTTAATGCCAAAAGAGTCTGGTCAGGTAATTCATAGCATTGGCATGTACTGAGTTTGTACACAATATTATGCAATTGTTCAATGTCGTGAGTTAATTTTGCTTTCAATGGATCACACAAAATTTTCCACAAATCTCTTTCCAAGCTTTCCCACAAGGTACTAAAATTAACAGCTTTGATGGCAAGCGAAGGTCTACTTCTCCTCATCCCAAGTCCCGAATTTCTACTACTCTTTCCACTACGACTACTTCCGATATTATTCCGAGAGTTTACTCCACTACTAGTAGTATTCGTCTGTTGTTGTTGATGAACACCATTTAAATTATTATTTCTTTGATGAACGTCATTTTCAGCTGTGGAAGAGCACGATCTTCTTCTTTCACTCATTTTTTACAAAGCAGCCTTTGTTGATGATGTTGAGGAGCCTTTTATTGTTAGGAGCAAAAGAGTCGTATGGGTGTTGCTTGTTCATCATTATTGATGAGCAGGCAGTCGATTTAGGAAGACAAACAACGAAAGGGAGAACCAGTAATTTCTTCCTTGTTGAAAAGAAAAAAATGAAAAAGCTCATTCTTTCTTCATCAGCAATCAACACATGTGGTTCTTTTATGGTGAAGCATACGTTCTTCTATCAGGATCATGTTCGTGCTGCATCTTACTTGTTGAAACCGGAACAGCTCTCTACTACGTCTTCATATTTTAACAAATTTCTCACGTCCACTCAAGAAGAGTTGTTCGGGATGAGAAATTTCTCTACAGCTCGAACCATTTTGATTGACTCCAATAGAGATGATAATTATCATCAAAATAATAACAAAACAAAAGGAAAACTCGGATATACATCCAATAATGATGAATCACGGAAACTCAGAGATCGTACTGAACATGAACGAAAGAAAGTTCCTCCCCAACATTACACCCATCAAAAATTGCAAGATAATTGGCCAATGTTCAAGGAAGAACAATTCGGAAAAGATGACATTCGATTCAATAACGCAAATAGAAATAGATCGAGGCGTCATCATCAAGGTCATCAATTTAATAGAATGCACAACAAGCCACAACAAGAACGAAACAAATCTGAGGTAGAGACATCAGTGGAGAATGAAGTTTCTTCTATGGTGTCCAAACTTCTTTCACGGGCAAATGTCGAACAAACATCAGTGGTTAAGTATAAGGAATGGAAATATCCAACATTCACCATGAAATGCCCTGACAACTTTGACTTTACGTTTGCGTCAACAAATGAGAATGAGACCACTTTAATGGCAACACCTTTAGAAGAAGAAAAGGTAGAAAAGTTTAAATCCTTCATGTTCAATTATGTGAAAAAGAATTCGAATTTTAAATCCAAGAGCACATCTATGAATTATGAATTTTTGTTCGACATATTCTGCTTAGAATTGCTAGAGCGAGCCAAAACTCACCCAGAAATTGCAACTCTAGTCGACGAAGTTCTCAAATTTCATCCTGAAAAAATTGTTAGGAGAAACCAAAAAACCGCTGACACTTCTGTATTCTCTAACGTGCTTAATAACGAATTCATGCTTTATGATTTTAACAAAATCACCGAGATAGCATTGGGAAACAGTAATTTTTCAACAGAGTTTTCCAAATGGTTCAACAGTTTCATACAGCAAAGATATCCTTCTGACTTTAAATTATACGTAGAGGCTCTTCGCTGCTGTGACATGACTAACCCATTTAAATTTTACAAGAACTCGATACCTTTCGGAAGAAAGGTGATATATCACCTAGGACCAACAAACTCCGGAAAAACCCATGCTGCCCTTACTGCTTTATCCGCTGCTGAAAATGGGGTTTATTGCGGACCTTTGAGATTACTTGCCCAAGAGGTTTTCACAAAGATGAACACAAAATATGGATGTAAATGTAATCTATTAACAGGTCAAGAAAAAAGAATAATTCCTGGAGCAAATCATGTTGCATGTACAGTTGAAATGGCAGATTTAAATGAAATTTATGATGTTGCCGTAATTGATGAAATTCAAATGATTGAGGATAATCAACGAGGTTCTGCTTGGACAAGAGCTCTTTTAGGTTTGAAAGCAAGAGAAATTCATGTATGTGGTGATGGAAGTGCGTTGGAGATTGTCAAGAACTTGGTTTTTGGTGATAGCACCAAATCATCCGAAGATACTGGTATTGAAGTTATTGAGGTTGACAATCCTAATCACATTCCAACAGAAGATGAAACGGCCACAGGAGAAAATCTTTATCACTATCATCAGCCGGTTGCAGCTGACAAGCTTCTCTACTTTTCAAAGCCAGGAGTATCAGACACTTTAGAAGTGGTACCATATACTCGAATGAAGCCGTTAGAAATTTGCTCAGAATCATTACATGGAGACGTGAAGAACATTAGAGATTTTGATTGCATTGTTACCTTCTCCAGGAACGAAATTTATGAAATCAAGAAACTAATTGAAGTGAATACCGGTATTAAGTGCTGTGTTATTTATGGAGCGTTACCTCCTGAAGTACGTACTGATCAGGCAGAACTGTTTAATGAAAGCGCTGATAAAGAACAAGATGAATTTGGCAATAGGGACTACTCGGTACTAGTTGCTAGTGATGCCGTTGGTATGGGACTTAACTTGAATATTAAGCGGGTCATATTCTACAAAATGACTAAATATGACAATACCAAACAATCAACTTCTCCTCTTGAACCATCTTTGGTGAAGCAAATTGCAGGAAGAGCTGGACGTAGAGGTTTTCACGAGCATGGACAGGTCACAACCTTTTTTGACTCTGATTTAGAGTACCTTCATCAGTGCATGAACGCACCAAACACACCCATTGAACAAGCTGGAATATTTCCTGAGTGGTCTCAAATCGAACAATTCGCAAAGGTTTACAAAAATCTTCCGGATAATGATGAAGGGTGCGGAATTTCTATCAGAGACGTGTTGGAAAAATTCTTTTCTTTGAGCAAAATCCACAAAAACTTTTTCTTTTGTGATGTTCAACAGGCATTAGAATTGGCAGCTGCAATTGATGAGGCTGGTCCCAACATTACACTGAAACAAAAATTTGATTTTGTGAATGCTCCAGTTCCTGGTTTTGATAGAGCTAAAGAGATGCATATACGTTATGTTGAAGATTTTTCCAATCCAAAAATTGCAACTGTTCCATTACATATTGACTTGGGAAATATTTTAAGGATTTTGGATAAAATTCGAGAAAAATCAAAAACTGAGACAAAAATTCAAAACACTTACAATTCAGTTGGTATTTACCTTCAAGAGGCTTTGAAAAACATTGAATTTTATCACAGAATGATTGACTTGTATATGTGGCTAGCGAACAAATACCCATTGAGATTTGATAAGGATGCTGCAGAACAAGCAAGAGAGGTTTTGATGAGTGAATTAACAGAGTCCCTTTTCAATCAAACAGAGGAGAACAAGAAACTAAAATCCATTGGCATGCTTAAAGAAAATGCTCCAAGAGCATTCGAGTATGTCTCTTTCAAGAGAACCAATCAACAGCAACCCCTCGATCCAAGTTTACAAGGCCTTAAACGTGTCATGATTGGCGGAAAAGAGTACTTGAGAAAGAATCAATACCAAGTATTGACCCTCGATGGAAAACAAACAAGAGACATTGTCGATGTCATGGCTGACAGTCTTGGAAAAGATGATGAGTAAAGACAAGTGTTCATTCTTTAAAGAACTTTATGCTCTTTACTTTGTGAATGGTCATTCCTGCACCATCGCTAATTTGAACAAATATATCGCTTGTCAATCCAAACGAAGAAGCACGGGTTTCAAAAAGAGCGGTCGTCATGCAAGACGAAAAAACAATTCAAAAAATGTCAAACAGTAGCACCCACTGGGAACGTTCTATTTTCGATATCTCTGAGTTTGATGATGAAGTTGTAGTGGTAGGAGGAAGCAGTCCGCTTGTGCTTCTGACATTCTTGATCTCTGTCTGTATCGTACTCTGTTTCATTGTGTATATATTATACAAAAAACACAAAACAAGTGACACAACATCCGAACAGGCACAACCGACAAGTGACAGCAACCACCCCACGCCAACAACACCAACGCTGAACAACCCCCATTTCTCGCCAGCATCCATCTACCACAAGGTCCTTCACAACAGTTTATTCAATAACGACTCCAATACCATCACCCCCGAACAATTATTGGCCGTTCGGAGAGAAATTATGAATTTCGATGCAGCCACTTCGCAGTCCTCAGAGTTGGCGGGAAATCTCGTAACCACAACAACCGTAAAAAATGTGGACAGTGTTGAGGTGAGAAATGCCTCGCTTTCAACTCCACCTGGAAGGAATAGTATGATGTTGAAAAGCTCGAATACTCGGAAGGAAGGCTCCATAGCATCATCACCAGGAAGTTTTTCGAGTAGTAATAATAATAATAGAATGGACGACTTGAGTTTTGTTGAAGAGAACAAGCGACCCAGTGCTGATCGGGGATTGATCGATGATGAACATGATAGTATAGAGAGCATCACGACAAGTACTATTTTTAGAGGAGATGATGAGCAAGCAACGCGTTCAAATTCGGAACCGAATTCTGAATCCATGAGAAAATATAGAGCCTCAATGAGAATTGCAATGGAACATCAAGCAAATGCAGTGGGAGAATTGGAATCTCTCATTGAACATATGATTACGACAAAACATAATTATGGAGAATCTTTACAATTTTTATTGATTAACTTTGCTGTAAAAATTTATCACCTGCTTGTTGCTCTCAGAGTTGACTACAACAAACTCAAGAATGACTATTCAAAAATGGTGACTGTATTGAAAGATACTTTCACACAATATACACATGAAAGTGCAAAAGCTCTCATGAACAATAACTCTCTAATTGTTAAATTAGAGAGCCAATTAGAACAGAAAGAATTGAAGGCAGAGACGTTGAATAATCAACTCACGTTTAAAGAAAAAGAAATTGATATTCTTAAAGAATCGCTTTCAACCAAACAAATAGAAATCAACAATTTACAACAACAGCTCGCAGACGAAAGAAATAGAGTATTTGATCGAATTGAAAAAAGTAGTTTGGAATCTTCCAAGTTTCATGAGCAAAACAAAGAGCTGATTGAATCTCATCGAAAGCAATTGTCAGATTTGGAAAATATGTATCAATCTAAAATCTATTCTCTTCAACAGTCTCAACAAAAAATAAGCTTCGACAATGAACATTTGCAGAAATCGTTAAGTAATACAGAAAATCGCCTGAAAGATTTGCAGGAACAATGCAATGTATTCAAGAAGGAAAGAGATGACTCAAATACATCTCTTCAAGCTGCTTCTGAAAATATTCGTAATCTCGAGTCCCAGTTGAAGGAAACAAAGCAAGAAAAGGACAAGGAAATTTCATTAATAACTTCCAAATTAGAATCTGTTCAACAACTGTTTTTACAGAACCAAAAAGTTATCAAAGATTTGGAAGAACTCAAAAACAGTCATTCACAATCAAAATTAACCCATCAAGAAGAGCACGCTCTTGAGCTGAATAGGTTAAGCCAACAAATTACTGAAAAAGAGGAGATTATAAAAGGTCAGAACATTCAATGCAGGTCACTGGAAGAGAAAGTGTTGCAATTAACATCTGATTTTAAGCAAAAGACTGTAGAGTTGGAAGAGACAAACAAAAAGTTGAGCTGGTTGCAACAAGAGTTGGAAAATTACAGCAAGTCGTCAAAGGATCTTGCATCAAAATGTGAGGAAAAAGATCTTACAATCGCCAAGCTCAACAATGAAATCAAGTTTCAAAATGAAAAACTCCAATATGAAATGGACAAACGAAAGACAGAAAATAATGAGAAGGATGGCAAACTTCACGACCTTCAAAATAGAGTTCAAACCTTGGAGACTGAGCTAAGAGATTTCACTCACAAGTACGAAAATTCTAGAATGAAACTAGAACTCTCCGAAAAGAAAAACGAAGAGTTGACTTTGGATCAAAACCGAATGATAGAAGAGTATAACAAACAGAAAAAAGAACTGCAAGCAGAAGTAGAAAAATTGAATGAAAAACTTCACCAAGGTTTGGAAAAGAATCTTTCTATAGAGAGAGCACACTTAGAAAAAGTTCAAGAGTTGAAGGACAAAATTGTGAATCTCGAAATTGAAAATCGTGCACTTGTTAGCCAATTACAAGAAACGAGAAAATCTCTTGAAAATTTGTGTTCACAAAAAGAACAAACGACCAAAACATTAGAAGAGAGAAAAACTGAGATAAGCCAAAATCTGTCAGAAATTCAAGAGAAGAACAGACAATTGGAAAAGTTGAATAAGAAGCTCTCTAAGAAAGATCACGAGATTAGTTCTCTAAAATCTGAAAAAGAAATATTAAAACAGAACCTCAAAGAGAAGGAAATTCTCCTTAAAGAAAATGAGTCTAAACTGGTGTCGGTACAAAATGAAATCGAAGAAAAAGAGAAAAATATGAAAACATTGCTCAAAGAGCGAGAAAAGCAGGAAAACGCTATTGAACAGTTAAATAGAGAACTTCTAACTCTGACCCAGACCAATATTCAGTCACAAAAGGATTTAGAACAATTGAACAATGTTATTCGTGAAAAAGAGGAACTAATAACCAAGAAGCAACAATCAATCACAGAGTTGGAGAAGCAGAATAACAATTTTACTCAAAAAGAGAAAAAACTTTCTGCCTCTGTTGAAAACCAAAAATTGGAAAATGAAAATCTAAAACATCAGTTAGAAAAGAAAGAAGAAGACCTCAAGAATTTGAAAGATGAGCTCTTGAAGTCCACAACGAGCACGCACGCTCTGGAACAAATTAAAATTGAAATGGAGAAGAAACTAGTTGAAAACTCCAAAGAAATGGAAAATGCTCAACAGATGTTGAAACAAGTACAAGAAGAGCATGAAAAACTGACATCGACTCACCAAAACGCTCTCAAAGATATTGAAAATTTGAATATTCAGGTTCAAGAGTTAAAGTCAATGTTAGACACGAAAATACAAGCCATCTCTAACTTGGAAAAGACAAATAGCGATTTAACTGAGAAACACGAAACTGAAACGTCGACATTCAAGACAAAAAAACAAGAAATATTGACACAAGTTGAGCAGCAGAAAAAAGAAATTGAAATTCTGAAGAATAATTTGTACAACAAAGAATCAGCTCTCAATCAAGCAATTGAGCAACAACGCTCGCTCGAAAACTCAAAAACTCAATTAGAGCAACAAGTTGAAACGTTGTCTCATGATCTACAAAATGTGAAAGAATCCCTTGCTACTTTACGAAGAGAGAACGAGAGATTAATTACTCAGCATCAGAATTCTCTAGCGGAGTTCGAAGAGCACAAGAATAGCGCAGAAAAGCAAATACATGAGCTATCCAAAGAGAAGGACAGTTTCGCTTATGAGATCAGCGAACTGAAACACAAATTACACGAAAGAGAGGAGCTATTCAAATACCAAGAAAATCATCACAAAGAATTACAAGAAAAGGTTATGACCACCACAGTCGAGTTGACATCCATAACCAAAGATTATGAACACAATCAACAACAAGTTATTCGTTTAGAAAAAGAGTTGGAACAGCTCAAAAATGAAAAGAATGAACTATCCAAGACAATCAACGAAAAAGAGAAAGCGTTTGAGAAACAAAATTCCGAGCTACTGATACTCCAAGAAAAGCTTGCCAATTCTAGGAAGGAGATTGAAACTCTCAAAAAGGAAGTCAATTCGAAGGATACGAAACTTTATGAGACTTCTGAAAGAGTTCGAAAATTGGAGTTGGATCTCAAAGAGGCACAAAACAAATTGGATACAGCTTCAAAACAAATGGAAGCAGAAAAAAGTGCTCACTGTGAAATGCTACAAAAACAAAAAATAGAGCTCGAAAATGAAATTTCTAACTTAACAGAGCAATTTAACAAACAAAAAACAGATATGGACAAGAATCTAAATGATTTGTTACAAAAGAATGACACTTTGAAGAAAGAAAGATCTGAAAAAGAAATTCAGCTGCACAATCAGGATAAAAAGATCAAAGAACTTCAACAATCATTGCAAGCTCTCGAAAAACAAGTCTCTGAAACAACCTTAGAATACGACAATTTACAAAAATTGTATGAAGAGGAGAAGAGCAAGTACTCTCAACTTTTAAACAGCAATACTGCTCAGCTACAAAAGATTATAGAACAGATGGAGAAAGAAAAAGAGTCTCACAATCATGAACTTCAACTAGTTAAACAAGAATTTAAAGATTTGGAGCAAAAATTGCAACAAGAAAAGGATGATCTCAAGGAACAGCTTAATACATCATCTGTGGAACTAAAATCGAAGCACCAAGAATTAGAGTCACAAAATATGAAAACGAAAATGCTCCAAGAAGAACTTGAAAAACGCAAGTCTGAAGTGGAAGAGCTGCAAGAACAACGCAAAAGTCAACTACAAGATTATTCCAAGTTAACACAAGAGTTGACAGCTATGAAAGAGAACCATCACGAGAAAACTTTAGAGCATGAACAGTTCAAGAGCATCATCGAGAATAACCTAAAGCAAAAAGAAACCCAAATAACTCAACTTGAAACACAGATGAATGCAAAGAGCCAAGAAATTTCAGAGTTGACTCAGACTCTAAAGTCGAAGAATGAAGATATTTTCTCCATGCGTGGCTTGTTAACAGATATTGGTCGAAAATTGAACTTTAATCTCCAAACGAATGCAAAAGAAGTTTCATCCTTTAATGCTCTTTTAGGTGAAATTGATAAGACTCTAGAGTCTCAAAAAGTATTGTCACAACAGTTGCAAGAAGCTGAAAAAGCGGTTGCATCTACGAAACAAGAGCTTGAGAAAAGTAACAAGAAGATCAAAAAAGCAATGGATAAACAGAGTACACTCAAGCAACAACATGACAATTTAAACGAACAACACAAGAAACTTTTAGAGAATGAATCTACATTGAAAAAGGATTTGGAAGAGAGCAGCAAGCAAATCAGCGACCTTAATAACCACATCACCACTCTTCATAGCAAGATTAAGAACTTGGAAAACGCTCTTTCCATAGCCAATCAAGAGAAGAACGCATTACATCAAGAAATGGAGAAGAAAGGAAGAGAAAACGCAGAACTCCTCAATGCAGAAAGAGAGAAAAACAACAAGGAGGTTGAAAAGTCTAAAAACCTAATGCAAGAGCTTGTAAGCAGCAAACAAGAGCTTGGAAAGGCATCGAAAGAACTTGCTACCTTGCGTGAAAACAATGACCAGTTGAATGAATCTTTACACGTTGCCGAATCAAATTCTTCCAGAAACATTGATGAGCTAAAGAAACGCTTGAAAGAAAGAGACGATACGATTCAACACCTAGAAGAGGAAAAGCAAACAACTGTTGCCAACTATATTTCACAACTTCAGGGAGTACAAGAGGGTAAAAATCTGGCAGAAGTTAGACTGGAAAAACTGGAAGAACTAAACCATCAAAACCTCTTAACGATCAACAATCTCAAAAAAGAACGCGATGATTTGAAACAAGATGTTGCACAACTCAAAGTGGAAATTAGCACTCTAGAAAACAAACCCTTCGTTTGTGAAAAATGTGGATCTTTGGAGAAGAAATTGCATGACCATGAGGAACTTCTAAAGAAAGTCACTCTCGAAAAGGAGCAAGAAAAGAGTGTGCACGCCAAAGCAACTATTTCTGCAATTCAACACTTTGAACAGCGTCTCAACTCTGAAATTTCTCAAAGATATCAATCCTATGAAACAAAGATCACTTCTCTCTCAACCAAACTGAACATTTTGGAGAAAAAATTGTCTCTGCTCAAGAAGCCCAAAGAACAACAGAAGGAAGAAATTATTCCACCAAGTACACCAAAGAAGGATGAGCATGATGCTGCCATAAAATTCATGGAAATGATGACAGAAGTCGGATTCACCTATGCAAAAGAAGACTATGACAGAATGAGAGGAAAATCAATTTTTTCACTTCTCAGAACAGGCAACAAATTGTCAGGTGAAAATTCTGAACAATTTTATTCTCAAGAATTAGATTTTGCTGAGAAAGCTCTCTCCAAATGGTTGGTGCAATTAGTGAAGGATGATTTCCAACAAGATTTATCGCTATATCAAAATTTAATGGATGGTGTCATTTTGTGTAAATATGCCAACACATTATTCCCAGAAATTGAACCATGTAAAAAGTTAAAAGAAGAAATCAAAAACAATCAAGACGCCATTGGAAATATTGGACTTTACTCTAAATTCTGTAAGGATGTTGGAATTCAATCTGTGTTCGAATATGACTCGCTAGAAGATGCATCCAATGACAAAAAGAATATCAAAGAAAGAAGTTTAATTGTTAGCAATTTAGCATTACTGTTCGAGCTTTCTGTCAGGTGCTCAGATCCAAAAAAGAGAAGCAAGTATTTGAAGTCTCTTCAACAACATGCAAGCCATTATGCTGAATCACCAATCTCTGCACGAGGAGGTGGTCTTTCAGCAAGAAGAACCAATAGCTTCAAATTATCCAATCTTCCCATTATTGCCATGACAAGTGTCGAAGCAGCCAATGATGGTTCCATAACAGACAGAAAAAAGAATATTGAAAGCATCAGATCGAGTCGTTCCAAAGCATTTGAGCATGCCACATCAAAGACTAAAGTATCAGGCGCTGAAGAAGAAAAATACTTTAAGGAAACACTGACACACATGTTAGAACTTCCATCAAGAGATGTGAAATTGTTGGATTTAATTGAGGATGGAACCATGTTATGTCTATTGATGAACAAATATTATGGAGACAATACGTGTAAATTCAAGAAACGCCCAAACAAGTTTGAGAAGAGTGGAAATATTACAAACTTCAACAATGCTGTCCACAAATTAATTCCTACCTCTGCCAACACCACTTGCACACATGAAGAAATTGAAAAGGGATCGATGAAAAATGTATTTTCAATGCTACGTTTTGTCATTGATGATTTAGAAAAGCAAGGCAGAATTTCACTTGCTCCCAATTCTGAATCTAACCAATGGATGCAAAAGATTCAACAAATCGATCAAATTGAAGGATGTACGAGTCCATATCCAACATCTTCCTTCTCATTAAGTCCTGGAACTGAAGAGCGAGCTGCCATGAACAATTCATTCAAAATCTCGAATTCCTTTATGGACAAGGCCATGACAAACAAACCATCCACAAACACTCTCCAAATTCCAATCACGAATGTATTCTTTAGTGCACTTTCTAAGAAAGTGGAAAGTGAAGGAAACTTGTTACAAGAGAACACTTCTGGCGGAGAGGCAATTCCTCTCTCCGCAAGAACACCAAAGAGTTCCAGATACGAAAAAAACTTTGAGAATGCAGTGAATGACGTGATATTCCCTCCAAAACGTTCACCATCTCGAAAAGGATCATTTGCAGGCGTCAATCGTCATTCACCACCTCAACAAGAAACGGAATCAAGTCCACGACGAATTTCAAGTGTCACAACTCCTAATAGTAGCCCAAGAAATCCACTCCTCTCCAATGTCACAGAACCAAATAGTCCAAAAGGACGTGCTCGATCAAATACAGGAAGTCCAAGAAGACTTTATTCACCAAGTCCCATTCAGCCAGTCTTTTCAACGACGCTTCATTACAATACTCACCCTCCTGTTGCCACTTATAGCTCTGGTGACGATGGTGATTCTGAGGAAGAAGATAGTTTGGAATCTCTCATTGAAGTGATGAAATTATGTCAATCTGCGTCTGACAGTACCGACATTCAATTCAGTGCTTACTTTGATGATGCACAATCCTTCTTTGAAACTCGCGAACAAAAAGAAGAATTTATGGAACAATTTGAAGGAGGTAACTTTAAATGTTTGGATTTCTCAAATTGTGCCAAATACATGGACGAGAATGTTTTTTGTGAGATCTTCCAACGATTGCGAAATAATAAGCATTTGAAGATCCTCAACTTGAGTGGAAATGCTCAGGTCATTTCAAGTGATTCCATTAAGGATTTACTCACAGGTGCCATGACTCTTGATAAGATTGTCCTTAAGCAATTCACTTCCATTTGGACGCAAGAACAAATCGAGTCGATTCGAACAATTTGTAAACGAAAAGCAATTAAACTCGAATTACAGTAAAGCTATTTAAATAAATTATTATTGCACTCGAGAGATTACCTTTTATCAATTTTCTATTTCTTTCTCGTCAACAGGGTTTAATTATTGAGAGAATTGAAAGTATGAATAATGGTTTCAGATTTTATATATGATAATCCTAAGATCAGCAAATTTGAGTTCTCAAATACTTGAGTGATCGCGATCCAAAAAAAACGCACAAGATTCTATTCATTCATCAGGTCACCATCTCATTCCAAATTCTTTGTAAACGTGGTGGTGGTTTCTCGGAAAGGCTTGGAATCTCATCAAACACTATTGGGTGCAAGAAAAGCATTCAAATTGATGAGGCCTCCTGTGTTGTAATTCATAAAGAAGAAGAAATTATCATCATCATCAGAAGCATCATCCTTGTCAGGAGCATCATGACAGACCAACCTCATCAACAACAACAAGAAATTGTGGATGATCGTGTTAGAAACATCATGAATGAAACTATGAAACAGGAAGAACAACAACAGCAAACCAACACGTCAGCCACTTCTCCTCCATCAACATCCTCTCACGACGAAGTTCATCAGCAACAACAATCTGATCCCTCTCAGAAGTATCATCCGATCGCATGTATGTATATTGTTTTGCAATGTAGTACCAATCATGAATGGTCGGAACGGATTGTTTGTTAAAATTTAATTTCGTAATTTAATTTAATTCGCATTTTGATATTTGATGTTTTGATTGTGTGTGATTGGAACGAATTTTTCTCACAATAGGTGAGGCATGTAGAAAGAAACACAAGAAATGTGATAGGACTGTAAGTTTTTCAAAGATCTTTGATATATTTGTGTTTCAATGATTATTATTGGCATGTTGAACACTTCTCTGCAATACCTGTATTAATGAACTTTGTATGTTTATTGCCTCAGCTTCCGAGATGTATTGAATGCACCAAAAGAGGACTCAATTGCGTTTACTATGAACCGAAAAAGGAATATCTTCAAAAGATGATGCAAGAGGGTGTTAAACCCCACAAACAATCACAAAAAAAGCCAAAGGATTTTCATGTTGTCTCATTTCGTGTAGAATCACCAAAAGTTCAGCAAAATACTTTCACACATTATTCATACAATCCTGATATTAATAATGTGAGCAGTAGTCTGTTTGATGCAAGTGGAGCACAATCCACAAATTTTCCTCCTCCAAACCTTACTCAACAACATTCAAATGAAACTGTGACAACCACAACAAAAAAAAAGAAGAAGAAAGAAACAACAACGCAAGACGTGGTAAACCCAACACCAATTATTCAACCTCAGCACTCATATCAACAACCAACGGGATGTCCAACACAACATGTCTTATCAACACCACTGATTCCTCAGTCTAGCACAATCCCTAACATCATGACAACAGACCCTACTGTCTATCCAAACACTCTTTATGATCAAAATTTGACATCAACCGTGTCACAAAATTATTATGCTGAACCACAACATCTCAACAGCTATGAAATGTTTCCTACAGGCAATTCAAATTATTCATTGCAGCAAGATGCTCTTCCTACAAGTACCATCGCCAGCAAGTACAATGCAATATCCGATAACATTTATCAGCCCACATTTTCTTCTGAAAGCAATGATTTAACAATCACACAACAATTACCTTCGCTCTCTCCTCCTAACTCTCATTCCGCTTCTTCATTGCATAATTATAGATATCATCCATATAATCTTCCTAGCTCCATTCCTCCTCAATCTACTTCAATTGCTTCTGCCCACACTAGTGTCGTTAGTTCGTTAAACCCACCACAACAGTCATTACCTGACCCATCTTCTTCTGTGATCACGTTGAATAGGACTGTACTAAACAGTCCCAAGTCAAATTTAACTCACTCATCACACAGTGACAGCAGCAGTAATAAGGACGGTACACATTCGAGTGATACAAGCAGTTCTATTCAGTCATTGTTTTTACAAGATCTTCTCAACACTTCATACATGAAAATTAACACTTTTGAATACTTTCATAGATATGTTACTTATGGCGTTAGGTTATTTTCTCAAGAGTTAATTGAGCAAACAATTTTTGGAGAAGATTTAAAAGTGACCATGAATGACATTTTCCGAAATCCAAATTGCTTTTTCCAACATCCCGAGTTTTCGAAACATAGCAACGATAGTATTCAATATTCGAAAAAGTCGGAAATTCTCTCCTTACTCTATACTCTACATGCAGTTGTTTGCTCATGCAATGGCTATCAACAACAAGCTGAAACATCCATTCGTCGCTCATTTGAAATCAGCTATAGAGGTAGCGTATTAAGGGATATTTTGCGATTATTCTATGATTCGAGCTATCCTGAAGAGTTGGTGAGCTCTATAGCATCAAGGCACGGTCCTCAAAATGATTTTCTGATTCAGACGGACAGAGTTTTTTATTCATTCCGAATTGGAAGACTTCTCCTTTCAGCGCTGTATTCATTGAGCATAGCAAATCTAGGTCTTTCTAAATACTTCTTACTCAAGTCAGATGAAATGCTCGACAATGACTCTCCAAATTTCAAATCTAGACGTTATATTAATTATTCAGTATCATTGGAATCCAAGGAAGGAAGTGACTACTCTATTTTTTCTGTCTCCGATCCCCAAGTAACTTCTTTTTGCAAATTTAGAGTCGCCACTGCAATGTCGTATGACAATATGCGAAATTTTCTGCAACGTAGTGACATAGTTTATGGACTTGAAAATAACATTCCAAAACCAATGATCATTAACAAGACGTCATGTGTGTTGAGAGATGCTCCTGAATTTCAATTCGATCTGAACGTTCTAAGAATGACGGCAGGCCTCTATATTTATAACATTGGTAAAATTCCAATTGAAATTTTACTCATTACCACTTTGAAGAATATTACTGTAGAGAATATTGAACTATTTTTAATGCTTAATGTATTGGTGATGAAAGAGGAAGAGCGTTATGCGTCTAATGTAAAGATGGACCCAATCACTCTCTCTTACTCCCAAACCCTAAGAAAATTTACTATTTATTCAGTTTTAATCGAGTTATTGACATTTATGCTTGAAAATTTACCGTATGACGAGCCATCGATTGGCAATCCAACTGTGGCAAGACTTGAGACAATTTTCAAAAATTTCGATGAAGCCGTAGCTGGAGGTCTCAATGAAAACTTAAAAAAGTGGAATTTTGAAACTTTGACAGAATATGAATTGGAAAAATTGAGAGAAGGATCCACTCCAAATGAACCTTCTATTTTTTCTCTCCTTTCCAGAGATTCCACGACAAGCACTACATCGAATGATGAGCCAACATCAGTACGGGCCACCTTGGAAAAATTATTGACTTTATATTGTGACAGATTTGCTGACAATTTGAGAGAATTTACGTAAGTGTACATTCTTTGTTCATGAAGTAGTAACATGTGAACCTCATTTCAAACTACAAATAGTAAGGAAACAATTTTGTTTAATAATGGAGACATGTTAAACATTCGTGCGGCTTGTTTGGTGCACTTGAGACAAGCAGAAACAATTTTACAACGAGTGTCACTTTCTTTGGCAGATCGAATGAAACTTGCAAATCGATTGTATCCAATCCTCACAACAGAACTCAATATCCTCACTTATTTGCAACAAAAGTTTCCAAAAGTTTACTTCCGAATATTTTCTCTCACCAATCGACTTGAAAACATTCTGGAGAAAATTCAAAGTGCTATTTCATAACCAAATGAATGAACACCTAAAAATTTAACTTATTTGTTAAACAAAAACAACAAAACATTCGAAAATTTGTACAAAATTTAATATCTCACGAACTTCTTTTCAAAATTTGTACAAAATCATCAATGCAACAAAGTCACAAAATTTGTTTGTGAAAAATAGTAAGGGTTGGAGACATGTTCAAAAAACCCTTCCATCCAAATTACAAAATTGGATCTTCAAAATTCAATGTAATGCTCAAAACTCAATCACTTATGCATAGGTATCCACCTTCTTTGCATAAGAATCAACTTTCTTTTCATAAGTATCAATCTTGACCTTCTTGCAAAACTTCTTCTTCTTGGCGCATTCTTTCTTTTGTTCATGTTTGACACAAATCTTCTTTCCATTTGTCCACTTGTGTTTCTTGCAGACTCTCTTTCCCTTTGATCTCTTTACACACTTCTTGGTATGCTTGAAGTGAATGCATTTGGAAGGGAATGTCTTTTTCTTGACACAATATCTCTTGGTCTTGAATTGACAACAAGTCTTGACTTGCTTATGCTTCTTGCAGAATGAAACCTTCTTGAAACGAGCACAGAATTTTCTTTTGGTATATTTGACACACTTTCTTTCAGTCTTGTACTTTTTACAGAATTTTCTCGTTTGATGTTTGACACACTTCTTCTTGTATCCACAAACACGGCATTTACGAATGACTCTGCACTTTCTTGGAGCATAGGAATCGACATACTTGTCCGAAGTATACTTATCACAGACCTTCTTTTGAGTACACTTCTTAATTGGAATCTTTTTGAATTTCTTACAAATCTTTTTAGTTCCATATTGACAACACTTCTTCTCATTCTTATGTTTGACACAATAAGTATGAGTGGCATGTTTCTTACAGACTTTCTTTGATCCATAGCTATCACAGACTTTCTTAGTTTCATGCTTGGCACAGTATTTCTTGCACTTGTGTTTGACACATTTAGTGACTTTTTTGCTGTACTTGTCACAAGTGGAATGTCTCTTGAATTTGAGACAACGACCTTTTCCTACAATGGCATACTTGTCACAAATCTTCTTTCTACCAACAGTCTTGTGTTTGATACATTTTCCTTGGACATACTTGTGGAGAACACATTTCTTCTTACAGACACGCTTATAGGTGTCAACAGGTGGTTTGTAAGTGTCGACAGGTGGCTGATAAGTGTCAACAGGTGGTTTGTAAGTATCTGGTTGTTGATAGGAATCAGAACCTCTTACAAGAACTGCAGCTGCTAGGAGGAGAGCGAAGAGTAAGACAAGTGTTGTCTTCATCTTGTTGTTTTTGAATTTTTTTGTTGGTGACGATTTCTTTCGAAGATGGCACAAAATTTATAGGTTGGCAAGTGACATCTCTGAATGGAAAATGAACCCAAACGGAATGCTTCATGTTTGAGGATTGTGTATGAATCTGTATAAAGCAACAAAGTGAATGGAAAATACTGATCTTGTTCATGTTCTAAAAAAGGAAAGAAATGTGAAGGAAATCTTAAATGGTTGGTCTTTTTAAATACTAATTGTAAAAAATAAGATCATTACTGAATTTTCAAGTTCGACAAGAAAGAACATACACTCCTTAAGCAGTCCATTATCTTGTCGATTTAGCATGAATGAACATGTGCGAAACCGGGTGAATGATTCTTTCAGAAGATTTCTATTTAAGGAAATTTGAATTTGGAATCAATAATTCTTCCGATGAAGAGAGAGGAGACTCTTATTGTCGTTGGGACCAACCATTTCATGTGAAATTGAATACAGTAAGGTTCATGTTGAGAATCAGCGATCATTAGGAGGTTTTCCTGTCTCGTGGTATTTCCTTTGTGTGAATTATTTACAGAAATTTGTTTCTCAATTTCGTTGTTATCCACAAAGTGAATGAATTTGAAAAAAAAAACCTCTTACTTGAAAACTGAACTCGATGATTTGCATGGTTGTGATCAGGATCGATCATGAATTCTTTTTTGGTCCATTCGAATTCCTTTTGAAGAGTTGAAAGAGACACCATAAATGGAAAAGAATTTAAATCATTCGCTATGAGAAGAAGGTCCATCGATCTGAATGTCAGCATGATCCTCTCATGACCATTTCATAGGTTCGAATGAAAACATCTAAAAAAATTTCACATAGTTGTCAAACTATAATTCTCTTCGAAGAGACTTTACAATAAGGTCCTTCAAACCTTCAGGATTAACTCTTTCATGACAATCTCCTTTGAATTCAGGAGAGATGACATCGATAGGTTTAACAGGAAATCCTTGCGCTTGGTGTGAATTTTCAGTGACACATTGAATCAAATGGAGATGATCCATGAGAGAAATAATTCGAATATTCGAAAAGGTTTCATGAACTTGTAAATGAATATCCGAACACATGAATGTTTCTTTCAAACAAGATGGCACATAAATCATGAGTGCATTTGGATTGATCATGAAGAGTGACATGAACGATGCTGATCCTTGTGTGGTCACATAAACATTTAACGTTGTGAAAAATTCTATCTGTTGAGCAACAGAAATGGATTCTAATTTTAAATTCACAATCTCAATATTCTCAAAAACATGACCATTGACTTCATTCACTTGTTCCAATAGTCGTTCTTTCATTTGTGTTAAATAATTTACAATTTGATCCACATTAATAATGACATTCTTCAAGTGTAAAAAGGTTTGTTTTGAATGGCAATGACAAGAGTTTTTGACGTTTCATAAACTTGGAATATGGAATTTGAAGTTTGTTGAGTAAATAATTTCGAAAGGCAGGTAAAATATGAACTCTTCTTTCCATGTGTTTAAAAAACGATCCAGTATGCCCAGTCAGAACGGTTGAAAAACAAGTATCGATTTGGTTTCCAGTAGTGTTGGTTGGATCCTATTCGACATTAGAAGATGACACTTGACAAGGTGCTTTTCCAATAAAAGTTCCAAATTCATTCTCACATTTTTGAAGAGGCACCTTATTGGAGAAGATTGAGGACATTGGATCCACCTTCTGTGTGGATCGTTCTCGTTCTTCAACATTATCCAAATAAAGAAGGTGATGTTCTCGATGGACATACTCAAAAATCATCATCAAATTAAATAAAGGTAAATAATTATCTAATAAAGCATGTCCTAAATTGTCCATCAAATGTCGATAAAACACCAACGTGGGATCTGAAATCCACTTGAATCGTTCTGAAAGAATCATCATTGAGGAATGACCTTTTTCTCCATTTTAGTCTCGAGTGGTGGCGGTGGTAATACTACTCGTACTACTCGAACTATTACTCGAACTACTACTACTCAAATTACTACTACTCAATCGACTACTCGTACCTTTCAATACGTTTCCTTGATGGTCGAGAATTTGCGTGGGAGGTCTTTCCACACGAATTCTCAATGAGGACGACTTGTAGAATTGAGGATAGACACTCGTGTGTACCCAACGCGAATGATTCATGGCATGAGCATGCTTGGAATGGGTGTAAAGAATCCATTCTCCTCTTCGATTGATACAAATATTCTCAAATAGGCAACTTGTGTATGGAACATGTCGTTCACGATTCCATTCTTTCTGTGAAATGCATTGATAATGAGATTGAAACCATTTCGATTTTTGAAATTTATCGTTGACGAGTGAAAGAGTTCAACTCTGAAAAAGCTCTGTGAATTGTGCACATCATTGGGATCATCATTCAATCTTCCGGAATTCTGTTGTTGTTGTTGAGGATATTGAAAGGGCCGAAAGAGAGTTGGAATTTGAGGAGGTTCATATCGATTGAATAATTCATCAATTCGGACAAAATGATGTCGTTTATTGTTGTTGGTCAACCATGAGGAAGAGTTTTTGTTGTTGTTTGACATGTTTTCAGCAACACTTTCATTGAGATGGTATTTGGTGTTTGAGTGGAAGTTGTGAACCAATTACAATTCAATCTTGGTTCCCAGTAATTGAACAAAAGCTCTCAACCATTCTGGGTGACCAGGCCATGCAACTCCAGTGACAATATTGCCTGAAACAACTGCTCCATCGGCCTTACAGTCCACCCATTCAGCTCCAGCATTGATAATGTCATGCTTACAAGCAAAGTAAGCAGCAATCTTCTTGCCTTTGATGGCTCCTGGGATGGCAGTTAAAATCAAAGGTCCATGACTATAGTAGTAAGCATTGTATACACCATGTGATGGGTTTCCAGACACACGATCGTTGTGAAATGATAATAATCAAACTTACCAAATGGAAGCAATTGGCTTGTTGGAATCCACGAAATGTTGAACAATCTTCAACACATGGTCGTTCAATCTTAAATGTTCTGGAGCTCTACCACCTGATGTAACATTCAATACATGGATTTAACACAAATAATAATAATAGTAAATCAACAATTATAATAAAAGTAAATTGCAGAGATTTCGAATACATCAACACTGTTATTTTCATCATTTAAACTCAATCCATACTGACCTGGAAGAACAAGAGCTCCATACTGATCCAAATGATTCAAGACTTCATCAAAGTCAGCAGTAATTTGAAAATTATGTCCTTTCAACTCAGTGTAGGTTTGCTCTCCTGGAAGAAAATCATGAACGGCAGTAACAACCTTTTGACCCTTCTTCTTTCCTGGTGAAATGACAGAGACTTGATGCCCGATCATTTCCAAAGCTGTTTCGTTATATTCCGAAAGAAAATAATATGTAATTCCGATGTAAAAGTGTCATGATCGCATGAGAGCAATAGTATTCATTCATTCATTGGTTGGTTCATTGGTTCAATCATTGATCATCATAAGATTTGATTTAAACCCCAAAGTACAGATGATGAAGAGGATGGTTATTAAATTCATCATCACACTCTGTTATTTACCTTGGAAAGGAACCATTGCTTCATAATCCTCCACTGTTCCATTCAATAATCATTATCATTATATTAAAAAGAAGCAATCATCATCATCATGTGATCACTATTTACATTCATAAAGACCTACCATAATCTCCGACAATCATCACAATTTGTTGTTTGACCATTTTTTAAGCTTTGGATTGAAGCATCAAGTCAATCGGTCTAATTGTTTGAATTTTTGCCTTAACTCTCCTTTTTTAAGAACCTTATCATAATGTCTTTTCAAGATTCAACATTCCAATTAGAAGCAATTTGTAGATGGAAACACAAAGATTTTTTCATGATGTAGCACCTATTGTGCTCCAACAAAGGCGTATGGATTCATTCCAAATCAAAACCAAGAAGAGTAAATATATTGTTGTTATTGTTGAATTCAGGTGACCACATTCTTCCGCATCACGCAATACTTCCTCAAAAAGATTCATTTTCTTCTTCAGCAATAAATTTGGAATTGTTTGGTACAACAACCAGCTAGAGAGAGATTCCTTTGAAGACCTTCTCTCTCCTCCCAACGACAACAATAATATTCTTTGTTTGCATATTCGAAGGCCTTCCACTCCGAGCCATCTGTCCTTTTCCGCTTCTCTTCGTGCTTTACTTACCTGCACTGAGAGATTGAATCCACCAATAACAGCGCCACACCTCACGCGAAGAAGAAGAAGAAACATCAGCAGAAAGAGAGAAAGGCTTTTGTTGATGTTCTTGGTAGCACTTAAAAATTTCAAGTTCATTACAGCGCTCCCTCTTTTCATTTCCCTTTTCATCCACCACACCCACCACCATTCCATCTTGCTGCTTGTCCTTCTTGTTGTTGTTGGGAATAATAATAACAATAGCTACGTTTTACCACAATTGAATCATCATCACGGAAAAGTAGAGAAAGTTTCACCATCATTGTAGTACTTATTATTCTTCACCGACTCTTTTTCCGCATCATCACGACAAGAGGAGAGATTCAAGTAGTGATTATTATTCTCTCCATCATCACCATCATCAACAAGAGTACTTATTTAATTAATATTACGGATCGTTTAATCATTACCAAGAATAACAGTCAAGTTTATGCTGATTAGAAGAACAGATGAGCAACAATTATAATAATACTAGAACACAACCATCCTACTCCACACCAGCAAAGGATGAGATGGGTAAAACATCATCACTCACTACTCCCATACATTCTCATCTTGGAGTTCCAACTCCCCTGAAGACAACCCCACCAAATACAACCGTATCGGCAACACCGACGAGTAGTGCTCTCAGAGGAACAACAACAGGTACTTTGAGAGACCCTCAGGAAACAGTCTTCTATGGACACGATCATGTAAGTAGAATCTATATTTATTGTTGTTCTACTGACGATAATTCTGTGGCTGTGAATCACCATGGATCGAATAATACCATCACTAATATTATGTGGAAAACATCATTCAAAACACAAATTTGACAAACGATCTACCTTGTTTATTTCTTCGATCTTTTCGTCATCAATCCTGGAACACCTTCAACCACAAACGACAAAAATCAAATTCACGTTGGTTGCCACATTCAACCACAACATTTCCAACATTCAAACAATGAACACACAGGGCACTCTTCATTCTTCGTACGGTCAGCAGCCGCAGCAACAGAGTTTTTATCCATACAGCCCAAGCACCGCTCTCAATGTTAATTCTCTTCCCTACTCCAACACCACCTCCAACTTTTCAAACCCTGCCACAACCAGCAACAGCGCTGTCCTTCCATCATCATCCATGATTTTCCCACAATCGACCAGTTCCTTCTCTCTTCCTTCTGTAAATTACAATCCAACCTCGAATAATCCAAGCAACGTAGCATCAATGAGTAATAGTCGTGCAAGGGTACAAGGAACAACAACACCCACTTCTAATTTTCAACAACTCTACTCCTCTGCTCATCGTTCAAATTTGACATCAACAGCCGGCACATCAGCAATGGGATATAATAGCCGCAGTCCAGGAACAATTGCAAACACTATTGTAAATGATCCATCGATTGCATACATTCGTCAACCACAATTTATTCAACAGGTTCCCGAAGGCTCGGGCTCATATCTAGAACCACAAATATTGCCTGTTAGAGGAGAGCAACAACCAGTTCAATTGTTGACAACATCGAAGGCCCAACGGGACGGCGGATTACAATATGGCTACGAACAATACTTGCCAACGACCACCACTGGTTCGAGCTCTCAATTGCATCCAACAACAAGTCAACACTATCAACCACGTCCAACAAGTAGCTTGAGCAATCAAATACCAACATCATCTGGTAGTCCTCAGGGAGGAAACGTAATGCAACCAAACTATAACACATATGGTACTACTACTTCCAATTATTATCAACAATATGGAAACATGACAGGCTATCCATCCACACATAATAATTCAAAAACAGCCTCACTTTCGAGAACAAACAGTACACAAATGATACCTGGATCTTCGTTGAATTGCCCAATCATTGTCACAGATGATCATGGTCAGCAGTATATGCAACGGCAAAATCCAATGTCCCAAAATTATATTCAAAATATGAACGCACGAAGTTATTCACCAGCAATTTATAGTGGAGGGCATCAAGCACAACATTATACATCCTATGCTCAACCCCAAACTAGTCAATATATTGTTACAACCTCAACACCTCCTCAAATGCCACCACCTCAAAATCACATCGCTACTGTATCCCAAAATCAACCATCGACATCAAACAGCAATTATCCTGTCGGATTGTTAGTTGGTTCGAAATATAGACTTATGAATAAGATTGGAAATGGAGCTTTTGGTGAAGTCTTTCTTGCTCAAAATACCGACCAATCACAAGATTTTTATGCAGTCAAGCTAGAGACAATACCGACACCACAAAGCGGACAAAATAATGGTGGAAAGCAACAACTAATTTTTGAAGCAAAGGTTCTATCATACCTTTTCAATGCACCTCCAAATCCGAATAGTACAAATAACAATAGCAACACTCAGCAAAACCAACCCGCTGTGGGAATACCTCGCGTGATCTGGTATGGAACTGAGGGTTCATTCAATATTATGGTAATGGAACTTCTTGGACAAAGCTTGGAGAGCTTATTCAAGAAATGCAATCGCAAATTCTCCTTAAAAACAGTTTTAATGTTGGCAGATCAAATGCTTCAAAGGATCGAATTCACTCACAGGAGAAACTTTGTACATCGTGACATCAAACCAGACAACTTTTTGATGGGTAGAAAGGGCTCGAATATGCTACAGTTACTCAATGGAACATCGTATCAGTCATCATCTACAAGTAGTCATCTAAACTCGGAGAATACCGTTTATCTCATCGATTTTGGTTTATCAAAAATGTACTACTCTGAGAAGGGACACATTCCACTCAGAAAAGACAAGCACCTGACAGGAACAGCTCGTTATGCAAGCTTGAATAATCATAAGGGTTATGAACAGTCAAGACGAGACGATCTAGAATCCCTTGGCTATGTCTTGCTTTACTTTTTGAAAGGCGCATTGCCATGGCAAGGACTTACAGGAAACACCAAAGAAGATCACTACAATAATATCTATCACAAGAAGAAAAATATCAAAATTGTTTCTCTATGCAAAGGTTTTCCAGTTGAGTTTGCAACGTACCTCAACTATGCACGTAGCTTGAAGTTTTATCAAGAGCCTGACTATCTCTATCTGCGGAATTTATTCTTAAACTTGTTCATTAGAGAGAAGTTCTCCTTAGATTATGAATGGGACTGGATTGTGCAAGATCGAAAGAATGAACGTCAAAAATAAACAACTGCAAGCACATACGATTTGCATAGATCACAAAGATTTGTAAAATGATGTGCAACACTGTCTGGTTCTAACCATCTTTTTAAGGTAATTCCTTAAAAAATGTCTCAAGACGTAGTTAGCGAAGAGTTTCAATCCAACAACAAACATGACGATCATCAAATTTTAACTCAAAAGGAACACAAACCAACGATCATATCAGATTTTATTGCAGCTTCCTATCGCTCTTATGTGACTGGACCAAAAACACCTGCTCCGTCATTACCAAGCGTTGCCGATGAAAGAGGCAACCCTTCTTCCTCATTGGAAAAACTTTCTGATTTATTGCAACAAAAATCATCGGCTGCCAAAAGTGAGCACGAATCCTTAGTGGAACGAATCGAAACCTTACTCGAGAAAGTCTCTGTGAGTAGCCTCTCCGGTGTCGACGACCACAAAAGTCTCTCCACTTCTCTTAACCATTCCTTCTTTGAGTTCAGACACATCAGAGACATGTTCAACAGCAATGAAATGGATGCAACTATGAGTATTGTGAGTGAAGAAGATGTTGCCATTTTAGCATCTCATTGTCTCTACATGCTTGAATACTATAATACCATCTCGAGTGAATTCAGAGATCAAAAGAAACTCTTACTCGTGTTGAGAGTCATTAATAATTATTCAGAACAGAGTCCAACAACGAATACTTTGCGGAGAGAACAAACGAAACGAAGACTTAAATTCATGAATCATTTGTTGTCAGAGTCCGAGAGATTTCAACAATTATTATGTAAATTCATAATGTTCTCAAATATTGATCATAATGATAAGGTTCAATATCTGTGTGCAAAATGTTTGAGTAATTTCATGAAAAATCAACTGCGTCACAAAGAGCCAACGTCACAAAAAAAGTTGTTTGTGTTGAATGTAGATACTCTAAGAGTGATTGGCATGTGTTTGGAAACACTGTGTGACAAATTACTCGTGAGGAATGCAGAAACTTTTGTACATGTCCATTTCTATCAATTGTTGATTAATATCTTGTACGATCACTATATTGAACTTGACACGAATAATGGCGATCAACGCTGTCTGAATGACAATCATGAGCATTCCAAACATGATCAAGATTCTGTAGATCTGTATATTCATACTCAGGTTAAAAAGTTACTCTGTTGTAACAATCAAAATTCAACATTGGTGAAATGTCTATCACTGATTCACAAATATGCAGAGAAAACATTTTCTAATCACCAGAGTGACGTCTCTTTTGTATTGGATTCCAGAGACATCTCCCTCCTAATCAAGGTAAGCACAAATTGTATTATTTGCACAATCTTCCATGTATTGATCCATGTGTGATGATGGAATGCAAATGAATTTTCAGTCCTTACTGCATGAGGAATCAAATGTTATTAAATTAGCATCTGACTTGTTGTTAAGATTTAGAGATAAACTTACCGAAGAAAATAAGAAAACCATTGTCACATGCCTCTTGTCACATAATTTGATATGCTTCAATAGAAATCAAACACAGAATGCATACAAGGCGAGTGTGAATGCGCTCGTTGAATGGTCCAATCGTGATCAGTACTTTGAGGACACACTGTCGAAATTTGTAAACGATCCATTAGTGGTAGATTCTTATGATCGCGCTGTTGTTTCTATTCGAAACGATAGAGAGAAATACCAGATGCATTGTGACCATGTCAAATGTCTTTTGTAGGATATGTTTCTAACGGAGAGGCTCACTATTAAGAGACATCTTCTCAAGGAGTATTTTCATCCTACCGACGACTTGCTTTGATGATAATCTCTCAGAAACATCTTCTTTCCACATGTCTTCAATAATTTGAATAAAATATCTTATATATTCATCCACAATAATGAGAGATGATTTTAGCATTTCTACAATATTCATTCTAAATGGAGGAGAGGTGTTTCTTTCGATTTTTTCTTTCACATCTAACACATTCATTCCTGGATATGGTTTTGAGAGAGTTAAAATTTCACAAAAAACAATAGACAGTGAATACACATCCGATTTTTTGCAAAATTTGCTTTGTTTCATGACTTCTGGTGCCATCCAATAAATGGTGCCATGAGGTTGGAATGATGTGAGTTGGTCTTTTTGTTGCATGTCCACAATTTTCGAATCACAAAAATCAGCAATTCGAACATTTAACTCTTTGTCTATTAAAAAATTCAAAGACTTGACATCGAGATGAGCATATTTGCTTTTTTCATGAATTTCCATTAATGCCAGAGCCATATCATGAGCAAGTTTCATTTTAACCCTAAAATCAGTTTGAATGGATTTGATCAATTCAATCTCTTCATTGGAACGAATGTTCATTTTACCACTGTGATCACTAGTAGTTGACATTTTGTTGACATTGATTTGATTCTCACGTTGTAACGATTCATTTGATGTTTTGAAATGAATAATTGAATGTAAATCTCCCAAATCCATAAATTCCATCACAATCCAAAACACAGGATTCTCAAAACAATAGCCCACCAATTTTGTAATTTTTTTACATCCACATTTCCATAATCTATTCATCACCAACAATTCATCTTTAAATTTCTGAATATTTCTTTCCAATTGAGCTCTATTCGCCAACATCTTTTTTCCAGCATACATTGAGTGTTCAATCTTTACTTGATACACTTCGGAGAATCCTCCTGTTGCAATCTTGCTCACAATTTCAATTTCATTGGATTTAAATGATTGGACTTGTTTTAATTCTTGTAATTCTTGTTCGGAAAGATTCATGGAGAGTTTCGGTTGATGATGATCATCATGTATTCTCATGAGTGGATCCACTTGATACATTCTTCCATATTCAGGAGTATCATCATTTCCATCAATGTTTCTTTGATCCATTCCGATCAAACAAGCCTCACTATTGTTGTTGATACAAATATTGTTAAGAGTAGTAGTGTTGATCCGAGTCGTCATCGTAGTAGTGTTATGGTTATTATTGTTATTATTATTACAACTACCAAAAGAAGTACTTCGTTGAGAGGCATCGAAGGAATTGGCTCTCTTTCGAAATGTCATTTTTTCATTTCTTCATAAAAAAAACTGTAACGATATTGTGAAAGCTAATAATTACCCACCTGTCCAGATTGGGGTCCCAATAGGTAGTCGTATTAGTTTTTTAATTTAGTAATAATAATAATTGATGGTATTATTAATAAAATGTCTAATTATTGTTGCTAATAATTATTATTCTTTCTTTTTGGAATAAGTGAGAAGTGTATAATGAGAGTTTAAACTCTTTCTCATGAAATATATTAAGAATACAACTGTAAACGTTCAATCTCTTCTTCAAGTATAGATAGATTCGAACACACAAATTCCAAAGTCTTCAGAAGGGGTGTTTCAAAGATGAGATCCAACACCACTCGAGATTCGTGTGAAACGTTATTGCACTCACTTGTACACTTGGTTGCTTGTGGTCATGACCACGTCAGTTGTGATAGTTTCCAACATTTCCTTTTCAAAATGATTCCATTCGAAATCCTCGGCCGTTTTAATGCAATCCATTCATCCTCAAGGATTTTGAGAATTATAATAATCTCAGAAGAAACACGCGTGGCGAAGAAATAAATGGAGCTGAGAATCCGATTTTGGCTTTCGTGCATTCCAAAAAAGGCGAATTTTGGATAGCAACGAATATTCTGTCGGATCAACCACAACAACACTCCAAAATGCCAAACGTCATGACTCCAAAGATTCACCAACAGAAAAAAAGAACCAACCAACCAATCGCACTACCACAACTACCAGAGCTACTACTCAAAGACACACCAATCTCGACCTTCCAATCTCTACCATGTCAACCACAACTCTCTCTCCAGCTTTCCAACAACTCGTGTGTGAAATGATCGCTGCCTGCGCCAAAAACGATCCCAATGCCTTTCTCTCCAGTTATCAAACACTCCGACAACAACTCCAATCCACTGTTTGTGAACAACCATCCTCCGAGATTTCCGAGAATCCATCCAATTTGTCGGAATCAAAAATTGTTCAAGATTCCACTTTTGATCACAACCATGTCGTGGATGAAGAACAATTGACAAATTCCAAAACTAAAGTTTCAAAAAGATACACAAAATTGAGAAAACAATTGAAGGCTTGTGAGAATTTTAAGGATAATTATTTTGTGTTTAGTACAACAACGACAAAAGATTCACATGGAAAGAAGAAGAGAAATGCTACCAAGAAGAGAAGCAAGGAAGGTGAAGAATCTTCATCCAGTGGCAGTGAACAAGAATCCTCTCCAAATTTGACAACTGACAGCAAAAAGCGAAAAGTGACTGAAATTCCAACAGACCAGTCTTCCTCCTTGGAAACAACATCTTCACTCACAATGGACTCTTCCTTCGATCAACAATATCAACAATTAATGAATACCTGGGTTGCTCAACAGTGTATGAATTCGTCAGTGACTGCCACTCAAGAGTCAGCTGTCACTCATCCACAAAATTTTGAAATTTTAGAAGAACAAGCAGTTCCAGATTTCTTTTCAAACACCTTGGAATTAGATTCACTTTTCAACAACCCAACAACAGATTTGGATCTTTCGAATAATTTCACGTCCTCTTCTCTGATCAATCTTCCAGAAACAAGCTTCGAATTTGACTTGTTCTCAGAATTACTGTAAATTAGTAAACCATTTCTAACCATTTCAAACCATTTCGTACTATTTCAAATTAATTTTTTATGAACCTGTCGATCCTGTTCACTGTATACAATGGCATTTTCATTCATTTCAATCACCAATCCAAACTCGAGAAGTTCATGTTGAAACACAAATTTTACCATCTTTGCACTTTTTACAAAGATGGGCAAATGGAGTGTTTGTTAGTAGTGGAGGAATTCCACCTTATTTGTCCCTTTTCGCAATTGTTCAAAATTCCAGATACGAATCGAATTTTCTCTCGCACGATCCGCTGATTCGACTATAAAAGAGAATTTTTAAAACCTTCTCCGATCATGCGATGAAAAGATGCAGCGAGCCCCTTTCTACTATTCGAGCTTCCTTCTCTAAATGTATTTATTACTTGTCTTAAAAAGTAGAAATTTTAATGCTCAGAATATTCGACGGGTGGCGGTTTGAATCCCCTCAATGTGCCAAATGTCATGAGAAGTAAAGAAAAAAACTTTCCCTATCAAAATGCCTCAAAGACAACAAACCATGAACGATTTCCAACACATTCTCAAAGAAATGATCGTTGCGTGCGCCAACAACAATCCTGATGCCTTTCTCTCGAGTTACAAACAACTTCTAACCATTCAACAGCAACAACAACTCTATTGTACATCTTCCACTTGCCCTTCCGTTGTAAATCATTCTCCTGATCATTCTCCTCCACTCGCCACTTCCACCAATTCCTCATCAGACTGTTCGAATTCTTCTCTGATCGAAGGCGAAGATTCTTCAACCACTCTTTCAAAAGAATCTTTAAAGAAAATTAATCCCAAAGCAAATAAGAAGAAGAAGAACAAAGTTCCCAAACGATACACCCAATTAAGAAAACAATTACGCGATTGTGATCACTTTTCAGATTATTACTTTGTATTCAACTCTGAAACCACTGCAATACCAAAAAAGTTAAAGATCAACAATTCTTCGATAAAGAGATCGAATAAGGTGATTGAAGAATATTCTCCCATCGAAGAAGAAAGTTCACAATCGAACTCCTCTTCGAATGAATCTCGAAAGAGAAAACAAAGAAAGGTGTCATCGGATTCTTATTTGCCAGCACTCACAGAGGTATCCTCAACGACGATTGCACCACTTGACACGACACAAGAAGTGGTACCTAATGTCTCCACCACCGTTTGCAATGACACAAATGCCACTTGTCAACCAGAAATCTTTGAAGATCAATTCCAAGAATTGGTTTCCTCGTGGATGACTGTCCAACAATTTATGAATTCTTCACAACCAGACCAACAAGTTTCAGTCTCTGACTTTTCTGAGTTACCTTCAGATGTCAACGATCTCGACACTTCCTTATTTGTGGCCGACTTTCAGGACATGCCTCAATCCAACACATTTTGTAGTTTTAACTTGTTTCCAGAAGACTTTCTGTAGAGTACTTGATGAACCTCAAGAATAATAAACCATCTCCTTTTTTCCATAAATCGACCTCTCGGTTCCACTTTTGGAGAGTTTTACCCGCATGTCTTTAGCCGTGACCACACCTCGAAGATCTTGGTTACTTCAGCCATCCAACGAATACCCTGGAATAATAGCGGATCCAATTCCACGCACGAGGACATTTCTTTGTTAATTGTTAAAAAGGGCACCGATCTTTAAAAGGAGTTACGACACTCTTTTTTAAGACTGGTTGAACAATGAGAGACGACTGAATGGTCGAAATGGGTCAAAATCACACGATTGCCACTCTTGCGACACACAAACAAAAAAAAACAACCAACAACAACAATAACAACAACAAATAATGTCGTCCTTCTCTGTCGAACAAATCATTCAACGGTTGATGTCAAATGCCAACAAGAACAACTCTCTTGAAAAAGGTTCCATATCAAGCAATGTCAGCAATCAAAACTGCAGGGATGATCCAACCTCTCCTTCTCCTCACTCCAACTTTTCTTTGATCCAACCAGAATCTACAATCAACCAACAAGAGAAACTTATCGAATTTTCCAATTTGGGAAATAGCCCAAACACATTCGAACGCAATATCAACAACACTCCAAAAGTTTCAGCACGATACACCCAATTACGAAAACAATTACGAGCATGTCATAATTTTAAAGACAATTACTTTGTGTTTGACTCTTCATCTGCTCCTAAAGAGGAAAAGAATTCTTCTTCTTCTTTAGGAAAGAGAACCAAAGAGAAGCAGAAGGAATCAAAATCGTTCACACAAGACAAGACCAAAAAGTTCAGAAAACAACGAAAGGTTGAAAAGGAACCAAGTTCCTCTTCATCTTCTTCAAGTGACAACAAGATGTTTGACAACTCTCTCAACCATTCGATCCAAAAACAACCACAAGAACAGAATAGAAGCAGCAGCAACACTCTTGGTTCTCCTCCTTCACATCAAAGTTCTTCTCTTACCTCTTCTTGTTCATTGTCAACTCCTTCTTCTTTCCATTCGTTTGAAGTCCCACCTTCTTCTTCCTTTCGAATTTCATCAATGACAAGTGGCAATGAACCACCATCATTGTCTGATGTTTCATCCAATGTGCCAATGCTGTCCTTTGACAGAAGTGACATGAATGGTGACGTACTGATGAATCAGAACAACAACAATTATCACGACACGACGAATGCTTATCAAACATTGATGACTTTATTCGACCCGTCAAATCCAGATTTCGAAAGACAGTATCAGCAAGTGTTAAAGGCATGGCAAATGGTGAAGCAAATTCTTGCACTGTGTGCAGCGAACAATCATTCATCGAATTTGTAATCTACTTTGACAATTCATCAACTCAAAAACAACTTCTTTCAACTAAACTTGGTCGAATGAATGCGGTGGAGACCTTGGCTCACCATTATCACCACGTGGTAGGTACGAATAAACTATCACCAATGGACAAAACGTCTTCAACAAGATTTACAAGAGAAAGTTGATGCCAATTTATTCAAGATCAAAGATGCGTCTAAGAGAGAGTTCAACAAGCTTAAATGTTTTAGTTTGATTATTATGAAGACCATTCAATCACCGATTCCATTGCGTTATTTTACAAGTTATTTCACTTAATATATTCAAAATAGATTCTTCTTGTGTTCCAATTTTGTGACAAATCCAAATGAATATCTTCGTGGAGAATCGAAACATTGATTCCATAATCGTTCTTCAAGAATTTTTAAACAAGTTTCATATGCATTTTTCACCTCATCTTCCCAATGCGGAAATTCCAAAAGTGTTTTTTGATACAATTCCAAAAGTCCATCTTCGAGATTCAATGCTTGAATTTGATTCACATATTGTTTCAAAAATGTTTGTCCCATGGTCTGTTCCTTAAAATTCATGAGAAGATCCATAATTCTTTTTTGCATTTCCGGTTGTGACATGTTTTGTTCAGAATATGGAGAATTTTGATCATCACCACCTCTAGAAACATGATTTCCAATCATTTTCATTTGTGGTAAGACATGACGTGTGAAATATGAAATGATGTCTTTTGATTCTTGAGGAAATAGTTCCAGAGCATATTGTTGTAATTGATGGAATGTGGACATGGAAATGGGTTGTGTGGCACTGAAAAATTGTAAACATCCATAGATCAATTCAATGATAGATTCAAATTCTGTGACATGTGGAAGTTTTGATTTCATAAGATTACAAAACTGAACTTTTCGTTCTTCGTGTTGAGGTAATTCTTTGGTTACACATAGAAATTGAGATTCTAGATAGTTGAATGCCTTGTCAAGACAAGCGTCATTATTCACATTCATCACTTTAGCGACTTCATAAATGACAGCTAGAATTTGATAAACATTGGAGTCCAGTGTTCGATAAATGACACTCTGTACCAATTTTCTATTATTGGTTTCTTGCATGAGAAGAAGACCTTTGTTTGTTTCTTGGTCATTGGAGAGTCGAGAGAGCCATTCTTGAACTGAATTTTTTAACAAATCGAGTTTAGAGGGTTGTGACGCATTTTCCAAAATTTCAGTTTGTGGTTGAATGAAAGGTGTCGATGAATAATATTCAGTAGGAGGATGTTCACTAGGAGTGTCACTTGTCATGTCTTCCTCAATGTCAATAAATAAGGTAGAAGATATTCCTTCATCCTGTTCAACGTTCGATGGAGTTGTTCGTTTTTGCTTCTTTTTTGATGTTTGAGAATCAACATTCTCTTCTTTTGAACTTTGTTTGTTTTCTATTGCTCGTTTTTGGGTCGATACGATTCTGGAATACCTTGTGGTAAATAGATTGGTTTCGACGTGAAATAGTGTGAAAATTTCGCAGGGACTCTTTTCTAAAAATAGAAAATCTCACAAATTTGTATCCATAATGGACAATCCATTCATACTTGTTATTTACAAGGTCCAAATGTTCAATATTTTCAGAATCTCTCAATGAATGTTCTCCATTTGTGTGATTACTTGAATTTTCACTTGAATATTCATCCTTATACAAGTGAGCTTCAACTTTGAACATTCCATAAATGACAATCTTTAATTTTGCGAATGGCATGTATGTTTTTTGATCTTTCTTAAAGAACATCTTGCTGCTAAAAAAACTAATCAACTTGACCATTTTGTGGTCAACAGTACTCCGTGTCACTCGAATGAATGGACATTCTTCACGTTCCTTAAAGTCCAGGTAACATTTTATCACCCAACGATCGTTCATTGGTGTAAACACCTTTTCCAATGGTTGGAACCCACAAAATAAAATCAGTCACTTGATTCGTGTCAGGAGCTGTCAGTAATCCTTCTCCCTTCTTTGACAAGTGTACATTAAATTTAAAAACAGCATTCACACGCTCTGGAATTTCAATGTTACAAATTCCATTCGTCAATTTGAAATAGATTGTTTCCAAGTTCTTATCTGAACTTTTGTCAATCGTTTGTGAAACGTAAAAATTGACAGGTTGTCCAAAATCATTGAGAAGATTTGACACATCCAATTCAAAACTTAACACCACACTTCTCGCCACCTCTCGAACAATGAGACATTTTCGGTTTGGCATGTTCCATTCGACACGTCGGACAAAAGTACACACCACAACCATTATGTTTGATTTTTATAATTCCTTTCACGCCAGTTGTCAACTTGAAATGGACAGCGTTTGAAAATTTACAACGATCAATGGATGAAGTTGAAATATTTTCCAATGATGATGATGCATTGGATGATGTATTGGATACATGAGGATTCAATTCGGAAGAAGAAAGTGGAAATTCCAGAAGTTTTTTGTTGTTGTTTTTTAAGAGAAATTGTTGGAGATGGGAATGAACATTTCTTGATGTTTCGAACAGTTGATTGGTTCCATAATTAAAACCTTCTGAAATGCCACAAGATGATGAAAGGAACAACAGAAAGTATAATGTACTCACCTATTGTACATACATATTTGACAAATTTAGAAACATTCACGTTCGCAATAACTGGTCAACAACCTTTATTGAACACTGTGCTCCTTGTTGGAGTTGGAAACTGTCAATTTGATTTTTGATTCAATTAAAAAGAAAAAAATGCGACAAGTCGCTGTTGGACAAGAGAGATTTGCATTTACTCCTTGTCGCTACGGCCAAAGCTGCTGTCATGACAAGACAAGTGGTCTCATTAGCGCCATCATCCTTGTAGTAACGAGTTCCGTGATGTTGAACCTTTTTCAATTCTTCACGGAGGCCAGTCCGACTCAATTTGTGGATTTGACAAGTGACAGCGGATTTGGCAGTTCGTATCAAAATTTGGTTTTAAATCAAGATGGTACCATCATGTCCACCAATGCTGCTTCCTCGATCGTATTGAATCAAACAAGTCTCCTCTCCTATGATCGTTATATTTTAAATATGACAAATTTAAATAATACTTTTTTGTACACTTATGGAAGCGAAGTCGGATTTCTTTATTATGGAATTGTCTATCAAATCATTTGTTTGTGTTTTGAATTTGTGATGATTGTATTGGCTGCTTCTCCATTGATTGCGAAAAGAGGTGAGTGCGTGATGATGATAATTGAAGATTTAAATGTCAAACTTCAAAAATCTTGTCATTCTCACGAAAATCTAAAACTCTTTTTTAATTTAATTCATCATCATCATGATAATCAATCTGAATGATTCATTAATGATGAAATATGGTCATCATTCAAAATAGGAAGAACTTGGCAAAAGAAAGTATTGCTTGCATTTTGCATGATTGCTGCAATTATGGAATTTGTGGCACAACCTTTTGATTTGTTGAAGATTTTTCATCCACTACAAGATCGATCCATTTCGAATGCAGCCAGTAAGTAGTACGAGTCGACGTATTCATGATGACCATTAAATGTCATGAACTGTCACTTGTCATTTTTCAAGCTCTGTTTCTTCCTCACTTCTTTGCCAGAATGCAATTCCAAGCTATTTATGCACTCTTCGTCTATCTCTTCTTTAAAATTATCAAAATCATTCTCACCATTGCTGAACGAATGAATACTAAAAGAAAACGTGAAGAAATTAAAGAAATGTACAAGAAGGCAATTTTAGGTCTTGGTCCCACCAATACAGAATCAGCAACAGTTGATAAACATCCATCGAATAACAATAACAACAATAACAACAACGGAATAGATTCATCATCTCCTCGATCCGAAACATCTGGATTTCTAAATTTGGGAAATGTCAACAATGTCACTACTGCCATGACCACTCACAACGTGCATCATCAACATTCCTCCAGTTTGAATATTCCAAACGTTGTTGGAGGACTGTCTCCTCAACTTTCAGGAACTCCAAACTTGGCATCGCCACCTCTTGTTGGAAGTGTGAACTCATCTCCTCATTTAGAAAATACTGCCAATAATCACAACACATCCATGGATGATGAATTATGGTACATGAAAAATCAAAGTGTTTCACCCAATGGTTTAATGCCTTCTTCGAATAATATGGGAGGAGGAAATGGAACTACAACTGGATTATTACAACCCAATGCAAATCCTTCTTCTTCTTCTCCAAATATGTCCAACAACCATACGACCCTTTCTGGAACTTCACCAATTCCTTCTTCTTCGAGTTTGAATCCTGCCAATTTTGCAAAAAAAAATTCCTTAGATATTACGTATTCACACAATATTGATCATGCACTTAAAACAATTTCAAAAAATTCGACCACTCTTTCATTGAAACAAGCTGAAAATAGAAGAGGAAGTTCTTCATCAAATATTTCAGATACTTCCATGACGGGTCTATTAGTAGCAAATAAGAAAGTCATTGAAATCTCTTCACGAGACAGAGCGACCAGTAATGTTTCAGGAGAATCAAAATTGAGTGAATTAGATAAGGCATTATCATTGGCAGTTCCAACTTCTTCCTTTTATGAAAAATATCCAAGTTCTCCAAGTGTGAAATTTCTCAAAATTCTGAAACTGTTCATGATGATTGTATTCATTCTTCATGTTGTATTGAGTGTGATGGATATTATTTGCATGCTTGCTTTTTACTTGTGGGAATTTTTTGGTTCAAATGTGATGAGTGGATTTTTCCCTTCACTGGATGTGTATCCAACGGTGGCATTTTCCATTTCATTGGCATTTTCGGTTTCAATGGTGACATTTGCAGGTGTGAATTTTGTGCTAATTCTCGTATTTACCTATGTCTTGTATTTTCATCCAGATCATGACGATGCTATTAAGAGTGCCATTTTAGGACATCCCATGCCTTCGAGTCAAAATATTGGACCTATGAAAGTAGCTTTGGAAACGATTGAGGAAAATAAGAATCGATCCTTGATTTGTACGGCTGTCTTGTTGTGTCACGTTTTTGTGGCAGCCTATGTGGCTATTTATCCTCTCTTTTATTATAGCATGTTGATGCAGGGAATGAGTTTCTTGTACCAAATTATTTTCTATTTTGGAAGAAGAATTGGAACCATGTGTGCCATCTTGTCGATTTATTTGTTGTATGTGCCATTCTTTAAAATGTATCATGGCATTACAAAAATTCAAACGACCAAGAATAAGAAAATTGCTCTGTTCAGATAAAAGCTAGATAAATTGTGTATGAAACAGAAATTGTTTTAATAATGGCTGTATTATAATTCAAATATTTTCTTTTTTGAAAAGACGACATAAGGCTGATCTAACCCATTCACAGTTCTTATGAACAACACTATCCTGAAATTTGAAAATATAAAAAAGTCTTCAGTGAATTTCACAGAAAAAAGAAATGGTTTGTTGGTGAAAGAAAAAAGGCTACAGCACTGCAGGTTCCCAATTTGTCTCCAACCTCAGTACTGATGCAGCTCGACGATGCTTAACTTCTCAAATCGGACGGGATGAGGTGCATTCATCGTGATATGGCCGTAGCCATTCTATTACTATCGCACTATGTTTTCAATTTCAGGATCGTGTACAGAGAGAATGGGCTGTAAGATAACCTTAATGTTCAAATTTGTTAAAAAATTGTCAGATTTATTGAATTTGAATAACATTTTCAATCTTTTATACGAAAATTATTATCATTGATTGAGAAATTTCTCTTCAATGAATTAACCAGAAATAAATAACAATAATTTAAAATTTAAAACAATCAATCCAGCCTCTTTGTTCCCTTAATATGAATAATCGTTTCCAAGTAGTTAAGCGTTTAACACCAATCGATGCAGCTGTTTGGCCCGTCTTGCTATCCTCGATTTCTCTGACATCTCCTCGCACGTAAATATAGGATTTAAAATGTCCTGCTTTGCTGTGTACTTGTCGTACATAGGGCAGATTTAATTCCACACATTCCTCAAACATGAGTCGCAAATAGCGATATCTGTCTGGAATTTTATACTTTCCATTCAAGAATGAACATCCATCTGGAAAGGTGTAGTCGTTGTTCATGTTATTATCATCGTTAGGAGAAACACCTTTTTCATAAAATTGCCCCAAACCAAACCCAAAATCTTTCTTTAAGAAGATTTCCTTCTGATGGTATACAACCTCAGGAGCATTTGCTGATTTATCTTTCAATTTGGAAATAGCTTCTTCACACACATTCTTCAACTGCAATGACGGTTCCTCAATCAAATAGGTTTCTGGATTCAACATGATAAAGTCCAAGTTTCTACTTTCCATCAATGAACATGTTTTCTCTGAAAATGGACAAAATATTTTCTCCGTAATTTTAGAAAGAGGTAAACCATGCAGCTTTTGAGGTAAATCAATCATAAATAGGAGAGGACTTGTAAGGCTTCCTCTTCCAATAAAGAACATATTTTGTGTTGCCTCTCCCTTATTATTCTTATATACAAGCAATTGTACCAAAACTTGTTTTTTCTCTTTGCTGTATTGAATCACTGAAATGGAATACTTTTCCATCATACTACGATCTACTTGCAAAATTAATTTATATTTCGTTTCGTTTTTTCCTGATTTCTTGGATCGTTTTAATTTCAAGAAATTTTGGATCTCTTTTCCGGTTAACTGTGTTTCTATAATTTCCAACTCGAGAGAAGAACCTTTTTTCCGGCTTTCGAACACGAGATCAATAGCATCCGAAAAATCGGAGAGCATTTCTCGATGCCGAGATTGGATCGTCATTTTTTTTGTTCTTGTTTTTCTTCAATAATATACAAGAAAAACTTGAAATTCCAATTTTAGGATTCATAGAAGGTTCAACTTTGTGATTGTACGATCAAGATGCTTCTGAGGAAGAAGAATCAAAGTTGTGATTTGATTTCAACCTTCCTGATTCGTAGGTTTCAATAATAAACTAAAAGAGAATTCAGCAAAGATGAAAAGTGTGGGATTTCAATGAGCAGTTGGACAGTTTTAGACAGAAGGTAACTGAAACAAACACAAATATGAATTTCATTACTTGGCAATTAATACGGTAGCTTTCATCAGAAACGAAATCTAAAGTTGCCTTTAAACTTAAGCATTCTTTCAATTACTCGAATTCAAAAAATGTCTCAAAGCCAATCGCTGAAAGCAACTTCCAATCCTTCGGCGGCAGCTTTAAAATCCGTTCTCCTAAATTTCCTTCAATATTATCATTGTGGTAATCCCGAATGTAAATACTATCACGAAGAACAACCGTTGGATCGGCCCCTCCTGGAGCAAAAGCTGGATTCCGGAGAAGGAATTTGTTTGAAATGTTTCTCTTGCGAGGAACGGTTATACCCGTGCGAGTGTTGTTCTCAACTCTTTGGTGGAGTTCATTCAAACATGAATAACCATCATTCTCCTCATGATGATGATGAAAGAAAGGACATGATAAAATTTTGTTCCTTCTGTAGCTTTCCGAACGTTGCAAATAATGAATGGAGAAAAAGGCTTTCAACTCTCATGTGCTCGGAACAAGACTGTATGGAATCTATGAAATTTGTACAAATGCAACTGGTAGAATTATCAATGATCATGGAAGAACAGCCTCATGAGGGCGTTATTCCATCATCATCACTAACTGAGGTTCAACAGAGCTCTGTAACATCTTCATCATCATGCGAAAAGGAATACTTTAAGCATCTAGAAGGTCTATTTGCCCCAAATGATAACAAATTACTAGGAGAACTTTTTTATGCAACACCCATATCCATCTCTGCTGCTCTCAAGAAATCTATTGTCATTCTGACAGAACCTAAGGCCATATTCACTGAGGCCGACTTTAAAATGTTAAACTCTCTCTATCGTAATGATGGCAAGGACGAAATTGAGGACTCTCATGTGAAGACTCTGTTGCTAAATATTGAAACTTTTTTCATTAAGAACGGAGTGTTGCATTCACTGCTTGAGAACATCAAAATGTATCTATTGTCGAGCGTGAATTTTTCACTTATTCCTAACTGTAGTCGACATGGTGTTATCAAATCCATTTTCAACAATCAATTCATGCTCATGATGGAATCTCTACAACAAGAATTTCATTTAAACTTGTATCCTAAAATTTTGAAACCTCTGAATGACCATTTTGCAACCCTAACAAGATCACACATGCAACACAGTCGCAACAACTTTAATTTCCCACAAAATAACAGAGATCAGCAAGGAAAATCTATGCCCTCATTCTTTGTGTATCCCTTCACAGAACAAGCAAGCATTCCTCACAGCAGCAAGGACACAACGATACTGTTCGAGAAACGTTTCAAATTATGGCGACAGCTCTATTTTCATTTATGTTACATTAATCACGTGCTGTCTCTGAGTCCGTTCTACTAGGTCCAACACAACACAGTTGAAACATGCAGGTACAATACAATGGGAGGAAAACGGTTGGCCATTTGTGGAATCCTCGAGGATTCTGTGGATTCAACATACAGCTCATTTCAGTTCATGATTTGTACAGGAGAAAAGGAGTCGGATTGAAAGGAAAGGGATTTGGCTGCTTTAAGAAAAGTCTGACCTTCAATATAAATCAATCATCTAACGTCATGCATGTTCAATGGAGGTCGTACATGTGAGCGGAGCTGAATAAATTAACTCACCAAATAAACTTAGCTGAGTTTATTCCTAATCCTTTTCATTTGTGTGCGACTCGAATCCCAGCAGTTTTTCTCATATATATTATTAATACACTTCTCATTCATCAAATCGATCTTTGTGAGACACTCACAGGATTTAAAAAGGTGATTCCTTTCATGGACTCCACTTTACAACACAAAAAAAATGCAACCTTCGATCCGTGACGAATTGGCCGTTCTCGCCAAAGGCATTCCTCAAGATTCTCTTCCACCAAAATTATCGTACTCGGAGATGAGAGATCCTTCGGTTCCGCACGCTCCCATCAAGAATATTGATAGAATTCTTCCCAACAAGCAAGATCAAAAACAAGCCGTTGCCAATGCTCTTCGTTATTTCCCCAAAAAGTTTCATCAGGAATTAGCAGAAGAATTTATCTATGAATTAAAGACTTTTGGACATATTTACATGTACCGTTTTAGACCAAGAAATTTTGAAATGAAGGCTTACTCGGTGGAGGATTATCCTGCAAAATGTAAACATGCTGCGGCCATCATGGTGATGATTTGTAATAATTTAGATCCTCGGGTTGCTCAATTTCCTCACGAGTTGGTTACATACGGAGGTAATGGATCAGTGCTTTCTAATTGGGGACAGTTTTTGTTGTTGATGAAGTATTTGAGTGAAATGACAGAAGAACAAACATTGGTCATGTATTCGGGACATCCACTGGGATTATTCCCTTCATCTCCAATGAATCCAAGAGTGATGATTACCAATGGTCTAGTCGTTCCTAATTTTTCAAGTCGTGATGATTATGAAAGACTTTATGCCATGGGAAATACTATTTATGGTATGTAGAAAAATCAAACAATTGTTGTAATTGATATATTTCACTATATTAATTATGATGAAATTGAATGCATCAATGAATGAAACGGTGAACATGATCGTTTTTCGTGTGACATTTTAACATGGAATCATTACATTATGGTGTAATCACATGATAACATTAATTACAGGACAAATGACGGCTGGCTCCTACTGTTACATTGGACCTCAAGGAATTGTTCATGGAACTACATTAGTTGTGTTGAATGCCGGTAGAAAATACTTGTCACTCGAAGATTTGAGCGGAAAAGTTTTTGTCACTTCTGGATTGGGTGGAATGAGTGGAGCTCAACCAAAAGGTTTGTATTTTAAAGATCATAACTATATTCAAATCTTGTGACATGAATACTTTTTTTGTCATTTTGTACATCATGACAGCTGGAGTTATTTGTGGATGCATCACAGTTGTTGCTGAGGTAAATGCTGATGCTCTCAACAAGCGATTGAACCAAGGATGGCTCAAAGAATCAGTTGGTACTGATCTCGACAAGTGTATTCAAAGAATTAAGGAAGCTCGTAAAAACAAGGAAGTGACCTCCATTGGTTATCTTGGAAATATTGTTGACTTATGGGAAAGACTTGCAAAAGAAGATGAATTACTTGTCGAATTAGGAAGTGATCAGGTATGTTGAATTTAAGAGAGTGTTTTCAAAAACCGTATATACTTGACGACATGTCACACAACATTAATATTTTAACACTTGATTGCTTCACACAAAACTCAATTTTAGACCTCACTTCACAATCCACATGCTGGAGGATACTATCCTGTTGGATATTCCTACGAAGAATCAAATAAGATTATGAAAGAAGATCCAGAAAAATTCAAACAATTAGTCAGTGAAAGTTTGCGAAGACAAGTCGCTGCTATCAATTCGCTAACCAACAGGGGAATGCGATTTTGGGATTATGGTAATTGTTTCCTCTATGAAGCCTCAAGAGCAGGAGCTGACATTTTGAAAGACAATGGAGATTTCAAATATACATCCTACGTTCAGGATATTATGGGAGACATTTTCTCACTTGGTTTTGGCCCATTTAGGTATGTATAATGTTTTATCGATAATTATTAATGCGAATTTAAACTTTAATTCCAATCACAATCATATGTTTCAATGACCTTCAATAATTGTGACGGATCATCATTATGGAATCATCAATTTATTGGAATATAATTGTTGCAATTTGCACAAAAAGATGGGTTTGTTTGAGTGGAAACGAGAAGGACTTGGAAACAACAGATCAAATTGCAGCTCAAGTCATTAAGAGTCTCATGGAAAAAGCTCCAATCAAACCTGCACAGCAATACAAGGATAATTACAAATGGATTGTACAAGCTGGCGAAAACAAACTTGTGGTTGGATCTCAAGCAAGAATTCTCTACTCTGACATTGAAGGCAGAATGCAAATTGCTCTCGAATTTAATAAGGCCATCCGTGAAGGAAGAATTTCTGGACCAATTGCACTCAGTAGAGATCATCATGACGTTTCTGGTGCTGACAGTCCTTTCAGAGAGACTAGCAATATTTATGATGGATCTAACATCACAGCCGATATGAGCACACATACGTTTGCTGGAAATGCTATTCGTGGCGCTACATGGTGTGCTCTTCACAATGGAGGTGGAACAGGTTTTGGATTGGCCTCTAATTGTGGTTTTGGTCTCGTGTTGGACGGAACTGAAGATGCAGATGAGAGAGCCAAGAATGTGTTGTTCTGGGACGTTTCGAATGGATTAGCGAGAAGAAGCTGGTCCGGCAACAATAATGCATATGAAACAATTCATAGAGCCATGGAAGTGAATCCAAATTTAAAGGTTACAATTCCAGAGTTTTGCGATCTTGATCAGCTCAATTTGTAATGTATTAGATGATACGACTTGATGTGGACAAATAGTTTCAACTTAAAAGTTTGATACTGCATTCCAAGCAAATTACACGAATAAAAGCGGATCATTGTGAACATCCAAACCACCAATTACGCCTCAACGCTGTTCCTTTGCTCTTCATTGGTGTTTGAATTGAATATATTGGAAGCAGAATTATTTTCACTTAATCTCCTGCGAAGGTCAGTCGTGAAAAGAGCTTCATCTGCACTCTTTGAGGGATTTTGGTAATACTTTTGGTTGAGGAGATAGGTCTTCATTTTGCCCTGTTAATTGAAAGTTCATGAATGAATTTCAGTTATGCAATTCTGAAATCAGAAAACTACTCACCTTTCCTTTCACCTCAATTTCACGTTCTTCGAATTCAAACAAATCGTGAACTCTTTCATAAGTTTGTCGTGACAATTGTATTCTGCCAGGTACACCAGAACTCTCCATTCTCGAAGCAGTGTTGACTGCATCTCCCCAAAGATCATAGGCAAATTTCCTCGTGCCCAAAACCCCAGCAACTATTGAACCAATAAATTAATATTTCACACACAGAAACAAAATTCGAGCTACTACCTACCGACGGATCCACTATGAATGCCCACACGTATGTTCACAGAAGCATTATTTTCGGAATTGTAAATATAAATCGCACCAAAAGCATCCATTGCAAAACGAAGGACCTTTTCGGGGTGATCAGATTGCATGCAATTATGTAATCCACCAGCACAAAAATAAGCATCTCCAATCGTTTTGATCTTCTCTAAATCGTAGTAATCTGAGAGAGTATCAAAATAGTTAACGATTTTGTTTAGCATGGAAACCACCTGTTCTGGATCAAGAGAACTGCTCATAGTAGTGAATCCAACAATATCTGAAAAGAAGCAAGTCACATCCTGTTGTTTGCAGTATGAAAAGAATGAGTCAGTAAAAAGTAAGGAGATGACATGAACTTACCTTAAAGTTTTCATAGATATTTGTTTCTCCTGCCTTTAACCTATTGGCGACTGGTTCTGGCAAAATGTTCAAAAGTAAGGCCTCAGATTTCATCTTTTCTTGATTAATGAGATTATTGTGTTTGATTTCTGTTGTGATGTCTTTGATAAAACATGAAATGATGGAGCGTTTTGAAGTACTAGAGCTCTTGTCTTTGCTCGATTGTAAAATGCTTATTGAGATTGAGACTCGAGCAAAGAATTTTCTTTCATTCTTTCTCACACAAACCAATTCAAACGTCTCTCCAGTGTTTTCAGTAGAGTTACGTAGTCGCACAAGTGCTGTTTCTAATTTATCCTTACTCTCCTTATCAAACAATATAAGCAAGCTACTTCCAATCACATCAGTAGCCTTATATCCAAACATAGTCTCCGATGAAGGGTTGAAGATCTCAATGACAGCCATATTGGTACACAAAATGACTCCGTCCACTGCTGCATCACAAATAGCCTTAACTTCATTCCTTCCATCATCCTTAGAACTCTTTTTTCTTCTGAAAGTTTCTGTTCATGATAAAGTTTCTCAGAGGGTCAATGTTGTCTAGAACGTCACAAGGTACCATGTTAAACATCAACATAAAGATTGCTCTCTCTTTCTTAATCTGACCATAGTACCGTTGAGCGAAAATGAGTATAATCAAAACCGCTGCTGGCAAAACACATGCCAGCCCACTGATCATTCGCTCCCGAATTACGGTAGTGAAATAGTTAATGGACAATAGCATCAAGTCCCAGCTCAACGTTCTTGTCTGAATATAGACCATGTAATTCTTCCAAAACTGGTCAAGAAGCTCGGCGTCTGGATATTTCCTATTAAAAACATCTTCTGTTTGTCGAGTTAGGAGATACACATTGGCATCAATTAGCTGATCAAGTGACATGCAATATATTTGTTCAATTGCAAAATTGTTGAATGAGAAGTTGCCGCAACTCTTATTCGCAATTACTAGCTTTTGATCGATTTCACTACTCATTCCAACAAGATTAAAGTATCCACCTTCCTGATCACCATACTTGAATCCATTGTATTGGTCCATTATATTGTAGGACTTAGCAAATGTGTACATTTCGTCACGGGTATACCTCAAATCTTGATTGTCATCAAACAATAATTGAAGACTACCAAAAGTGATTTTTGTCAAGTCATGAGTAATTTCTGTTCCATGCTGAACTTTGGAAATTGCATTCAAGTTGTATTTAAGGTTATTGGTTGCTTCATATAGAATTAATGCTATGGATAAATAGATCAACAAAAAACACACAACTATCAAGCATATGAACAACCTGGGTGGAGAAAAATAGTTTGATCTCGAAAACTCAACTCGATGGTCAAATGCTTGAGTCTGTATGGTGAACAAATGATATTAATATATTTCAGCATACGAAGTTCAGAACTTACCTTTTTCTCCAAATCATTTCTAATTTGACCAACTTCGTCCTTGGGAATATGTTGGAGTAGCTTGATTATTTTTCTTCCCTGCTGAATAAAATTAATTGTAACAATGATATACATCAAAAAGTAAATAGAGAGCAGAGCAAGTACAGCTGATATTAGTCCAATCAGTACTTGTTGCTGATGTGCAACATGTTCAAAATTCCTTTGTGTTAATGTATCACAAAATACCTCAAATATATCGAGAAAATTAATTCTATTAGCCCAAAGGAATAAAAATTCATATCTAGAAGTGTTCAAAAATTGAGAGGCATTGAAATTACTAATGACGTCAGTAACTGTATAAATATGATGCATTAATTCTGCATAAGTCATCTCTCTTGTACTGTATGTGAAATTATTTGTGTGGTCTATTGAAGGAATGAGAACGTCCTTCTTCGGTGTAAGCATATCATTCTTCATTTGTTCCGTAAATATGGGCTGTTGAACAGTCTCGATCATAGTCAGTACCATGGACGAGTACCATTTGGTTCGGTCTTGAATAGATCTTAAAACTGTTTCATCAATAGCTCCATGTATTTCCAAGAATTTTTGAACATATCTATATTCACATACAGTGGCCATTGCTGAAATTGGTAGAGGAGCAGAATTAATCATGACTGTAATCTGGGTGTTTTCTGATGAAAGATTAATGTTAATTATTTCACTGACAATAACCGCTGCTATCGAAACGAATGCGATTGATGTAAATAAAATGATAAGCGAGTAGTTCACATTTTCCTTCTTGAGGGCGTTTCGATACAAATCCTTTAGCTTTTCATTGGGGTTTAACTTTTGTCCAAATTGCGAGGCAGATTCGAGGTCATTCAAATCTCCCTCTGGAATTTCAAAAATGCTCTTTCTTTCTGTAAATTTGGAGGTCTTGGTATTGGTGGAGGTGCTCATTGGATGGACTCTATTTCGAAAGGTAATTTGTGGAATAGTTCTTTTCTTTGCTTCTGATTCCTCAATTTCATTAGCTCTCTAGAGACGAAATAAATATTAAAGTCAATTTTTAAATTATTCGAACCTACTTCATAATACTCCTCTGCAATCTCTTTTTCAAACAAAAATTGTTCCATGAACCTTGCATATGCTCTATATACTGTTTTGTCACGTTTTTGAGAAATTAAATTCTCTAAAATTGTACGACAGTATTCGGTTTCTAACTGGATCTTTCTTGTCAGTTGTTCGACAGTGATAATAGAAAAGTCGTCTGACATGACATTCTTCCAGAATGTTTTTTGCAGAATCATAATATTTTCTTGAGACTTGTAAACCTTAAATAAATACTCTCCTCTCTCTGCACTTTCAACGTTTTGAGCTTCCATCAAATGCTTCTTTTGTATGTACAAGTCTAGTCTTTGGAACATATTTTCTGAGTTTCCTAACTCTTCGGCTTGCTTTAACAACATGAGGGAGCTGCTATGAAATCCGTCGATAAAATAATGCATATAGATTGCAGTTACAATCAAGTCTGTAAATCTTAGTTCAATCTTACTGGCAGCAAAAGAATTGATCAGACATCGTACATACTCTGTCAATGACCTATCTCTCATTGCCCACTGAATAACCAAATACATGGTTTTCTGATATTCAATTTCATTATCTGTAAGATTAGCGTCCTCAATCAAATCTATCACTCGCTTTACAATTCGCTTCGTTGTAAATTCAATGACAGCAAATCCCACAACAAATCCTACCAAGTACACTATAAATGCTATGCCCATTAAAATTAACCCATACATATCTTTGGAATCTTGCACAGAGCTGACATTTGTCATGACAGAATATGAAATTAGAGAAATCGCTGACCATGAAAAGCAACCAGTCAATATTGCAAATATGATAGAATTTTCAACTCTTCGATAGAATGGGAATCGCATAACAAGCACTACGCATAAGCCAAGTGTTTTGAAAAGATATAGAGATGGTACGGCATAATAAATATATGGTGGAATGGATTGCTGGAAAAAAGCAAACGTGACATTTGAAGTCAACCACAACACATGGAAAAATGGAGAGGAGGCAGTGAAAAAAACGCGAGTTGTAGGATTGAGATCAACCAAGATCAAGCACGATATTGCAGTGATAAAAGAGGTTGCAATCGCGCCTATCAAAGAAACTATTGCAATTGCGGCGTTTAAGGACGACCAGCAATACACGTTCTTATAAACGTTCAATGTTATCGTCACATAGTCGCAGTGCCATAATACTCCATAACAATACATCATTGGAACCCCAAGCAATATATGGACAAGACAAAATATTCTTCACGACAATTAATTAAATGAAAGTCGTAGTGTATGAACTTACCTTGTGTATTTTTTGATTGTTTTCCAATAACGGTTTCCCTTGCCTAACCACGGAGAGTAAATTTGTATTCATTTAAGTTCAACATCAAAAACTTACCCAAAGCAGTCAATGATAACAAAAACATGCTCAACGTTATTATATTGAATATGAAAAAGATCAAGTCGAGAGTAATGATTCCTTCATACGGAATGAAATCAAGTCCTAATGTCCATGTAAAGCCAATAGCTCTCATGACCCAACCTCCATAATATCCCCACTCATATTCATAATAAGTAGAAAGAGAAATCGTTTGAATAATCAGCCATGCATACAGAAGAAAGGACAGCACTTTGTTAGGGATTTGCTCCGCTTCTCGTAAGCCGGTTATGAACAGGGCAAAGCCCTTCTCTATTTTCAACCCTCCCCGAAGTGTGCTTGATGAGTTAGCAACACTTTGTTGTGCTACAGAAGGCGCTGATGGTATAAAGGGAGGCTGTGATCCAATTTGAAAAGGCTCACTTGCACCTGAATCAAGTTGTGGATTTGTAGCTTGTGGTAAGGCCACTGAGATCGCATCCATACTACTTTGAACATCATCCTCCATTGCCGTTGTTGTTGGACCGTACGTAAAACTTCGGTTGGATCGATTGCGGGTGATATCTGGCCTTAGTTGTCGTGTGGAGGGTACTTCTAGGGAGGAAGACGCTGGCATATTACTAGTTGTAGTTGTTACAACAGTAGTATGATTATAATTATTCATAATCGTAGAGCTACCAGGATTCTCATGATTGAGGCCATTGTGGTTGTTGTGGTTATTTGCCAAGGCACCCAACATTTTTTTTAACCTTCCTTTCGTAAGGCGGAAGAGGCATCAAAAAATCTGAACTATCTCTGCCTTGAGAGAGAAAGGAATTTTTGTAGTGTCTTTCGCAAATTGATGGCCAGTGATTCTCGATTAAGGCCAATCAAGTATAATGGAGATCAAAAAAGTCACACATGAACCTTCCAAAAGAAATTAAGATATGTCGTTCATTAGGTAATTATAGAAATACAATTTCGAAATTTGGAGAGAGATATTGTGTTGGACGTTCATATATATATATCGATAAATTTCAAACTGTCATTTACAATTATAAAAGCTAAACTAATCCAGAGCCATGCATTTACTCAGCCTGGAACGGAAAGTAAAATATTTAATTCGGAAAAGTTGTTGAAGGCATGATCGTCGGTTCACCTTGGGTCACTTTTGATTAAAGCAATTCTGTGTCAAAGAATGAAACATTTTTTCTTTTCGGTCGATTTTTCTGGGTTCTTCAAGAAGAATGCAACAAATAGAATCATCACCTTGAATTGATTTGTATTGATACAATATTCCCTGATTTCAAATTGAAGACTTTCGAAAACAAGCGTTTCGACTCTTCAATTTTCGTTTTGAATAATTTCAGAAACAAAAATAGAAAATTTATTAAAAAAAATTAGCGACTTTGTAACTCACATTCCGAAAATTGTGTTGTTAATATTTAAACCGCAACTCTTCATTCTTTTAAACCTTTGTTATTCTTCTTTACAACACTCCATCGGAACGAATAGGTGCATCAAAATTACTAGTTTCTAGAAATTTTCTGAGAATCATCAAGCCCTTTCTTAAGCTGATATTTGAATAGTATCAAATTGTTTACAAATTATAATTTCAATCTTTCATCACATGGTTTACATCTTTAATACTATCATCCATTAATTATCATCATTTTCATTTACGTTCTCATCAACAACAATGAAATTAATCAAGAAAGAAATTGCTGCCAAAGATGGCGAGGGTTACATTGAACTCATGCCCGAAATTGATGAAGACCTTTGGCATTTATATCATATTATTGCTATTGGAGATCGTGTTCGAGCTACAACCATTCGTAAAGTATCAAAAGAATCAAATACAGGACTTGTTAGCAATGAAAAGGTGAAAATTACGATCACCATTGCTGTAGAAAAGATTGACTTTGATCCGAAGGGAAAGTCTTTTCGTATTTCTGGAAAGAATGTTACTGAAAATCAATATATCAAACTCGGACAATATCACACCTTTGATTTAGAGTTAAATCGTAAATTGTCAATTTCCAAAGCAAGATGGGATCAAGTCTTTCTCGACAGAATTGAGGAATCCATTGATATGACTAAAAATTCAGATTTGGCTGCTGTTATCATGTCAGAAGGAAAAGCCCATCTGTGTCTCATTTCACAACACATGACAATTGAAAAACAAAAGATTGAGAAGAGTATTTCAAAGAAGCGATATGCAGAGTCACATGAAAGTGATTTGAATAAGTTTTTCGATGCCATCATACGAGGAATTCAACAACATGTGAATTTTGATATTGTGAAATGTGTCCTGTTGGCATCTCCTGGATTTACTAATGAACAATTTCTCGAATACATGAACAAGATAGCCCAACAAAAAGACCTCAAAGATTTATTGGCCAATAAGGATAAATTTGTTTGTGTGCACTCAAATACAGGGCATTTACATGGATTGAAAGAGGTCTTGCAAGATGAATCTGTTCTGAAGAAATTATCCGATACAAAGGCAGTTAAGGAAGTGAAGGCTCTTGAGGAATTTTATAACATGCTCTCAGTGGATCAAAACCGTGCTGTGTATGGGCCAAATCATGTCATGAAAGCTGCCGAGCAGAATGCAATCGATCTCTTGCTCATTACTGATGAATTGTTCAGGTCGAGTGACCTCAAACAAAGAATTGGCTATGTGAAATTGTGTGAAAATGTTCAATCTACGGGTGGAAAGGTTGTCATGTTTTCTGGCATGCATGTAGCAGGAACACAACTATCACAAATGACAGGTGTTGCTGCCATTTTAAGGTTCCCAATGACCTTCGAGGATGTGGAAAGCGAAGACGAATCTAGTGATGAAAGTGATGGGGATGACCAAGCATAACATATGTTACCTATTGCAGTACAACCCCTAACCACACATCAAATCAAACTGAGCATGTTCAACACAAATTTCAGTTGCGAACCAAAACCTTACAAATTTGGAAAGTCAGAAGCGAAACAAAAAGTGTCACAATTGTGATAAAAAACCGTTTAGTTTATAGTTGTTCAATCCTCTTTAATGACTTATTCTCCGCCAGATCCACCCAAATTGACTCCGAGCAATCCTTGCATTTGATCGTACAAGACCAAGACGAGGGCAGAACCGACAGTTCTCAATGCGTTAGCACCAGCACCCTTGAACATGGCATTCATACCTTCTTCCTTGAGAATCTTGGTGAAACAGTCAGCAGTTCCCTTGTAAATCCATTGTTCCTTTGGCTTCTCAGATTGCATTTGGAGACGTCTTCTGACAGTGTCGAATGGATAGGAAGCATAACCAGCAGCAATAGCAGTGGTTTGAGCGACAACGAACTTGGAGACGACACCCAAAACACCGAGGTCATTCTTGTATGGATTCTTTTCTCTCAATGAGTCATACAAACCAAAGTAGACTCCTCTGTATGGAATAATACCGGCAACGGAGACACCGAAACCATTGTAAAGACCTAAGACACCTCGTGGACCTCTAGCAGTCTTAACCAAACAGTCACCAAGACCCTTAAAATCTCTGTTCTTACCAACGTCAGAAGCAAGACGAGTTCTAGCATAGTCCAATGGATAGACAATGCACAATGAACCAGCACCAGCCAAACCACCAGATGCCATCTGGACCAAGAAGAACTTGCCGAACTCTTCCTTTGGACTGTACTTAGGGAAGAGCTTCTTGATGGAATCCTTGAAAGCAAAGTTGAAAGCTTGTGTTGGGAAATATCTAATCACGTTGGTAAAGTTACCTCTCCAGAAAGCAGCAATACCTTGTTCAGAAGCAACTCTAGTGAAGCAGTTAACGATACCAGTATATCTTGGGATTTCTCCTGAACGGATACGTGGGTTAGCATCTTGAGTTTGGATGAGCAACTTGACTCTTTCAATTGGAGCAGTCAAAGTCTTGGCGACAGCACCAGAGACACCACCCAAAGCAAAGTCTCTAACGAAAGCAAGAGTGTTTGATGAAGAGCCGGAGGATTGAGACATTTTTTTTCAAGAACGGTTGTTGTAAAAATTTTACGTCGGTTGTGTTGGAGGAGATGGAGAATTATTTATTGGGTTTTCATCCAATCAATTTGCTACCCACCTCCAACAACAACACAAAGCGCATGAGCTTCCGAACAACAACAACCACAGGATGCCTCGGTTGAAACACACTCCAAGTAATGCATTAGAAAAAGCATCCAAAGATCAAGAATGGAGAGATGACATTGTCTGGGTCATGAGCCAGTGTGCAAATTTGGTGTGTGGATGACAGCGAGTCGGAGGCTCAACAAAAAAGATGAACCTCTCGCGTGAACACCAGTACGTTTACACAAGAACAGAATTTTAATTTTGAGAGTCAACAATGCTATTATGATAGAGCGATTTTATTTACAAATTTCTATTTTTGAGAACAATTATTAATGAGACAAGTCAAATAACGTTGATGATGTTCTCGAATGGCAAATTCTGTGACATCCTTAAAGACAGAGCTCACATTTTCTTCATCCATGGCACTCAATACTCGAATCAATACTGGAGCGTCCTCTCCAGAAGTTGTTGGAATAATTCCACTAGGCACATGAACACTTCGAGTCTTCAAGGCAGCATTGACATATTTGTCTTGTAAAAATTGAACACAATCGTTGACATTCTTTTCATCTTTTTCGGGAGGAAATTCATCTTTAAAGTGCGAAGAGAAGGAAGATGAAGCAAGTTTCGATTCGAGTAAATCAAGTTTGTTGAATAAGACCACAAATGGAATTTTGTGGAAATGTGGATTGTGGATTAAATCTTGGAAAATGTCAAAACTTTCCTTATGACGAGGCGTCTCTCCATCTTCCTATTGAGGAGGAAGAGACATGGCAAGATCATTGAATTTCATCATATGTTTTGATATTAAGGTCATTCAAACGCATAATTTGAAAGTGTGAAAAATGTCAAAACCAATGCATGAACTTGCAATACTTACGTAACAAGTCAAATTAAATTCCGATAACGAGACAACAAACACAATGACATCGGCAGAATTGAACTGATGAATCCACTTTTTTCGTTCCAATCGTTGACCTCCCATATCGGTCAAACACATATTACAACGATCTTCGACTCGATATTTCAATTCCTGAATTCCAATAGTTTTTTCTCTCATCATGAGAATATCCTTTAGAATGGGAGTATAATTGTTATCGAATATCCTTTTAACATTTTCAAAAAAGCTATTTGGGTTTGTTCGAATATTTACCAAATATAATATCAAATGGAACTTACTAGGGAGCTGTTTCAAAGATGTGAAATTCAGATTTTCTTTCATAAGCTTGTTGAATTCCTTCATCTTTCCACAAATCTTCAACAAGTTGACCTATTTCACTTTTAATTTCATTTTCTGGAGTGAAAATGACATGTTGAATGGACTGCTCTGAAAGTTTTGAAACCAAATCTTGAGCTCGAGCTCTCAAATCTTCTCTCGCAATTTGAATTCCTAAATCTTCACATCCTTCGAGGAGCCATCTCACGTTCTGCATGACATTTTCTCGAACAACCTCCTTGTAGTCGTCGATTTCACCCTGGGAATAGTAATAAGTTGGATCCATTTCATTGATGGATTGAGTTTTGACAGCTGGTCCTTCACACACAAATTTCAATTGTCGAAAGAGAGTACTTTTTCCAACTTCACCGGCCCCTAACATGAGCATGGTGATATTTTCTGGATCTATCATCTTGAGACCATTGGTGGAGAGTTGAGAACTGTATCGACGTCGTGGTTGTTGTGAAGAATTGTTGTTGGTTGAGTTTGGCGAATTTAGTGACGATGCACAATTATTACTTCCATACATAGACGAATTGTTACTGTTAAAGGAAGGATTGGAATTTAAATCATTCGAAGAAATCATGATTCCGCTTTTAGCATTTCCAAGCATGACTGGAGAATTGGTTGTGTTTGGATTCGTCTTTTTCGAATTAGTATTCACTTGAGGTATAAAGAGAGCACCATTCGGAGATGATGACAAAGGAGAAGAAGGATGTGAGTTTGGAGGTGATTTAGTTTTTGAGAAAGCTACTCCGTCATTGGCAGAGAGGGCACTGACTTGAATTCCCATGATGGTCTGTTTGAGTTTTTTCAAAAGTGAGATGACTGTGATTGAATGAGAGAGATTTGGAAGAGTTGTTGTCGATGATTTTAAATGTCCGTTTGTTTAAAGGAGCAGAGTTCAGTAAATTGAAATTGATACAACAGAGAGAGAAGTATGGACTAATTGACTCAATGTTGGGTAAGAAGAAGTCAGTCGAGCAATTTGTTATTTTTCTTTTTAATGTGTTCCAAAATAGATCTCTATGTTTCAACAACTTTAGAGACAAAGTACAGAGACATGTCATTCGACATTAGTGGAAAGAGATTAAAGAGGCGTTTGGTGACATGACCGGTCATGACGAACGCAAAAAAGTGGTTGTATTTTGGCGGTGTCACCCATCAAGCACGACAATTAGTGAAGTAGAAAAGTTGAAAAACCTATTGAATACTTTTATTCTGTAAGTTCTTTCAATTTAAGTTTGATTCAAACATGAACTGGCTTGCTTTGGTGTTGGACGTTTACTAAGACCATGCTTGACTTAAGCCATTCTTAGAGTCACTCTGAGTTCACTCTGAGTTTTCGTCTCTCTTCACGGACGACACTAATGTCATCTGGAAAGGAGTGGTTTGGTGTCGAAACAGTTAGATGTTGAAAGTTGTCTTGAGAGAGAGTTGTAACAGACTTGGAATTCTGATTCTTGTTTTCAACAATTTCTCTCCGCTCTTCTCTTTTTCTTTCACTACATTATTCATTTCTCTCCGCTCTTGTCGAATTTCGCTCAACTTTGGGGGCTGAGTTTGAGGTCCAGCGTTTTCACCAATGCTTACGACTGAAGAAGGAGATGAACGTTGCAAACCACTGTCAGAACAGATCATTGGCTCCATTTTGATGTCATTCACATTGTTGGTCGTCACTGCTTGGCGTGCCACGTGAAACAATGAGGGAATGATTGTGGCTTGGTCTCTAACATGTGGTGGTGATTTCGAGTACACAAAGTCATTGAAAATATTCAAAGTAAAGATCGCTGAGGGATTGAGTTTGTCGACGTTAAACTTCCCAAAACTATTTCCCATAACTTCAGGTAAATCGGCGAACATATCCTTTCCCGAAGGTCCTTTAAACAGTGTTTCAATATATTCTTGCATTGAGAATGACAATTTTGGACCATTGGAGGAGCAGGCACTGACACGAGCTGTATAAAAAGGTTCTCTGTTAACCTGTTGCTTAAACTGTTTGTACCATTCAAAAACCATTCTAAAGGGATTCTGATTTTTGAGGAGATCCTTCATGGGTATGTCATTCAATTGAATCAGCTGATGCAAATTCGTATGAAGGACCACCATTTTAGACAATGGATCGCCGTCCGTAATAGCACACTGTTCTCTGGACATGTATTGAAACAAGAAGAACACAACGAATTTGCCCTCTTCAGGTGCCTGAAGCAGGCACCTTCTCATCTAAGAACTTGAGAATGGCGTTAAGGAAATCCACTTCTTGTGAGAAGGCCCATGATGATGCTGTTGCAATACTATTGGAATCTCCTTTCGAGAGGAACTTGAGGAGAGCTCTCAAAGACATCATCACCTTCTCCAATGGAATTGAAAACGTAACGGAAAGAGTTTGGTTGATCATTCGAGAACCTCCCCTCAAAGTCAAACCATTCTCCACAAAGTACTTGCAAAAAGTTCATACCCTTTCCATCCACAAGACTGTTCAAATACGTTCTGAATTTGGTGCTGAGAGCACAAACCATGCGTTCACTGTTCTCCTTTGGATCCATCAGTGGGAATGGGGATCCGTGACAAATTCCAAACCACATCCTGGACGAAATGGACTCTGGGACATATCAAACGTAGCATGAACGGTTGGAGGTTCCCGAGAGGTTGTTGTGGTTGGAACTTGTTGTTGATTCACCAAGTAGTTGGAGTAGGGTGGAGGAATCTCCAATGGGTTTCCCTTTCTCAAAATCATTTTTCTATTTTCCAACTTGTAGATGAGTTGAGAGGGATCGGAGGGATCACGTTCACCCATATTGAAGGAAAAACTTCCCATCATGCCTTGTGGGGTAAATGATAGAATCTGTTGAGGTATGATTCCGTATAGAAATAGGGTGGTGAGTTTGGAAGTAGAGGAAGATTCCGTATAGAAATAGGGTGGTTGAAAAAAGCAACAACATGAAACTCCATTGAGAAAAAGTTTTCTTCCTCTACTTCCAAACTCGGTGTTTGCAGATTGGAATGGGTTTCCTTATCAATAGAAACCTTTTTGTGCTAATTTCCAAATAAAGGTTGACATTCCTTTGATAGGTGTCAACCACTCGCATATTCTCCAACATGTGGACACTTAATTGTTGTGATAAAGGATCCAGTCAACATGATGATTCACAGTTCAAGAATTGCTTGTTGCCAAATCTTTCCTCCCAAAAACCTTGTAACACCTCTCGGACAATTTAAAAAGGACAACAACAGTTTCCTTTTGACTTTTTGAATTTCATAAAAAAAGATTGCAATCTTTGGAATGAAGTTCTTTGGCAACAGCAACAAACGCAGCTCTTCCTCCCAGAACCGAAGCTTTCAAACTGCTTTTCAGGACAGTGAGGACACAGATGAAGAAGACTTTAAAAGACTTCCAAACTCTTCCAGCAGTAGCAACAACAACAAACTCTCTCGAACTCTGTCGAGTGGAAGCAGTAGCAGTTCATCGTCGCATGCTTCTTCTTGTCATTCTGCAATGGCTAATTTGACATCACCGATTTCAACGATAGTTTCTCATCACCAATTTCATCCACAACAACAACACCATCACCACTCACATCCAAATCTTCCTTCCTTCTCGACTTTGTGGACCCTCGATGATCAGCAAGATGCAATTTCAAACATGCATCAGGTTCAACCTGTGAATATTGCACCAAAAAATTCAAAATCCAACGACTGCCATCAATTTAAACATGACCCAATCAATGTACATAATAATAATAACAATAGTAATAATCAAAATGAAACATACTTCACTAACGAACAACGCCCCCATACCTACACCATCTCATTGCAATGGAACAAGTCAAAGAAAAAGTTTTGTCTAGAGAATGATATTTCTTACTTTTCTCAATTCACGAGGAGGACATGCTTGCTGACATTTGTGCAATGGCATTGGATCAAAACAAATATTAAGCAGCCATGTAGTAAATTGTATCAAGACATGTTATCGAGTGGTGGGTCTTCCTTCTTTAGTAAACAGCCAAGTCAACAAAAGTTTCAAGAATGTGAAAAACAATTGAGAAATCTTCTTTTGAAAGCTCAATGCAAGCTGAATTGCAGCAACGATTTTGATGATAACCAATACCACCGACAGCCTCTATTTGTAAGTCGTAGAGATGTTGCTCTCGTTCTGAACGAATGTTCGACATGCAGAGGCCACTTGTTCGAATCTATTGAACTGCAGCTTAAATTTCCAAAAGAGGCCTCACTGAGCGAACTTTATCCACCAAAGATACTCATCCATATGAAAGAATTTTCAGATGATTTGATCGAGAATTAGAATTTGCAAGTTTGCAAACTATATGTTACGAATAAAAATCATTTTAGGTGAAGAAATTTATGATGATGCTGGAATATATTCAAAGAAAATATGAATTGAGCTATCCTAACAATTACTATTATTGTAATAAACTAGAACTCCATGTTTGCAATTATTGTAGTGAACGCTTCTTTGACCTCATGATTCAATTGAATCTATTGTGTGAATTTCATTTGTTCCGAGAATTTTCTCAATGTTTCTTCTGGAGTTTCTTCTTTCTTTTCAGTCTTCTTTTCATAGACAAATTCAGGAGCCTTTTCTGCGTCCAAAAGAGTCACGGTAGCCATGATGGCATTATCTCCTCTTCTATTCTTCCACAATCTTTCAATTGATGTATATCCTCCTTGTCGTTCCTTGAATCTCTCTGGGAAAGTTTGAATAGCCTTTTGGATGGCTTCCTCTTCATACAGGTAAGATTTAATTTGATTATGTGTGTGTGGAGTGTTTTTCTTTGCCAGAGTAACCATCTTATCAATAAAAGTTCTCAATTGCTTAGCCTTCATTAACGTTGTTGTTATTTTGTCATGTTTAATAAGTTGTGTTGTTAAACTTCTGAAGAGAGCTGTTGTTATGATATCGGAAGTGAATAGGAGAAAGAAAAAGACATTCATTGTTGTTATTTATCATTGGGTAATCATGTTGTCATTCCAATCAAAATCATAACACGAATTTGTTTCCAATCATCATCATTCAAAAAATAATTGTTTCATATCCCGAAGAAGTAATAGCATCATCATCATTCCATGTTAAAATATTCATATAAATATATATAATTAATAACCATCGTCGTAGATATGATTTGGTCATTAACATTTACACGTTCATTGACTCTCGCTCCCACTCACCTTGTCGTTGGGCTGCATCTCTCGAAAAATGCTTGAAAAAGTGTCCTTTCATTTTTTTGTTTATCAATTCTTGAAGGCTCTGAAAGAGGAGCGAAACCCCATTCACTTCTTTAAATAAATGAATTCAACAACATTTCTTTTTCCTTGACTTTTAGACATTATTAAGAGAACCCTCTCAATAAAAGTGAAATGACATTCAATCTTGTCAAACTGCGTCATTCGCGCCAAAATTGTAGTCCATAATTTGAAGCAAGTTTTTTAAAAAAATTATGCATAACCGATATCAGTACTCGTTTCTGCACGAGTCTAGGAAAAACAAGAGTGAGTTTCTTTGAACACAATGATCTGGTCGTGATGATGACCGTAGTATTTAAATAAATTATAATCCTATTGAATAGAGCCCTATGAGCCAAAACCGATGGAGGAGGTAATGCTACCTCCTTTAGAATCAAGAAAGGAGAGGACTCTTGCTAAATCGCTGGACAACCAAGCAACGCATGATTTATTTATTTTGAACAAGGAAGAGATATATGAATATGATATTAAGGACATGAAAATGACGAGCTCAAGAGAAGTTAGACATAATCCAAACCTTGCTCAAGCGAATGCACCTCCACCGAAAAAGACCAAAGTTACTTTCAGTAAGTACATTTGAACTGTAGTTGCTTGATAACGAAGACCTTTCAACCTTTTAGGCCGAGAAGATTTTATTGATCCCATCATTTCCGAAGGTATATCAGTTGAAGACTGGATGAAGGAAAATGAAAATTTGTATGACTTAAAATTCAAAAGGGATGAAAAGAGGGGAAAGAAGATTCAAAAACGCCCTTTTACCAGACCGGAATCTCAGTCGTCACTTGACTCGGGAGGCATGAGAGAAGGGACAACAAAACTTCCAGTTTTGAAAGATGTTTTTTTGAAAGAAAAACCTCCTTCCAAACAATTGGTGCATTATTTGGATATTCTAAGTGGAGAGGTAAGTGTAAAGTTTTGGTGCTGTATCAACCTTCCTTTCATCCGTATTCCAGAAACAATCCAACACAAAAAAAATACAAAAAGTAGCACCAGATGACGAAGAGGAAATTTCCAAATTAAAAACAGGTGATGACGCTGTGGCATTCTTTTCAAAAGCAGGAAAAAGCAGTACGTATTTAATATTTGTATCTTTGAGACCCAATTAATTTTCTATATAATACGTCAATCAGCCGCTGTAAAATTTGTATACTTAAATAGAGCCGATTCAAATGGCGTGGATTATAGACCGTATGATCTTGTGGTGGTTCCGAAGAGTGACACCAACCCAGAATATTTTACAATGTCTTCTACAGGTGTGGTTCATATTTGCCCAGGACAACCAACAGAATACATGTCACTCTCTGAATGGATGAAAGAATCAACAATGTTTAATGTTTTACGGCGAATTAGGTTCTTTAAATATTACTTGGTTCACAAATGCTTTAGATTATGGTATCAAAGTATGTTTTCAATAGTAAGCTCAATATTTTGTTTAATCAATTTATTCAACTATAGACGCAAGGTACCTCAAGTACAGCAAAAAGAGATTGGACCTTGCCAAAAACTTTTTCTTGGCCAAAAAGACATTTTCTTCATCCATTATGAAAATTCACAAGTTATCTTACGATTTACAGTATACACCAATTATGGATTTAAGAGAAAAAGAAAATTCTAGTGAACCATCTGTGACCATTGAACAATTCCATGAAGCCCAAAAAGAACTGAGATCCAAGTCTTCTAAAACGTTTGATGAGATTATTGAAAAAATGGAAGAAATCTTGGTACAACTTTGTGAGGACGTCACTTCACGATCTCGTGTTCCAGATATGAACGCCTCAGAAAATATTGAAGCTTATCTGAGTGGAAAAATACCAACTATTGAAACAGAGGATGACTTTTCAGCAAAGAAATCAAAGTCTATGGTGGAGGCTCAGGAGGAAGAAGAAAAGAGACAACGCGCTCTTAAAAAAGCAAGAGAGGAGGCGGACATGCTTGGAAACTTTATTCGTGTTTCAGACTACATGGCAGTTGAGTCTCTCGTTACTCTGTCTAAGAAGATCCTCGACAAGTTCAAGGTCACACTCCAAGAAACAAAATCAATTTTATTCTTGGTCAATTTACTTTTCAAACAAGATGGTAGTGGAGACATTGTATTTGAGCCCTCTGAGGGTTCTATTATGCATGTTCTGCAATCTAATTCTGATGAAATTGTTACTACAGTCAGTCAGGTTCCAAGATTATTATACATGCGTAAATTCAAGGTTTATTTCGATAACATGGATAAATTCAAGATGGACGAACATTTGAGACAGCTTCATGTTGGAAAGGTTTTGCAACGGGATGAAGTATTTAACTCAATCAAATCGCAAATAGAAATGATGTTACATAATGATTTCTTGAAAGCACTCGAGTATGGAAAGGACTTTGAGGGTCTCAAATACTGGTATAAGTTCGGAAAAGATTGGGATGAAAAATATGCAGAAAAACGTCACACTGTTCAAGAGTTTACTGACAAGATTAAGCATGTGAACGACGCTCTATTGGAATTGAAGAGAATGAACTTTGTACAAGAGAAAGGAATTCTATTTATTGACAGCAAACAGCTCAGAAATACGCTACAACCTATCATGGAAAATATTTACGAACAAATCAAACTATCGATCAGCATTACTTCTCGAGAAATGTGTCTTGAACTTAACAAAAAGTTTGTCGAGAGGGTGAGAATAATGAAAGAAGAACCTACCAAGTTAAAAGATTTTGCCAAATTTATCGACAATCATAACAAGATTAGGAAGGAAACTCGACAACTCATGATAGCAGCAGATGAAGTTGAAAAGATGAACGAGTTAGCAGCCAAGAACAAGGTGGAAATGGAAAGAGCCGATCAAGTTGCACTTGAATCGCTCAAAGAAATCAAAGACGAATTTCTCCAAGTATTCAAGAAGGCTGAATTGTACAAAGAAAATAATATGTCTTCTAAGAAGGCTGAGCTGGAGGAAAATGTACAAAAAGTCAGTGATGACTTGTTAGATATGATGACAGTTTTGAGAAATCCTCCGTTTGTTACAGCCGATGCTGACCCAGTTGATGTGTTGGAGAAACTTTCAAGACTTGGAGAGGAAATTGCACAATTTAAGGAAAAGACAGAAATCTATAAAGAGTACCAAGTGCTGCTAGAAGCACCTGTAAAAGAATGGACAAACTTGACAGGAGCAGAAACTCAGTTCAATATTAGGAGTCAAATATGGAAATCGATTGATGAATTCTCGAAAAAATCAGAAGTATGGGACACCACAGACATACAAAAACAAGAAATTAGCGAGATTGAACAAGAGGTTGAAAAGTACTATCAACTTGCGAATGAGTTGAGCAGGTTTGGTGAGGATGACGTCATACGTCTTCTCAAAAAAACAGTTCAAGTGTGGAAAGATAATTTACCAGTCATTTTATTGATCGGCAATAAGGATTTGAAACCTCATCACTGGGAACAAATTTTCAAGGGCATGGGCAAGGAGTCAGCTAAAGGTGCTTCATACACTCTTAGACAGCTTAGTACCCTGGGAATATTTATGTACAAAGATCTAATTTCCGAAGTTTCTACTGCGGCCTCAGCGGAGGCAGCTCTCTACAAGAAACTGGAATATATTGCACAAGTTTGGCGAGAGACTGATTTAGACTTTAAAGCTCTGCCTCACAGGAAAGATTTTTACATTTTGAATCAAACAGAGCCCATACAACGACTTTTGGATACTCACAAATCAGAGCTGAAAGAAATGTTGGAATCCAAATATGTGACAATAATTCGAACAAGAGTTGAAGATTGGATCAAGAAATTGGACAATGTCTCGATAATTTTCCATGAATGGCTTTCGTGCCAAAGACGATTGTTGTCATTGGAATATATTCTCACTTCTGACCTTATCAAAAAGGAACACCCAGAAGACGTGGCTAGATACATTTCAATTAGCTCTGAATTCAAGGACTTGATTAGCAAGACAAGCCTCAACAGAAATGTATTAGTAGCAACTCATGAAGAAGGAATTCTTGATTCATTTGGTAGATGGAACATGGCTTTTGATGAAATTGAAAGCAACATCAAATCTGCTGAAGAAGGTGACGACCTGATTGAAAGCGAGGAAGACGACGATGGAGAAGAAGACGATTTGGAAGACAATGATGAATAAACCTTGCTCGAGTGGGGTCTCAACCATGGTTCACTTTTGTTTTTGAAAAAAAAATGAGCAAATTTCATCAAGGAAGACACCAAAGTTTTCATGAGGATAGGAAATCATCTCAACCTCGGAGAGAACCGTCAACGACACCTTATCGGCCAAGAAGAGGAGATTATGATGGTTTCACAACAAGGCAACGATATCATGATAATAACCATGAGCAACATTATCGCTCAAAATCGTATGACAATGAACGCTCATCATCATCGTCCTATTATTATAATGAATCATCATCAAACAATAGATCATATAATAATCGCTCAAATTATGGAGGCTCATCTTCATCATCCACAAGAAGAACAAACTCCTATAACGAATATTCAGCACCAAGAAGAGAAGAACCACCAAGAAGAAGAAACGAACGAATGAAGGAGACGCGTGAAAAAATTGAACACAAAGAAAGCAGTAAAACAGAAGCTGCTTCCTCACCAACAAGAGACCTAGAATACGAGGTTACTCTTTCCGATGAGGAAGAAATCTCAAAACTAGGCATTAGTAACGAGCAAGAGGAGGCAAAGGAAGATATTTCTAATTCGGCCAACTCATCTTCAGAAGAATCATCATCCGACTCTACAACAAGTAACAGTGAGGAAATAATATTTGATTTTAGAAATTCTAAACGAGTAATTGCAATGATACAAAAACTATGCAATGAGAAAAAACTCACAAAAGAGAACAATGATTTCCGAAGCATTTTGAAGCAAAAATTAATATCGACCATTCTCACCCAAACTAGAGAATTTTTAGGAGACAATGCAGATGAAAAGTTTATTAGAAACTTTGAACAATACATGTCAAGGCGATTGATATATCGAAATACAAGCCATGCAAACCAATTTTTCGTGAAAAAAACAACTGAACAAAAGAAAAAGACAAAGGACGAAACATTCTTTGAATTTCTGGAACAATTAATTATTCATTTTGAATGGGACTCTAATGGACTCTCTGGAGTGCTGCTAGAACCGGTCCAATGTTTGTTCGTTACTAAAGAAGGAGAGAAGAGCTACGATTTTGAATCAGCATTCATGGTTATTTTTGCCAAAAAGCTCAATGAAAATAAGTCCAGTTTTACGTACAAGTTTTTGATGTGCTGTATTGAGGATGGAACTCTAAGTTTTCCAGGTGGAAAGAAGTTATTCAAATCTGAATCCCTTGCTGATTGCATAAGAAGAGAACTGAATGAAGAACTTTATGGATATAGTGTGAATGCTGGGTCTTCTATTAGACGAGGACCACTCTGTTGGATGGCCAACAATGCAATTTTTGCTCATGAGATTGAATGGAAACAGGTTTTAATCACTCAACAAAATATTGAAAACAACTATAACAAATTGAAAAAGGATGGACATATTATGGAATATAATATTCATCGTGTTTTTGACTCGAGCGTTCTTGAGTCACCTACTCTCGATTTGGACAAGGTATTAGAACAAATTAAGAGATTCAAGTATGGTGAAGAAATTATTTCATATAAATTTATGTATGACAACAAGGTCGAGCAGTTGGATGGAAATAGAAGTTATTTCTTGAAACAAGTATGTCGATTATTTAAAGCCAACATTAAACAACGACATGCAGAGGACGAAATGAAACGTTTGCAAAAGAAGCCACTCACTAAAAAGGAGAAGGCAAAGAAAAAGAGGCAAAGAAAAAAGAAATAATTTTCATATTTTGTTCTAATAATTTACATTTCTTTATTATTTTCACAGAAGGTCAAAATTCATGTCACAAAAATCTGACATATCACCGATTTGATCGGAAGGAACAGTTGTTGCCACAGGAGACACCATGGTCGTGCCTACTGAAGCAAAGTTCTCGAATGGTGCCTCTGTTTGGAGGAACATGGTTTCAGAAGCACTATTCATTAAAAAGCTTTGAAGCAACATTTGCTCGAGAACTTTCATCAATTGAGCTTGTTGTTCTACCGAAAAAGGATTTACAAAGTTGAGAGAATTTGGTGAGGAGGAAGTGGTGGAAGAACTTTCACTATTGTTGATATTAAAGTTCTCGACAGTTGGTTGTGGTTCTTGTGTGGATAGAGTAGAAGGTGGTTGCTCAGGAGAGGTTGCATCAAGCGAAGAATCTCTTGTATTCTCCATGCATGGTTTTTCTTGTTTCACTTTCTTTGATCTTGGCTTGCATGATGATGTTTTCGCTGTGTGTGTTTGCTGTTTTCTCTTCTTTCTTTGATTTCTTTTTTGTTGTTTCATTGCTTGTTGGGATGAGGTATTCGAGGGATTCACCTCAAGAACAAAATAATTCTCTGTAAAGTGGTTGCACTGACGTAATTGCTTTCTCAACTGAGTGTATCTTCCACTAATTTTACCAGTGACTTGATGAGAGGGATCAATATGATTGTGTTCATCGAGCAATGGGTCTGTAGCTCCTGCTGCTCGTTTAAGAGAAGAGCATGATTCAAGATTCGATGGTGGTAAATCTGTCGAGTTCATCATGAATTGGATCATTCAATGAGATGTCTTGGGATGGAATCTCGTTCTTGTTGTTGTTGTTGTTTTTGGAGGCAAGTTCAGTGGAAGAGACACTGCCAATAAGCTTGCTTCAAGTAGTGGGGTTGAAATTTTATTTTGGCAAGAATTGTTCCACTCAAAACAACTCCTTAAATGTGCGAATTGGAGTGCAAAAAAAATTTCTATTTTTGAAACTCAAACAAAATTAACGGATTAGGTAAGGGTTCGAATTAGGAGAGCTATTCTTCCTAACATGTGGACAAACACAAACTATAATTTCAATTTTTACTTTCTTGGCGAAATCCAACTATGTGTCTTACCGAACAGTTTCATATTGCCAAAAAGGAATCTTTCTCAACCTTAAAAAGGTTTTTCAGGCCACACCCATCCAATGATTGAGTAAATAATATCAAAGACCACTGCAAATAGGAAATAGACAGCCACGATTCCCACCGTAGTGTAAATAAATAATTTAGGAAGAGGTACTGAAACGATGTGATGAACATATTGCGCTCGGCATGAAAGAAGGAGAATGAGAGAAATGAAAAATCCACTTTCAAGGTTGAGAGCCATTGATGTAAAAACTTCCATCACAGTCAAGAAACTTCTTGGATTAATTTGTGCCATCACATAGGTGGGTAGAAAAGTCGCTCCATACAGAAGAATCTTCAAGAGCAAACTCAAACGTGAGGGTTTGTGTTTCAGGAAGGATATTTTGGAGAAGAGAAATTGAGAGAGACGTGAGGCATAACTGCCAGCTCTCTGTTGTGCCATTTCAAAAGTTTTCACATAACCATCAAGCATGTGTTTGGCACCAAAAGACATGGTACAAAAACTCACGGTAATGCTCAATGAGATGAAGAATTGAACGAAATATCCTAACCAGACGTATTGAGGATATTTTAGTTTGATAATTTCAATGATGGGGACGGTGGAAATTTCTCCTTTTTCTTTAGATTTGTGGAGAGATGGATAGTTCTTATCTGTGGATTCTTGTGGCACAATTCTCAACACAAAGAGACACCACAGGACATTAATGAGGAAGCAAACAAAGAGACCTAAAATGGCGCTCCATCGAAAGATTTGAATTTTCAATGCTTTCACTCGAGATCTCATTCTGAGTGGTGATGTTAACAAAATGTCGGCAACAAGTGTTACATTGGTTATTCAAACTTTAAAACTTACTCTGGTGTTGTTTCATCTTCGTCTTCATTAACAACTGCATGAGGTTGACTTTGACGTACAATTTTCGAATATCTAGACCGGTGTTATGTTGGGAAAACACATGTGTGATTACGTGTCACATTACCACAGATTCAGATTCAATACTTACACTGCAAGGAAGTTACAAGAAATTCATTCAAAAACCACACAATACTTACTCACAGGCAACGTGTTCATCACACCACCAAGACTCACTGTTCCAATCAAGAAAGGATGTCCAATGTATTGAAAATTGTCTGTAAACTCCAATTTCGTTTGCCCACTAATAAATCCTACCAAGCCAACCATGATTAACAACAAAGCTCCCTTAAAGATGGTTGCTGCAGAAATAATGTGTGATAAAAACCGTTCAAGTAAAAGTACAAATATGGTTAATATTAAAACAAAAGCAGGAATAAAATATGGATAGTAATCCTTAATGTTGAATAATGAAGCTATTGCAATGGGTCCAGCAATCGAGTAGCTTATTAAAATTGAGATAAAGTGAATGATGACGGAGAAGTCGAACAAAATTTGAAGTGCTCTGTTCAAAAACAATCTTCCAATAGCTGTTAAAAAATCACATGAATAAATTATGCATGAAAATGTGACGACCGTTCAACTACATACTGTGCAAGTCAGGTTCAAAAACAACTGGTTCTTTGTTTTCTTCTTTCACTTGAACAGTGGTTGCAACGTTTTCCTGTGTAGTTTCGAATGGCTCTTCTTGGTCGTCATTGGTCCGAGTAAGATCGTCGACATCTTCTCTTGTTTTTTCTTGAACAATATTTTCTTCTTCCAATGATTCTTTTTTACCATGTTCTTCCTTCATAATTAATTCTGTTTTTTGAAGTATTTCAGTCAAATACAAAATAATCATTGCTTGCATGATGAAGCAAACAACAAAAGTTGAAAAGAATGGCCAAAATCCAGTTTGATATAATTTTACTGGTAATCCCAATATTCCTGTTCCTAATATTGTTGCAATAGAAACAAAGAAGGTTAATACTCCAATCATCCATATTGATAACTTGTCTTTGAATGAGAGAGGTTCATTATTTCGCCTTTTGGCAACTTGCTGCTCGATGAAATCATGAAAGGCTTCTTCATTCATGCCTAGATCTTTATCCACTCCTTGACTTGGAGGATGAATATCCTCTTGATCAACCAATGGATGTGTTTGGTCTGCAGGCGTTGATGAAGAAAGATGAGTAATCTCCTCTTCTTCGGGATCGGAAGGATTTTCTTGATGATCGTTTGTTTGCATTTTTTGTTGGATTACAAGAATTGTTTTTTTCACAACAAATATATCATCAAAACATCCATCTAGATTTTTTGATGGATTTATTGAATTTTTGACAACTCTCTGCTTTGTCGTAATGCAGTTTTCAGTTTGCTGACTGTTGAGGAAGGCCTTGATGGCAATGTTGAGGTCGAGGTGGTGAGAGAGATGGAGGGCGTTATGGATCTAGAAAGTATCTTTTCCTTAGTTGCTGTTCTGTTGGAGTTTGACGATGTAATTGAAGGATGTAATGGTTTGAGAGGCGTTGATTTCGTCCTTTCTGGAGGAGGTGTAGATATTCTTGCTTTTTCTTGAAGCTTGTTTTCAAGAGCTTTCAAGTCCGACATGCTAGGAACCTTATATTCTTGCATTGACTTGTTATACGAAAATTCCTCATCAATTAATTCTCGAATATATTCAATGTCCTCTTGCAAAATTTCTTTTTCAAAACTAAAGGCCTCCCGTATTTTACAAAGAACTTCCTCAATGGAAAGAAAATTTAAATGTTTTTCTACTTCACTCATTTCCAAACCTGCAGAGAAACCTGACGATGAGCTCGTATCACTTGAATGGGAGGAGTGACGTGAAGATGGACGTGGAGTTTCAGGTCGACTGGGAGGCCTTGATTCATTTAGAATAAAAGACACTGCCAATGATCGAGTTCAGTGTTGTTTGATTTTGAAGTCTTACTTACATGCTTGTTTTTCTTTGTCAGACTCTACACAAATATCATGTTGCTGAAAACAATGCTGATGGTTAATGATTACATTCTATGCTTTTTGAAACAAACCTTTTTCAACATTTCTGTCAGAGTTTGAATATTGAGTTTAACTTTTTTGAAAACCGTGTCTCCTTGAAATGACATTCGTTCCCATTCAATTTGTTTTTCGCTTTTAATAGTTTCTCCTCTGTAATCATGTAAAATCTCGATCAAGCTTTGTAATTCGTTGTGTAGCTCCTAAATTCAATTTGGAAGATATTTGGTTTTTCAAAGTTTCCAATATTATCGTTGATCAACCTACTTCATTTTCCGAAATAATTTTCTCTCCAATTTGTCTCCGAATTGCATCTCTTTCCACCTCTTTAATACATCTACAAAATTGAGTCCAAAGTAAATCCTTTGTTGCTAACATCCTCACTTCGGGCACTCGCCCCATAAATTTGTCATACCAAATTGTTTCTAGTTTTTTAGAATTCAATCCCACTGTAATTGTTGTTTGATGATCATATCTACTCATTCCTTAAAGTTGATGGAGCCGCTGATGAGAGGAAACTAATGCTGTGATTGTTCGTTTTTTTGGAGCTAAAACTGTTTATTTTTTGGCGCAAAAAGAAACTGAACTCCAAACAACAACAAAAAAATATGAAGTCATCCACTTCTCACTCCCTCAATACATCATCACTCTCCTCCATGTCTTCGGCGTCATCGATCGATTCATTAGAAACTCCATCTTCATCATCCAGTGCTAGACATTCTCACCGTAATTTGAGCTCCATCAGCGAGAGTATTGGTAGGTTTTAGGAGAGTTCCGTATAGAGGTTGTATAAATGTCTTTCGTTGTATTCCTCAAAGGCTTGTCTTTTACTGTATCTAAAAACAAGTTTTTAACGAATGATTCTGAAGTGTTTTGTTTAAAATTTAGTCCAGATTCCAAATATTTGGCTGCAGGATGCAGTGATGGATTAGTCCGAGTATACACAGTTTCCGATGGTAAAAATTTGTACAGTCTTAACACAGCAAAGAAACAACAATTATCTCTTCCAGTGACATCTATTAAATTCAAACCGCACTTTGGATATGGTTCATCACAGAATATTCTCTTGGTATCAGGATCTAAGGGAGTTGTACAACATTGGCATGTGACGTCGGAAAAAATGCTCAATGAAATTGTTGAGCAAGATAATCAGGTTTACGTGGTTGATTATAGAAAGGATGGTTCATATTTTGCAACAGCAGGAAAGGATTCAACTGTTAGACTCTATGATGAGGAGACGAACATTTGTGTAACACAAATGCGAGGAGGAAATGGGGTAACCACTGCTGGACATACCAATAGAATATTCTCTCTCAAGTTTCATCCTAATGATGACAACATTATCATTACGGGAGGTTGGGACAATACGTAAGTATTGAAATTGTTCAATTTGAAATGTCCTAATACTTCAAAAACAGTGTCCAAATTTGGGATAAGAGAATGGATTATGCAGCTCGAAGAATTTTTGGACCTCATATTTGTGGAGATGCCATTGACGTCGATATTAATAATACTTTGCTCACAGGATCTTGGAGGTCAGAGGAGCAACTACAACTGTGGGATTTTGGATCTGGTAAATTAATTGAGGTAAGTGAAGTTGGGAGTTCATCAACTCATCATTCAAACCTGATTTCTCTTTGCAATAGAATATCAACATTCCTCATTCAGGTGGTCAACATACATTGAACGCATATTGTGCTCAATTTGGTGACAGCTCAGGTTCACTGATAGGTGTTGGAGGATCTGGAACAAATGAAGCCCTTATTCTATCGAGAGGATCTGGAAAGGTAGTTGGAGCAATCAGAGAGCTCGAACGAGCTGTCTTTTGTCTGTCGTTTTCATCAAGCCAAAATCACTGTGCTGTTGGCACAGGCTCTGGATCCATTTTCCTCTTGCATAAGTAAATAAATTAAAATCCAACAAGGTTTTTCATATCTCCCGTGAGGTGTTAGGTGTTACAAAGTCAACACGGTATAACAACAGTTCATGATCAGCCATCTTTTTCTCTACAAATATATTTCGGACTAGAAGTGTCAGAAATTAATAATAAAGTTTGTTATCATCATGATATTGTTGACAAAATGATTCCACACAGAAAAATTTTGACCAGACTCTAATTCTCCTTCTCGTTTGGAGGTAATTTTGTTTGCGAATTGTGGTTTTGACATTTTTTTAATTAATTTCGAAAGAGTCCTTTTGCTGCACCTGCAAGAAACCACAAGCAATTCGCTATTCCCACTCTTTTGTTGTTGATAGATCATCAGGTTCAATACATTGGAAATGGGAAGGATTGGAGGATGGAGAATCCTTGTTCATCACGCAAAAAAATGAACAAACGAACACTCGCTCTTGAAATTCTCACCGACCAATTTGGTGATGTGATTGGAAAGGTCGGAGGTGTGCTGATGCAATTTGGGCCACAAACAATGGCCGAATTAATTCAAGCAACTTCTATGCAATTTCCTCACATTCGGAATGCTTTGCTTGTATTGATTCAACACAATATGTGTATTTATTATGATAAGAATATTTATTTACAAAAATTGGAACAAGCAGGAAAGCAAGGAGAGGCCTCAGAAGAAGATGACATGAAGACTCAAACAGAAAAACAACGAGAACAAGAAGAGAAAAAAGAAAGGTGGAAACACAAAGGTGGTGGAGGAAATGATATCGGAGTGGCTCCAACTGCAGCAACTGAACCACAAGAACCCGAGTCCATACGGAACGAAAAGCAAAAACTATTTGAAAAGCAAAGCAAAATTATTTATTACCAAATTGTTATTGATAATATCATTGTGAGATTGAAGAGTGCCAAATTCTTAGATATTGTAAAGACTAAATATGGAGGTGATGGAGAAGAATTGTTGCATACCTTGCTGCAACATGGAAGGCTGACTATGAAGGATTTAATTCAAAAATCGTTGGAAACATCTTCTCATAACAATGGTATGTTCAATTTTGAAAATCTAACATTTTCTATCTAACATTATTCAGACTTGATGTTCTCAACTGAGAGTAAAAGGTCTGCATTTCTCACAACTTTCCAAAAGATGGTAAAAGATAGATATATCAAACGAGTACAGCCTTATATGTCCTCTGTTCAACTCGAAGAGCAAAAAAAGAAATCTAAAGAGAATACCAACTCTACTAGCGACATTTTAAACAAAATTGCCAAACAGAATAAGGAGAAGGAAAAAAAGAAGAAGACAGAGAAAAAAGGAAGCAGCAAAAAAAGGAAGACTCTTGTTGATGACGATGAAGAGGAATCATCTTCAAATCTGGAGCCTGAGAAAAAAAAGAAAAAGCAAACAACAGAATCAAATCTTGAATTTGATGTAGAAGATAATCTAGCTGAATCAAACTTAGAAGAAGACAGTACTTCTTTCATTGACGCTGAAAATATTCTTTGGACCACAAACTATGCTCAATTTATCAGAACTTTTAGAAATGAATCCATTTTGCAATATGTGGAATCTAAGCTAGGAGAACAATTTGCAGCAATTGTTGCAGCGGCATTTGAAGAAACTGCTCCATATCAACGATCAAAGAATGATCCAATGTCAACTCCCATCAAGTTTGAAAGGTTATATGAAAGAATACAAGAGAAAGAGGAAATTGGCAGAAAAGTTCTTGAAAATAATCTGACCTTTTTGTACAATCCTGAACTCGACATTTTGAGGCAAATGGGAAAAGACACTTATGTCATCAATCTGAAAGGAATTTCTGACAAGATCAAACGACAAGAAACAGAGGTAATCATTACTCAAAAATTTAGTGTGATTGGTTGTCGATTATTTAGATTACTGATCGAAAAGAAGTTTTTAGAGCAACGACACATCGCTGAATATGCACTTCTTCCTTCTCATGAAGCTAGAACTCTGTTATTTAACATGCTCAGAGGAGGAATGTTACATCTTCAGGAAATTGCAAAGAATAAGGAGCATGCACCTGAGCAGACCTTTTTCTTATGGAGTGTTAAACTGGACGATGTATTTGAGAAGTTAGTTGATGACATGTATAAAACTGTGCGAAATTTGAGAATGAGATTGAAGCATGAACAACAACAAATTATTGAATCAGGCATACTAGAAAGCGCTTATTTGAGTGAAGAACAGGAAAATCAAATTAAGAGCTTGAATAATATTGAAGACAGATTGGAAGCATCTCTCATCAAGTTAGTTGACTTAATTACCATTTTTGAAGATTTTTAAATGAACATTTTGAGAACATTTCACTCACAATTCAACGACTTTATATTCTCTTACGGTATTACATTTTAGAGCTCATACTTGGTACTGGAGGCAATGGCTTTGTAGCAGGACCATGCAAAACACTGCCATCCATTGCTGAAAATCTTGAACCATGACAGCTGCAATCAAATGTTTGCTCTGCTGCGTTCCAATCCAAATGACAACCCAAATGGCTGCACGAAGCTGAGAACAAATGGAATTCTCCATTCTTGTCTCTGTATGCTGCCACTGTCTCCATACCATGCTTGCAAATACCTCCCTCATCATTTACCAAATCTTCAATATCCTTGGCCTTAATAACATCTCTAATTCTAGTTGCCACAAAATGCTTGGACACGTGTGCTTGGAATTTCATCATGCTAACAGTAGAATGTGCTAGATCCCATCTTCTTGCATCGAACGTGTTTGCCCATGTTGCTGTTTCACCTTCCTTTTTGCCACAAATCATGTCACTCACAATCATTGCCGCTCCAGCTGATGTTGTGAATCCCCACTTTTTAAATCCCGTTGCAGTATACAACGTGTTAATTCCATGGTGCAAATGACCAATATATGGGATATAGTCAGCAGTGACATAATCAAGACCTGACCAGCAACAAATGACATCCTTCACTTTGAAATACTTCTTACCAAAGTCAATCAAATTCTTGTAGAGATCTTCACTGTTTCCAGTGGGTGGAAACTCTCCAGTTTTGTGTGAATTTCCTGCAATAACTAATACTTTTCCTTTACAACATCGACGAACAGATTTTCCTCCAAACTCGTCATACATGCCCTTGGTAATGTAATGTCCAAGAGGTGCCTCTACGCCATCTTGCATTTCAAAAGCAACACAATACGAAGACGTTGGAGTGACCACACCCCAATGTCCACTTCTGTTCAATATTGGCAAATGAGTGGCAATCACCACTTTTTGTGCCAATACATTTCCTTCATCGGTTTGAACAGTATGTGGTTGTGAGTAGTCCACATCTTGCACTCGGGAATCTTCATAAATATATGCTCCATTCTTTTCGAGAGCCTTGACAATTCCAATACAGTAATCATACGAATTGAAGATTCCTTGATTGGGCAAACAAATGGCACCCTTATTTGCGAATGGAATTTCATTCGAAATGGATTGAGGAGTGACAAGGAAGGTTTCCAAACCTGCTCTCTTAAGGGCAGCCATCTCTTCCTTAATAGTGTCCAACTCATCCGAATCTAAGGCAATCGTATAAGAATGAGAATCCTCCCATTCACAATCAATATCATAGGTTGAGATGTTTCTTTTAATTTCATTCAACCCAGCCATGTTCATTCGTGCATAATGAATCGATACTTCAGGACCGAACTTGTTCTCGATGGTACTATAAGCCACATTGTGAAGACACGTGACTTTGGCTGTGGTGTGACTTGAGACTCCACTGGCAATCTTATCTGCTTCAATGATTGCCACACTCTTTCCATTTTCTTGTAATTTCAAAGCTGTTTGTAAACCAAAGACTCCTCCTCCGACAATGCATACATCAACCTCTGGGCCTGTACATTTTTGTATCATCACAAGTAAGCCATAGTCGTCATGTGGTTTTGCCAATCATGATGTTGAAGAATGGTGAATTCAATTATCGCTGGGTTTCCTATTCGAATCGGATACGTACCATTTCCAGAGAGTTTTGGATAGGAAGGAATTTTATTTCGTACATGATTGGTTTTTCTCCAAATAGAACCGATTGGGAGTTTCATTGGATGTAAATGTACCAAAAGTGTTGATGGAATTGTTGATCACAATGTATCAATTATTTTGAGTATATTTGATGGTGGTGGTGATGTGTGAACAGATTTTTATGAGTTGCAAAAGCACTGCAGTAAGAGTAGTAGTATTATTTCATCATTATTAGGTGTGAAAGCTAAAGAAGAATCATATTATTTTGGAGAATGGACAGAGATGGTTGACCAAACTGAATTTAAATGCTTTCTGGAAATGATACTAATTTGGGAACAAGTATCGTCAAGGTGTCAACCTGAACATTCGAGTCTAACACACGAGCTCGTCTGAGATGGAGTGTTCATCATTATGCAGTTTGCCCAACGAAGCGAAATGTGAACCCAGCTCATGATCTGTCTTCCATTTCACACCATCTCAAGTGTTGTTCCCAAAAAAACAAATCGATTGAATCTGTTTTACAATTACACCTGGACTCAACACAGTTTCAATCAACCATGCAAGCCATTCGTCGAAAGGACAAAGAAACCACCGAGTTGAATCATTCGAAACTGGTCTCCATCATTCCCAAAGTTCAGCAAGAATTTCATTTTCAGACATGCAAGTACTTTGGTCATGAATACAAAATTTGATCGAGGATTACCTTTGAATCGAGAAGAACGTATTTCGTGGTATTGGCAGGATTTTGGATGCGCCTTATTTGTGGTCATGTATTTTGATGCTGGCATTGAATTTCAATGTGAAAAGTTATTAGAATGGTGTTTCATTGCAAGCCAATGGCGAAATGTAATTCATCATCTCGTGGTAAAATCTTTGTTTATCTCATTGTTTGCTTTGCAATAAAATTATAAATTAATTTAATAATCTTTTTCTTCGTTCATCATCGCTGTCATCACCAGAGTCAGTAAACTCATCCTCCTCATCTCCATCAAATGCATGAGCTAATGATAATGTTGCTGCTGCACCTGTTGGTGGCAGTTCTGCATCCAAGTCAGCCAAGTACTTGGATCGACTGAATACTTGCCCAATGCCTCTTCCAAAATATTCGCATACGAGAGAATAGCCATCAAATTTCTTACTGTTGAGTTGCTTGAAAAATGATTCATGTTGATCACTGGACTCTTCGAATTTTCTCTTTCTCTGCAAAATTTCTCGATGTTTATCTGCACACACTCGACATTCACCTTCGTTACCAACCAATAGACATCTTTGGTGATAGGAATGGTTGCACATGAAATGTACTGCTGGTAAATCAAGTTGAGCATTACAGAATGTACATGTGGTGGCTTGGAAAGTTTTAGCGCTTGTTTGTAAATCATGAATTTCCTTTCTCATTTGGGCTGTCTCTGATTGGAAGTCTTTAATTTTCTCTACATCTTCTCGAATCATTTCTTGCTCCTTTTGTATTTTTGAAATGAGATAATCTTTGATGGTATAGAGTTTTGTCTTTTCATTCTTTCCAAGAATTTGAACAACCAACAAAGGAGGAAGAATTTCCTCCTTTTCAATTTTTTCCAAAACAGTTGCAATTTCTTGTTCTACATCATCCTCCAATGTTGCGAAATAAGTTAAAACTTGAACCCAAAGGTTTGGATCCTTATCTCCATATTGATTACATGCTGTTATCACATTCTTATAGTTACGTTGTTCCATATAATATTGAATAATATAATAATGAAGTCCCAAGCTGTCATACATTTTAAGAACTCCTTCTTTAAAGTTTTGTGATTGAACCAACACTAACACGTGTTCCTTGTCATAATTCGACTGTGGATGGTCCAATGTATAGAGTAAACGATCTTTGAAGGACAAGTTTGTAATGTCTGTACTTGGTGAGTGAATTTCGTATCTGTCCACAATTCCTAGAGTGATTTCTAGCTCGGGTCGCTTCTTTGCATCTGCCTCAAGATATTTGAGATAAAGTTCAATTAAAGTATTGTACACGACCTTGGAATGTGAAACATCAGGTCGTAAAGTTCTCCAAATAACATTCTCCAAAAATATCATTAACCAATATTGATCTTTGCTTGAGAAACAGTGAATATATTTCTCAGGTTTTGGCTTTTCAAAAGTTTCATTCACACTATTGTACAAATCATCAAATCTGGTAGTTTGAGCAATTTGAGATTCGAGATTTCCAGATGATGACTGTTTGAGACTTCCAAGAAGAATATTCATGATTCCTTCTTTCTTTTTCTCAGGTTCTTTGCTTGATTCATTTGTGAGTTGAGCTACTCGTTGCTTATGACTCTCCATAATTCTCTTTTGGGTTATTCTAATATCACTATCAAGAACTCTGTTCGTTTCAGCAGGGTGAACAGGGAAGTAGTCAGTACATAATCTGATTAGTACATTTGTTGTTTCTTTGGGGAGATGTGAAATCAAAGTTTTTCCGTAAGTTTTCAAATATTGCTCTGCTTCAGTCAATGAAAGAGATTCTATATACTTGAGAGCTCTTCTGAAATTTTCTTTCAAATCCATTCTCTCTGCACCATCATTTGCTGAGTAGTCCGTGTCATCAAAATCCTCAAGATGGATTTTAATGTACCAATCGTGTTGTTTGTGCTTCATAGCCAATATCAGAGCATGTTCTTTGTAACCTGCTTTTCTGCAAACTCTAATTGCTGTCTCAACGTCATACATGAGCTTGTCTTGCATACTAATAAACTTGTCAAGCTTTTCCTTTCGTTCATCTTTGAGCTTGGTGTAACAGTTGAGTAAAAGTGTGGTGTGATCGGAAGTGGCTTGTCTTTTTTCGTGAAGCGCTTCGAGATATTCAGTCAAATTACGAATTCTATTCGCATCTAGAAACTTTCTAATGACATAGGAAGGTTCTAACCTTCCAATGGTTCGGCAAAATTGTTTCATGGCTCCATCATAATCCTTCTTAGAATATAAGTGATCACCATATTGTTTTGATATTTCAGGAATGTAATTTGAGTCAAGTTGCTCGCTATTCACCAAACTGATGGCAATAGAGTAGAAATTCTTTCTCAAAAGTAGTTCAAGTTTGGATTGGGTATCCTTTTCTTCAAGAAGATACATTTGTTGTTGTGACTTATTTTCATCAATATTTGACAATAGGAAAACGTTTCCCCACTCTTGTAATATGTGAGTAATATGCAGCTTGTCACTAGAATATCTGAAGGCAATATATTTGTTTTTCAGATCATAAATAGTGATAACTTGTTGCGCCTTGTTGGTGTTGTTGTTAATTTCGCTACTGATGATGATGAGATAATTTCTAAACCATTGAGCCAAAATCTTTTTTCCTTCAAATGCAAAACATGCTCCTTTACCTTCTGGCTTGTAAAACCATACTGCAGATTTAGAAGCAACTACAAAGTCACCATCAATGCTCATTGTACTACATCCAACCTCACATCCGGTAGTATCATCAAGAATTGTCTTTGATTGTTCAAGCGCACGTTGTGATGTACTGCTACTTGTGTTAATGGAATATTTAAACACTTGAGTGAGAGAGCAACAAAATAAAGTATAGTCATTTGGAGAGCTACCATATCTTCTAAATCCCAATCCTGTGATTCTTTCAGAAGAAGCACCATCCAAATAAAATACCTTGTGTGATGACTTTCCTCCGACCTTTGTGAAATCACCTTCAAATATTACGATTTTACCATTTCCAAGACCGAGGGCAATGCAATTAAAATCTTGATTAGCTTCAAAGCAACAAACCGGATATGGCTCTATTTCCTTGATCTGACCAAAGATCTTGATATCCCGAACTAATAAATATTGTCCAATACTCATATGTGCCGATTCTCCTTTCGTATATTCCTTGTATTTATCCAACGAATATATTTTCAAAACATCCTGATAAGCCTCTCCACCATCATCACCAACCACAATCAAACAATTTGCTTTTGGTACATGTTTGATATGATTCACCCGGACTTCAAAGGCTTTGCACTGCCGAGTATTTAAATTTTTATCCATCACATGGAAATATCCCCGATTATCTCCAAAGATGATTTTACTGGCACCACTTGTGCAACAAGTAACATTCACCGATGCGAAGAATTTTGTGGATTTCTCATCACTCACGGTGTGCTTGTCAAAGAAGTTGAATTTCTTCATTTTTTTTTAAAAAAAAAGATTAAAAAATCATCAGCATGAGCCCGATTGAAAATCACCACAACAAACCTCTCAAGGTTTGCCCTTATTGATTTTGTTGTTCTCATGAGAGGGCCGATTCATCATGGACAACAACCATTCGGGAAATGGCTACTTGAAACATTTGTTGAAATTTAACCGAGAAGAGGCTAATTTTTGAAGACGAAAAAATCTCACTCTCTCTTTCTCTATTCCTCTTGAAGAACAGCCTATCACCATCATCAACACCGTTGAGTGGAGACATGAGTGCCGAGCTTTTACTCTTTATCAACGATCTCACAGCCTTTTACACCAAAATCATTCTCCGCAATGAATACGCTCTGACCTACCTCGATAACAATTATCATTCATTGGTGTTTGTGGGTGGAATAGCCTTTCTTCTATGGACTCTTCTGCTAGTGGTTCCAATCTATGCAGTGATTTGGTTATGGGATGTTCGGAATTGTTATCGGTTGATCCGTAAAGATGGACTTCCCAATCTCACCAATTTGGAAGAAGAGCAAAATAACAATGATGATGACGAAGAGGAATATGCCAGTAATAATCTTGATGAGCGCCGTATTAAACTGAGAAGAAAATTATTCAAACGTCAGAACGAAGGCTGTTGTCGAAAGTTTTTAAATGTGTGTGGTAGTATTGGTCTCTTTGTTGCGTGTGTGTTGATTGCGTATATGCTCGTGATGAATTCAACCTTCAATAGAGTTCATTTCATGTGGATTGGAATCATTGCCACTGGCTTCTTCATCGCTTATATACTGAGTGTCTATGTGCTGGATTGGAAATGGATGTTGGTGTTAATTTATTACAGGGTTTTCAAGAACGAGGACTTGTCAAATTTCTCATCCTTGTCCACACATGTTGAATTGAATGACACAGATGCACAGCAGGATGAAACGTTGTTGCAGTCACAACCACAGGGTGACATGAAAAATAAGCTGAGAAAGCGAAGTCCCGCCTCCTCTTTGAGCAAACTTGAGTTGTTGTGTTTGGATGTGGTGAGCTCAAGAATTGCAAAAAGACCCAAGTTGACAGCCATTGTTGTGATTTCTTTGGTGGGAATCTTTTTCCTCATTTCAACATTGATTTCATATTTTCTTTATCATATTTGCATTGCATACGATCCAATTGAAATTTCAACATTATTTTCTAGAACTGTACTCTCAAAGAGAACTTGTGAATACGAAGAGATCTGTTATACCTATTTAACTGTTCCTGAAAAGATGAGCTCAGCGATGATTGTTAATTTCCAAGTTTCTTCGAGTCTTTTCTATAAAGGATTTGTAGAATTCAGGAAATTTGATCCACAAGAGGAATTAAACCTTGCAGCTTCTGTCACATTCGACAAGAACAAACAGGCCAGTTGCTTTTTGATGGAAAATATTTTCGAAGAAACGAGATATCAATGCTATGCTGAATTAACAGAGTTAGAATCTGGCTCATCCTACATCATAAGGGCAGCTTATTCACAATTCCAAACGGATGATAGTAGTGGAGTTCATTATGGTTCACTTGTGAAATTCAGAACTACTCCATCCGAAGAAGATAATGATTCTTTAGAAAATATTGCCTTTATCAATGGTGGAGACTTGTCTTGGAGAAATCCAACCATTGCTCTCGGAAAATATATCAACATGATGGGTTACACTGAAAAATCAATTGCTCCCTACTTTGCCATTGTTGGTGGAGATGTGGGTTATGACAATGGTTGTGCAGCTTGCTATCGAAGATGGGACGATTGGTTCCATTATTGGGCTCAACACATGACCACCACTATTCAGTATGGATCGGTTAATCATACGTATGCTCTACCAATTATTACAGCTGTTGGAAATCATGAGTCAGGAAATTTCTTGAGACCTCGCTCAGATGATGCATTCTATATTCGATATTTTCCAATGTCTATTACTGGAGAGACTGAGCGAATTGCAAAGGATCCCCAAATGACAAGAAAGCTTCAACATGTGCATTATCTTTCAAAACATACAATGATTGTAGTTTTAGATAGTTGGGTGCATGACTCACCACAAGATCAAATCGAGTACATTACTCAAATCTTTGAGAATACTCCACCTAACAAGTATAGAAACAGAATTATTGTGATTCACCATCCAATGTACACATCGGCAAAATATAAGTCCTTAATTGCAAAAGAGATGATCGACAAGTGGGAGTCTCTGTTCCTTAAAATGAATGTTACCTCTGTGTTTGAGAACCATGTGCACACATACAAACAAACCTATCCTTTAAAAAACGGCACAATTGTCACAAAGAAAAGCTCAGACAATTCTAATGGAGCTTCTTTTACCTACACCAAAGTTCCAGAACAATACAATCAACATGGTATCATTTATGTGGGTGATGGAAGCTGGGGAGTGACCTTCTGGAATGTAGAAATGGATGTAAAAAATCCAATATTTAGACAAATTGGAGCCCTTAGTCACGTTTATCATGTCAATACGAGATTGTTGAATTCTGGAACAACAGCATTAGAGTTATCTGCTCTTGGATATAACAGCACTTGCGGAGCAATTTACCAGGTTGAAGGCTCGAAACTTAGAATTCTTACTGTGTAACGATGAATGTTCACGAAAATTAAGATTCGCCTTTAAAATTTTGTTTTGTGTTAAAATCAACTTGTTTAATTTTTACACTCCATGAGTGGTCAATAAGTTACGAAGGCGAGAACACATTTTAAAGGCATTGGTTAAATGATCTAAGCCGGCAGAAAAACTGGAAACCTTAATTTTGGAGACATACTCTTCACTGAAAAACCCAATTTCGTTATCCTCTGTTATGAAATGCCTATGTCGAGATTCCGAGCTCATGTTTGTATTTTTGAGTTGAGAAGCGGAAGAGGTAGCAATCGAGGTGTAACTAATACCATAAACACCAACATGCAATTGTGCATTGTTGATAGAAAACTCCACAAGGGCTTCTTTCGGTAAACGAGGATGAAAAGCTTGTTGAATAAGCTCGATATTAGTCTTTTCCGAGATCGAGCTAGAAAGTCTGTACTCATCTGTTAAAAATCTCAAACCACCATACATTGTTAATTGCTCTCTTCCTTGTTGAACAAGTATCATCACACGCTCTAAAATGGATAATATTGTAGTCACATCCCTTTCAATTTTTGATGTTTTAGAAAAATAACTATTATTGTTCATATCTACTTCGTTGTCTTCATCACCTTCCAGAATGATATTCGAGTTTTCCGAATATTTCTCAATGTCAATATTCTTCATCTTATTAAGAGCATAATCAGCCATGTGATGAGCTCTTTGAACTTGACTCAAAGTATATGGGTCGTTTGGTTTAATCTCTGCTTCAAAACTGTTCTTCATCTTGTGTAACTTGAAGTTAACTTTTCCTCCCAGAATACGATATCCCTCTACCAAAAGATATCCTTTTAGAATCGAATGATTTTGATCAACTATGTGGAGCTGGATTCTCTCAGCATTGGTACCCTTTTTACTGAAACTGGCATTGAATCGGGAATGTGCAGCAGGAGTAATAGGGGTACGTGGTTCACCTTCGTGGGACGATGAAGCAGGAGGCTGTTCCGATCCTGAAGTATTTGGTGTAATGGCTCTCTCTGAATTTGTATTTGGTGTAATTGGTCGTTGTTGAGGAGTATCATTAGTATTTGGAGTGACGGATGTTGAAGAGGCTCCTCCTTGTGTATGGAGATTATTAATCGTATCGTTCAATCCAATTGGATGAGAGGTCATCACTTCACCATCCAAATGATTAATTGCTAATTGAATTTCCGCAATAATTTTACTCCATTGTTGTGGTACTATATTGTAGAGAAGATGTTTCAACTCCTTCATCATGGTTTCCTGCTCTAGAGATTGAATCATTTCTTCCTCCGATTGCTGTTGCTGTTGTAACGATGGTGATGTGGTTGGTGTTGTTGTGTTTATCATTTTTTTGATTTTTAATTTTCGCAATAAATTATTAAATACGAATGTGAGAAATAGAGCAATCCATTCCTGATGATTTATTTGTAGAATGAATTTGCATAACCTCTATTTGATCTGTTTACAGGATGAGCCTTGTCTGTAGATTTGGCTCTGCTCTGTGCTGTGGATGCTTTACTAGTCGAGATGGACGTCGTTGAGGCATTCGATGGTTTGGCTTGTTGAACGGAACGTTCTTCGATTAATTTCTTGAGTGCCTCTTTGCATTGGTTGTACTCTTTCTGTAAGTTATTTACATACTCAACTGCTTGTTGGAGGAGACTTTCTTTTTCTTCAAGCTTGGTCTGTAGCTTTCTATTGAATTCTACTGAGATGTTGAGTTGGATTCGGGTGTCCAGCAGTTTTGCTTTTGCGTCCATTGAGAGTGCAACATCGTGTAAATGTTTTAAAACATCTTGACTTGAATCAAGGTCTGATTGTTTCAAGAGTTCCACAACTTTGTCTACACCCTGATTGATTTCTGTGAGGGCTGTTCTTGTACTGACAAGCTCTTGCTGCATGTCCTTGACCACTTCATTATGGAAAGCGATTCTTGCGGTAGCTTGCTTAATTTCATTTTCTGGGCTTTGAGATTGTCCTTGTCTCAACTCCTCTCTTTCAGCCAAAAGCGTTTCTATTTCTTTTTTCATTTCTTCTATAACTGCAACATGATCCTTTCTTTCTTTGGAAATTGCCTCTTGCAATTCTTTTTTAAAGATTTCTGCACCTTCTTTTAAAGACTTTTTTGCGGATTCCAAGCTCTTTTCTAATGCCTCTATCAGCTTTTGCTGTTTTTCAATCTTCAGCCTAGTGTTATCGTTATCGATTGACTCAAAGACACGGTTTCGTAACAACTCATTCTCTTCCTTCAGAATAACCATTTCCTGCTCATAATTAGATATCTTTTCCTTTAGCTCATTTTCTATTTTGGCATGATTCGCTTTTTCAATTCGCTCTTTTTCTTCTTCTTCGTACTTTTTTCTAAGTTTTTCAATCAATTCATCTGCTTGATTCTGGAAATGGTTTGCCATTTCTCTCAACTCATCGTTTTCCTTTTCTAATCTCTCAATTTCTTTAGAGTTATCGTTGCTTTCAGGTGAAACATCTGTTTCTGTCTGTGCTTCGGCTACTTTCTTTTCTGATAAGTCTTTTTCAAGCAATTCAGCTAATTCTTCACTTCTCTCAAGTAATTGATTGTAATCAGCGGTAAGAGAGGAGAGTTCATACTGGTACATTTCTGATTGAGATTGAAGCTCGTTTCTTTCTTTCTCTAGATCTGTATATGCTTGCTTCATCTTTTCCATCTCAGACTTTTCATAATTTACATTTTTAAGAACACTAATTTCTTGGTTCAACCTGTTAATATTGTCCTCCATGGTTCTAATTTGTTGATCCTTCTTTTCAATGTCCTCTTTCAATTGTTTCATTACGGTGCTACCTTCCATTTCGGCCTTGGAAATATCAGCTCCATTTTTTAGTGTTTCCTTGAGCTGTTTTTTCAAATTGGTAATTTCTAATAGCAGACTCTCTATCTGCTCTTGTTGGGATGATACGAGCATAGCATATTCATCATCGTTTCCAGTTTTGGAGTCGTTTAAATGTTTCTGAATGATAGAAACTGTCTTGTCCATAGTTATTACTGTTTTTTCAGAGTTTGACAGCAATTCATTGAGGTTGGATTGATTTTCCAGTAAACTATTTGCGTTTTCTTTTTGTCTCCTTTCATAATCTTGGGCGTAAAGAGCTGATATTTCAGTACTAAGATTATGATTTTCCTCTTCCAGCTGAGATTTTTCAATGTCCAACTCCTTCATCTTTTCTTGCTTTTCCAACAATTGCCTCTTCACCTCGTTGAATGCTTGGTTCATTTCTTCCAGTTCTAGCAATGATTTCGAATACATTTCACGTAATTCCTTGTTTTCCAAGTTCAACATTTCTTTTGTGGATGATATTGAATTGTTATTTGCTTTTTCTTTTTCTAGCGTATCGACTCGTGATGCGGCATCTTCATATTTATGCCTCCAATCTGCTACTTGTTCCAATAATTCTTGGTTTTGGATATTTGCGTTTTCGCATTCCTTTCGATACTTCTCTTTCTTTTCTTCTAATCTCTTATTTTCTTTTTCGAGGTCTTTAACTGCTTGTTGTAGAGAATCTATTGTTGAATCTTTTACTTTCACTGTGCTCTCTTGATCCCGAACAAAATTCCTAAATTTCAAAACAATTCAATTTAAACAAAAATCCACCACACAACCCATACCTTTGCTTGTTCAACTCTTCCTCCGAAATATCTAGTGCATTTGTAATTGTAAGAACTTGATTCCGAAGGTTTTCATTTTCCTCTTCCAAAAGGCGGATTTGCTCCTCTAAATTTTTATTTCTTTCGCTCAATATTTTGATTTCTTTTTGAGACTCTGATTTGTCATCCCCTGATGAGAGCTCCTGTTGATTTTTCCCGATTTTGAGAAGCACCTGTTTCAGTTTTTCAATCTCCTTGTCTTTCTTTTCCGACAATTCTTTCAAGGATGCAATCTGAAGATTTTGATGAGAAAGAAACAATATTACACCAAGCACAATGAAATCAAATCACTTACCTCTTTCTCGGCAAACATAACCTCCTCAATAACAACGGATAGATCCTTTTGCTTTTTGGCAAGCCTTTGCTCCAAATCTTTCATCTTTTGTGCCATTGATGATTCTTCATTTGGGCTGATTGTTGTGGGTGTTGTGGTTGAGGTGGTTGGACCCGTCGTCTGAGAAGAGGACGACACCCCAGAAACAACAGGCTGCTGTTTCTTAAGGAAACTCATTTTTTTACAATTCCTTAATTTCTTATAAGCGCCAATTGATGCTGAGGATCAATAGAGTAATAGTATAGGAGGAATTTCAACAACCATGGGATCGTGTTTTGCACATTTTAATGGCCCAGATTCATTCTGCAGAACATTACATGTAGGGAGAGCTTTGTGAACTTTGCAACTGCTGGTGCTGATTGGTTTTATGTGCTTCCTTGACTCCAAAACAAACCGTGCAACTGATCACTCCACAACACACCAACACTGGAACCAACACCGCCACAATGGCACAGATGAAGAGAATGAGACCTGCCACCACCGAGGACACAATGACTGCAATAACCCAATCTGCCAACGCTTGGAGAACAGCAGAGCTTACACTTGAAACACTGAGTGTAAATTTGTTGTTTTGAGTGGAAGGACCATTTCCAAAAACTCCAATATAATAGATGGTGGCTGTCGATTCAGATTTGTTTTGAACAATAAGCAATTCGATCAATAATGGAAGAACAGCATTTAAAGAAATGGAAACTCGGTGTGTTGTTTTGACCAAACTTACCTGTACCGACTGCAACGGTGCGTGAATAGTTGGTCACTTTGTAATCGTAATTGGAGAGAGTTGGTTGAGAAAGTTTCTTGAAAACCACCGTTACGTTATCATTGGTCCCAATAGATACTGTCAAGAGACGATTAGAGTCCACGTCAATGGAATACATGTTCGAGTTTCCTCCAGCAACAGAGGAAATGACAGTCTCTCCTCCTGTCGAAAGAGGTGTCACTGTGTTGGTTTGGGTTATGGACTGAGGAGAAAGAGACCATGCATTGGACAAACCAATCATGTGAGATAGAGCCAAAAGGATCAACACGAAAGCAACGCAATACAAGATCCGCAAAGATGACATGTCTCACGTGAAGTCGTTTATGATGTGTATTTTTTTGAAAGATTTGAAGAGATTTGGCAGTTGACATTTATCAAATTTGAGGAGCTCCACCAATTTCAGAAGGACTTTTGAATCACCAAATGGAATGAGCATCTAAAAAGAAAAGGCAGGCTCCTTTACTTCTACCAAATGATTCATTTCAAAAGCACAGCCTTATTATTGATTCACAATTTGATTTCAGAAACGAAGTAAATTCTATCTGATCATTGTCCACAACATTCACCTTGGTAATTACTGCTATTACTCGCTATTTACAACCATTTTAAAGACACAACCCTTTGAATGTGTTGAAAGGATCTATTCAAAGATCAATCTCTGCAAGATGAAACGAATCTTTATTTCTAACACAACATTCACTTTCATTCGAATGAAGCTACCAACTCATCTATTTGGAACACATTAACACCTTAACAACTTGATCACATTCAATTTAACCTCAACGGATGCTTCTCTGCCTCACTTGCACCCAGGCACAGTACAACTAAACACCCCACAACACCACAACACAGGCAACACCAAAGCCAAAATCACACTTACAATCAAGACCAGACCAACCACTAATGAAAGTGCAACGGCTTCCATGAGACGTTGGAAGAAATCTTGAAGAACATCATTTTCAATAGAAACTGTGAGTGTGAATGAATGGATGTCTTTGGGGCATCCTGTTCCAAAAACACCAATGTAATAGGTGGTTGCTTTTAACATGAACACATCAAGAATTAGTGGACCTGATAATTGCAAGCATTGAAAACCTACCATTTGTGATCCACACGGAGATGGATCTTGAGGAGCTTGAAACCCTTCGGTCGTACTTGGTTGTTGTGGGTAGAGAACCTTCTCTCAACAATACTGTGACATTGTCGTGAGGAGAGATGGAAACGTTCATGACATGGTGGGCATCCACTTGGATGGAAAACATTTGTGATTCTCCTCCAAACACATGCGAAATAATTGTTTCACAGGTTTTTGAAAGAGGTCTTACATTGTTTAGGGAAGAAGATGAAGAAAGAGTGAATGAATGGGTTTCTAGGCAGAGCTGTGATAAAATCAGAAAGATGGCACAAAATCGCAAGGTTTGCATCAAAGGTGACATTTGGCGTATTCACACAAGTACAATTTGGCTCTTTTTGTTTACATCAGAGAGGCTTGACTACTATTTAACCCTTTTGCCTCATCTGTCTGAGTGATACTTATCGTAACATCGTTTGCGGTTCCAAGATTCGTTTAATCAACATCTTAGAAAGGTTTACAAATTTCAAGTTCAAAGTTCCAAGCACGAAAAGATTCTATTCTTCTCATTCAACTTTCTTCATGACGGATGATCTTGATTAAATTGAACAACAGTCGAAAAGCACACTCTGTTTTATTAGTTGTAAGACTTATTTTGTTTTAACGAATTTAAACGACACTAAACGAGAGCAATTTAAAAATGCAACACATTCATGTCTGAACCACAAGCAAATCATCTTCCCCTCGTAATCATCAACAATTTCAAATACGATGAAAGTTCTAGCGGTGCGAGCATTCATTGGAGAGAACCTGTGTTTGAATATCGCTTTGGATTATTTCCATTTTCAAAAGAGGAACTCTTGAATCATATCCGAAAAGAAATAACAAATATCAATAATCTTCATCGTGAACAACAACAACCTGGTGAGAAGATTTATTATTCCGAAGAAAATGTGAGAGGAATATATATGTTTGGATCGAGAGTTTCAAAAACAAATGTTAATAACTCTGATTTTGATATGATCATCATTGTTGATGATTTACGTTCAGAGATGGTTACAGAAGGAGGCTATTCAAGCAATATGCAATGCATGCTTCATTCATCGATGGAATGCGAGGTGAAACACAAAATCAGTGGCAACAATGTTATGGAAAAATTCGAAATTGAAGTGCACATGATGAACACTTATTTCTTTGTTGAATATGTCTATTCAGAGCTCCCAATATTCATGTTGAGTGCTCAACAGCCCAATGACGATTATGTTCTGTATGAATGTTCGAGAATGAAAATCTGGAGACAGCATTGGAATCAATGGTTTCTGAGAATTACTAGAGCAAAAAACTCGTTCTTGCACGAATTGAACTATTGTTTCAACAAATCATTTCGTTTTTGGAATGGCTTGAAAAAAGGAATATTCACAACAGATCACGGAAGAAGGAGTGCTTTAAAAAAAGTGAAAAAGAATTTAGCACATGGAATAAGGTTGGTAGTTTGATCGCCATGCAATCTTCTAATGAAACCTTTTTATTTAGATACTGCAAATTTGCATATCAAATTGTTTTTGGAGGCTGTATTTATGATTACAAAGAGACCAACAAATTTTATGACAACATTGTATTTAATACGGAACATTACACAACTTGGGAAGAATACAAAAACCATGCCGAAAATCACTACAATAAGTGGAACAGAGAATTTAAAGACGATTTAAAAGATATTGTAAAGGATGCGTTAGATAGGATGAAAAACCTCAGCCTAAAAGCTGGATCTCTAACCATTATTGAATTTTTAAATCGCTACTTATCTTTCTTTAAATTGAATGGTACATTTATTGACAATAATAACGTGGTTATTCGCCATTCGTATGAAAAGGACTATTCATTTCAATATTGCCATGGACCTTTCTCTCTAATGCGACTCTTTGCCATTAATGTAACGCCAATAGAGTGGCATGATAATCCTAACAAGGCTAAATTATTCAAGTTAAATATTGACATGAAGTATATCAACTTGGAGCTGTCTTCAGTGTTTTATGAGTTATCTCCCTATTTAGAGTGTAATGGAACAATTGTTGGAATTAACATCAAAAATTGTGATCACGAATGGAATGTCCATGTAGAATATTATCCTGTAAGCGTACCAAGACGATATTTAGAGGAATACGATAACCTTTCCAGTAGGCATGAAAATATTGACTTCACTAAGGATCTCTGCAAATTCTCAATCTACGTAAAACCCAGGGGAATTTCATGTGAATTGTTTTATTTCGAAAATCAATGGCACTTTACTCTTGACTCAGAGAAAGAAGATTGGATTTATTGGGTTGCACAATCTCGAGAAAGCAACGAAAAAAAACAACTTCTACAGATGTTGAAACAACAACCCTATGTGGAAGACGCTCACATTACATTTTACTTTATTCTCCAAAAGGAAAGAAATCGACTTATTTTTCGAGGATGCAGAAATTTAACGACTCTTATTGAATGCAAAGATTGGAGAAAGTATGGAGAAAAATATGGATGGCACGACCAAGTAGAACAACTTTCGGTCACTGACACCACTAGTGTCTCGGATTTAGTGGATATAATTAATGACTTTTCTAAATATCCTCCATCTGAAATTGAAGGATTGGAAATAATTAATTATTCAGAAGAATGTCAAAGCTTTTCCATTTTGTCATCTCTTCATTTCAATATTTCAAACCTAAGGATAGGTAATGCCAACTATATGATCAAGCTCCTTAATCAAGATGTTGTCAAAGATCCTCCATCTGAGCTTACTCAATCCAAGCATAATGAATTCAGACTACTGAAAGTAATTGTGCAGAGCTTGTATGTGGAAAAATTTTCTGAAGAATCTATTATTCAAGAATTGAACCCACTTTTTCTTGTTCCATATACAAAGATGAAGACCACCTATCTCCAACTTTGTGTCTTACTTGATCAATTCTATCGAGACCACTTGCTTGTCAAGGAAGATGATATTGAAAGCTTCAACCGAACAGCCCTTACTTTTCCTTTGACTCAGAGCAAAAGCGTTGTTGGTCTATTTCACACTCTTAAAAAGTTTTACAAACAAACCAAGATCATTTCAGCATCAAGATATTGGAGAAATTTATTTATCTACAACGCTGAAGGGAAGGATTTTGTCTCTCAGTCACGTTTCTTACTTGACTTGCTCTGTTTTCGAGAATTTGGAATACCAGCGACCATGAGAAATGATGGGCATCACTGACATTTCTTTCTTGTAAGCGAAGCATTCTTTACAAAATGTTTGTCCAAAAATACAGCAAGTTCATTTTGTTTGTGATCAATAAAAAAAATGGCATCTGAATCAACACCTCCAAGCACCACTGCTCCCTTCTCTCCCGAAATTGAAGCAGAAAGATGGAAAGATCTTGATTATATTCTCAAAAGATCAGGCCCTTTTGCTCCAGAAGATTTCCAACCGGGTGATGAAACCAAACAATTTTTACAAGATACCTGTAAAGTTTTGATTATTGGAGCTGGTGGTCTCGGATGCGATCTCGTCAAAAACTTGGCAATGAGTGGATTCCGTTCAATTGATATCATTGATATGGATACGATCAGTACTAGCAATTTGAACAGACAATTTTTGTTCCGTGATGGCGATGTTGGAAAGATGAAGGCTGAAGTTGCTGCCAAGTTTGTGAATGAGCGTGTTGCAGGTGTAAAAGTAACACCACACATTTGTGCCATTCAGGAGAAGGATAAGGACTTTTACAGACAATTCGGAATCGTGATTGCTGGTTTAGATTCCATTCCGGCCCGTAGATGGATCAACTCGACCCTTCTCTCCTTTATTCAATACAATGATGAAGCAAAGACTGAAGTTGATATGAGTTCAATGATCCCATTGGTTGATGGTGGTACTGAAGGATTCAAAGGACAATCAAGAGTCATTTTGCCAGGAGTTACCGCTTGTTATGAGTGTACTTTAGATTTATTCCCTACCGATGAGACAAATTATCCAATGTGTACTTTGAAGACAACTCCTCGTTTGCCAGAACACTGCATTCAATATTGTTATATTGAAGAGTGGCGTAACACAAAGGGCAAGGAGGGCATTGCCGATGATGAACAAGTTGATGGAGATAATCCAAGACATGTGCAATGGATCTATGAAAAATCAGTAGAACGTGCAAAGAACTTTGGTATTGCTGGTGTTACTTATCGTTTAACACAAGGTGTCATCAAGGGTATCATTCCTGCAATTGCATCCACTAATGCTATTATTGCTTCATCATGCACAAACGAAGCCTTCAAATTGGCTACTTTCTGTCTCCCATTCTTGGATGACTACATGATGTACAATGGAAGTGAAGGAATTTACACCTTCACCTACAAGAACATGAAAAAGGAAGGATGCTTACAATGCGGTCCTGATGGTCTTGCTAAAACAATTAATTGTTCTGGTGAAATTACACTGAACGAATTCAGAGATTTATTAAGAACTGACAAATCCATTCAATTCAACAATTCATCATTGCGTGATTTGACAAATGAAAAGACCCTCTATTTCACCAAGCCAGCCACATTGAGACAAATGACTGAACCTAATTTGAACAAGAAGCTCAAAGAATTGTTCAAATCTGGCACAGAACTCTATGCTACTGACACTGAAGTTATTGCTGATCGTGGTGTTACTTTAATCGTCAATTTTACAGATTAAATTCAGTAAGAATGTATTTATTAAAATCATGAAATACTTCGTGTAAAGTGCAAGAGATTGTTGGTTGGAGAAATGATTGTTTTGATCGAAAGGTTCAACTCGAGAATGAATCCTCGAAAACTTATTTGATATCACCTAAAAATGTCGCACAGCAACGACAAGCCTCATCACCACCAACAAGAAGCGGAGGACAGCAATGAAGCTATTTACTATTCTTCATCAACACCCACTGGTGCAAACTCAAACAATTGTACCTCCAGCAATTCCAAAGAGGTCTCTTCATCCGAAAAGAAACCAAGTTCTTCCTCCTCTTCTACAAGCGTTCCAATCATCAAACAAGATCCAGAGTCAGAAGACGACGAGGATTATGAAGACTATGAAGAAAATTCCGAAGATATTGAAGAAATAGACAATGAAATATTAGAACTTGCCAAGTTAGAATCCAAACACGATTTATTCGATCACATGATGATGCAATTTATCATGGGACAAGACGGAACATTGATCAAAACGAATCATGATCCTTTTGCCTATGACGAGGATGATGATGGAATCGGAGAGGAGAGTGATGACGAGGATGATGATTACTACGATGTGGATGATGACGATGAGGATGATTTCTTTGATGCAGAATTGGGAGAAGAGTTTTTCAACCAAATGCTCAACAGTGTAAATAAGCAAAAGTTTGATCATGTATTGTCTCCGATGAAAAAGACCTCGGGTTCCTCCTCAAAAAGTAAGAATGTAGATATTCAACAAGTGGATGATGCTGTGGAACTAGATTTAGTAACAGGAGGTGCTCGTGAAATTATGAAGCAATTAGAGGAAGATGAATCCATTGAAAATGATCAAGATTTCCAAGAGGGTATTTTCCCTACTTTTCAAAATGACAATTATTCATCCTTGATTCAACAAGTTTCACTCTTTATTTCGACCGATATTTGCATGAGTGAAAACTCTGGATACTATAATATATTTCAAAGTGCCATGAAACGATTTTACATGGATCTGAAGAGATATTTGCTCACTCAAAAAGTAAGAAAGGAATCGAATGATCCTACGTTGCAAGTGTCCACAACAATGACTAGTGAAGATTTAAAGATTCGGTGTTATGAAGGTAAGTTAAGGTTTAACATTTCATAATTCTATAGAGATAACTGTTTTCCATATAGTTCAACCAAGTGTGAATTATCTCCAACATGTTGTCACAAATGCATTCCATCCAAAATCTAGTCAACACAAAAGTGAAAATATTCTTGAAAATAGTGAACTCATTCGAGTAGCTAAGAAAGTGATACAATCTAAAATTGAAAAGAAAGAAAAATTATCAAAGATCATGAAAGATTTTGTATGGACAGAAGATTTCGATACTAATAGAACTTCAATATCTGGAGAAGAAGAAATGGAAGAATTTGATGACGATCCTAATGATCCAGAATATGAATCAGTTGATAATCCTGATGAATTAGACAAGTTGAAGAGATTCAAGACCAATGGAGGTCACATTAAATTGTTAAAAATTGGCAACTTTGTTCCAGCTGTGAATTATGATGGACAATATCTATTGAAAGCCTCACCACTCACAAAGAAGCTCTATTACAAATTTTTTACCTTTTTACCAAGATATTATCCTCATCCTAAAACATTTTCTGAGAAACAATATTTGGAAAATATTTTAATGACCTCGTCGGTAAATGCAAAAACGTTCAATACGGAGGTACTCAGAGATTTTTCACGGTTCAAAATCAGCCACATGTTATCTATAGAGATTGACTATGAGGATATTATTGGCATTCATTTGCAGAAAGTTCCCATTTCCAAATCCATCCAAGATCATCCACTTGGCCTGTTGGTATTAGATCTGAAACAAAAACCAAAATTTTACACAAAAAGGATCTATTGCACAGAATTTGAAAGAAATGAATCTAGAGAAAGAACAGACTTTACCAAAAATAAGCAAGCATCTCAATACAGCAAACATTACATTATTGGAGACGACAGAGAGTTGAGACGAATATTATCAGTCATGATACACAGTGACAATAGTGGACGATTAGCACAAATATACGAACAAGGGATGCAAGACATTAGTTTCCAAAACGAGCCATCTTGGACTATGGAAGAACAAATTCCAAAGAAACGAGAGAACCAAGAAATGGTCATTCCTTTCAACCCTGATTTACCTGAAGGATTTTTAGTTTATGAAGATGAAGAAGAAGAAATGATGAACCACGCTAATTATGATTCTGAAATAGATGAATTTGATTTCAGGAACATTGAAACAGTGCATCTTTATGATTATCCTAACGCATCAGAAGAATAACATGCAACATTTAACCCAAATGCCACCCTTAGGATTTGACATGGCAATAAATTAAGGCAGTATGTTTTCTCAATCAACTATCTCACAGTAGAACTTGTAAAATGGAAGAGTTGTTGGAATAAAAGGGAGAATATTCTTGGAACCTTTAGCTGCAATATTTGACGAATCTAAAACATATACAAGAAGTGGCAATTCATGCCTATGAAATAATGCAGACTCTGTTTTGAAGTCAAAACGCGGTTGTCATACTTGACAAATCGTGTTCAACATCTCATCTGTTGGAGAAAAAGTGTTACATGTGCACAAGAGAGGAGAAAGAAATATATGTGATCTCTTTTTCATGAATAATTCGACGAATTCTGGTATTTTCTTGCAGTGACGAACAAATAGCAGGGCTATCTGTTTGAAATAATTTTGGTTCTCTTGCGAAACAATAATAATCAATTTCACACAACGCATGATAAAATCTGGTGCTGAATATACAACTTGAATTCATTTCAAAGACACTGTGATAATACTGAAACCATTCTCCCAATAACTGCCTTCTTTAAATGGAAATAATTACAGTAATTTCCTTGATTTTTCAATCTTTTAACAAACTTGTTTTGATTTCGTTCGAAATAGATCAACCGATGAGCAGCCACAAGTGGATACGGAACTCCTTTTTCATAAAATTTAATTTTATAACGAAAGAATTACATAAACTTTAATTTCCAAAATTCATGTCCACAATTCCGTATCTCATAATATTGCTTCATTTCTACCACTCCAAAATCTTTGAATATTTATGATGGTTTCATCGATGGAGTGGTATTCATCGATTATGGATCCAAGAGAAAAAGGCTTGATCGGCAATGATGAATCTTCACTGTTGTGTGGTGCCATTTTTTCGTTAAATTTATGAAAAAATCTTTCCATCTTCTCTTTTAAGCTGTCAATATTACAATTACTTTTCAAATCAAACATCACAACGGCACTTGATATCAGCTTACTTGTAATTAAGGCAAATTGAAGAAGCATCCTCAACTTGGATTTCGCACATTCAACACTAACGAACAGGGCACGTACTTACTTTACAACCACCAGTTCATGAAACACGCCCTTTGCTGCAAAAAAGAATTTTTTACCATTTATTTTCCAAAAGAACACAAATATATTTATTGAGAGATCAACAACCTTTTCGGTTCCATTCAAAAAAAAACAACATTACAACAACAAATACAAACTCTCAAAATGTGCAAGTGGAGCTCTGGTTGCGGTTCATCCGATAAGATCTATTGTAAATCCTGTGGTACTGCCATGTGCAAGCAATGCAAACGTAATTTGGGTGATGGAACTCCAGTCAAATCTGGTAACAGTGCTGCCTGTGGAAAGTGTGGACACAATTATTGAGAAGAAGGCTTGATTTCTCAATCCGTATGGAACGATTCCATCAGAGATCCGAAAATATAGTTCATAATGATCAATCGCAATAAATATATGATGTTTTGATCATAGATGTTCCCGTCAGGTTCTTTTGATCATCTCAAATCGAATTATCCCAAAAAGAAGACACTAAAGAAACTAGCCTCAAAAAGGCTACAGCATTGCAGGTTCCCAAGTTGTCTCCAACCTCAGTACTGATGCAGCTCGACGATGCTTAACTCATTGTACATCTGGAACAGGACTTGCTATGCATGTTAACTTGCCTTAGGGATAGGTTCCTTTATAATGCATTATATGATTAGTCTATATCACATGTAAGGAACAACTTACCACCTCGTTTTGCTCTTCCACACGAATTTGGTCATGTCCATACGTCAATATTTTCCCAAACTCTTGAAAAATTCATTATATTGTAATGGAGTCCCGTAGAAGGTGTATTCTTTGTTGTGGAGATATAAAGCATCTGGACGACAAAACAACAAAGACTGCATTGCATTAATGGAGATGCATGACTTTCTGAAATCAACCATGGCATCTTTTGAGATGCATGGATTGTTTACATAACAGATGGATCTGGTTATTCCGTTCTTGCATTATGGGATGATGAATTCCTTCAGTGACCGAACCTTAATATGAATATTTTTGAAGCAATTATTGCATGTCATTCCACCAATCTTTGAGTTGCAAAATAGACAAAAACACAGTAAAGCGGTGGTTGTCCAAATTCATCCTCTTTCAGTCCTTTACATATGTTGTCAAATACAAATCACTTTCGTCTTGTTCCAATTTTTCTAATTGAGCATTAGCTTTGAATATTTGCTGACGCTTCGATAAAAGTTGCACTGTTCTTGTTGAAAACATAGTGAGATAGAAATAGAATGGCTACGGCCATATCACAATGAATGCACCTCATCCCGTCCGATTTGAGAAGTTAAGCATCGTCGAGCTGCATCAGTACTGAGGTTGGAGACAACTTGGGAACCTGCAGTGCTGTAGCCTTTTTAATGTCTCATCATCTCTTTCTTTGAGGAAGGTTTTGTAATTCTCTGATAATTGGTGGCTAAGGAAGTGAATACTGGAATGGGCCACTTGATTTCTCTTCCTTTTCAAAGAATGAGATGATAAAAGGACATTCTCAGGGACTCTTGAATACTTTGATGATGGTTTTATTTCCTCGTCTTGAAGGTATAAGGATGTGAAAATGAATGGCCTAAATTACAAGAATTCGAAGTATTGCATCATCTCTTTTGAGGTTAAAATGGCGGAAAGAACATTCATAACAATAACCTACCGAGTTAAGTTTGATTGCTTGTCATTCTTTTTGAAAGGAATTCAACACTTCACAGCGACATTTCTTTCAACAGGAAATGTTTGTCAAAGTCCACAACTTGGATAAGCAATATTCTATTATTCTATTATTTATTATTTGTATGAGGTAAAGAGTTCAGGTTGGGCAGTTGAAAATGTTCAAAGGTAAGTTATTCCGTCAATATTTGAGGACATTTCCCAAAATATCTGTTGACTTCAGTAAGACAATTACTACTTCAATTCATAAACCTCAAGCTCAGTGATTGAAAACTTATAACTTCCCGCAAGGTATTCCTTTGCCTGTGATGTTCCATATGAAACTCCACTCACAGAATAAGAATGACCAAGATTAGAATAATTAGAATTCGATTTAAAGTCATTGCTGACGTAAAGATCATAACCTCCAAATGTTGGACCATTATTTAAGGCACAATATATTGATTTGGTATTATCTTTTTGACCTTGGTTTTCAATTCTAACATTTCGTTCTTCTTCATTCTTTCCAATAAAACTGAATAAAAAGGAACTGTTGTCTCTTTGAAAGGAATCACTGGTGTTCCAGCTTAAAGGAGTGTAACCACCAAATATACAATTATTAAACGTTTTGATGATCGTGACTGTTGGTCCCTTGTTGTCACATTTGCTGTGAAATTGTGACGCATTAAATCCATCTTGTGACGCTCTAAATAGGAGTTTACAGTTTTTAAATGAACGAGTTTTTGACAAGAGATTGACAAGTTTTCCTTCCATTTGGTTCGTCAATATTTTGCTGTCTGTAAAAAGCTTACAGTTAGAGAAAATAGAATTGTCTGTCTCCTTTTTGATTTGTAATTTCATGAAATTGATGTTGTGATGATGGAAAAGGAGCATGCATTGGATCCGAGTTGGTTTGATGATCGACGAGGAAGTGCACAAGTGTTGATCATTTTTTGTTTTACAATAACGGGACAAAAAATATGTCTGAATCTAGAAAGTCTTTGCAACAAACACGTGATGAGCAACAATTTGTGAAACTCTCGAGAACAATCTTCAATTGATATTACTCGCCATATTAGATATAACCCCTCCTACTCCACCTGATAAGCCTTATTAAAAAGATATCGAAAGTGATAGCAAAGCGCCCAAGTAGACCAACCTTACGAAAGATAATTCCGACAGAACCAACACATTCCGATGAGAGTCAACCCAAGCAACCGATAATGACAACTCCCGAACACTCACCCAATAATCAAAGAGTCATCAGCAAATGCCAACAAAACGTTAAACAACACCTCCAAGAACTCCCAATCCAATGACATCAATTTACGTGTTTCTGTTTTTACTCAAAACCAAGTGACAGTTAATTTTTGTGAATACATTATCAAGTCTACAATTTTATTACTGATTGGTATGTGACAATGCGTAAACCAAACGTTCTGAATATTATAGCTCAGGATCAAAAGAGCATTTAAAAAATTATGGTAATCCTTTACAATATGAACGTCAAACTTAGGTCCCCTTGTAAGCCCTATGAATTTTAACTTTCAGAATTCACTGTTAAATTCCACACTCGGACCCCTAAAGATATGATTAAAAAAGTCAGTTGGGTAATTGAAAACGCATGGTCTCAATCTTAGGAAGGAAATAAATGTGGTTGTTTCAGAAGAAAATGAAACCAAAGTAAGACTTGCGGTTGGTACAAAGAATAATGTTGCAGTATGTAAGAAAAATGGTTTTGAGGAATACAAAACTGTGGAGAAATGGATTACTGAAGTTGCAAATCACGCCTCATTCTTTTTTAGAGACAACTTCTCAGTACAGGATGTCAAAAGAATCACCCAACAAATCTGTAATAAGGGAATATTCCCTTTCAAGAATCTCAAGATTGTTGAAAGACCAGGCTGCTAATCTTTTTCATAACGTCTCACCTTTTGCTTTCTACGACACAAACAACAGAGATAATCTTAAAAAGTTTGTTGCAACCTCTATTGTTGGCTTTGGTTCAAAGTCCTATCCAAAACCAGTAAGAATCCAATTTACATCAACAACTGAATTTCTTAGCAATCCCATTCCGTTCCAACAAAGAAACAAGATGATCATACCAATTTTATGAATTTAATGAAGTTTTAGTAGAGCACGATAAGCGTTTTAATCATTAAAAGAAAGGAAACCATATTCACACGGCCATATGATCCAATCGAGATTCCAACATTTAACCGTAAACAGACACGTTTCTAAGATTCGACAACTGAACGTTTTTGATGGAATTGAGGAATTCCCAACTTCTATCTTTTATGATTTCAAAGCGTTACAACAAGAGAATTCTCGTTCATCATTACATCTGTCTACTTCAATTCATAAACCTCAAGCTCTGAGATGGAAAAATGATAACTTCCAGCTAGAAATCCTTGTGCTTGTGATGTTGCATATGCAATTCCATTCAAAGAATAAGAATGACCAAGATTAGAATAATTAGACGTAAAATCAACGTAAAGATCATGACCTCCTCCAAATGTTGGTCCATAAAGTGAACCACAATATATTGATTTGGTATTATCTTTTTGACCTTGGTTTTCAATTCTAACATTTCGTTCTTCTTCATTCTTTCCAATAAAACTGAATAAAAAGGAACTGTTGTCTCTTTGAAAGGAATCACTGGTGTTCCAGCTTAAAGGAGTGTAACCACCAAATATACAACTATTAAACGTTTTGATGATCGTGACTGTTGGTCCCTTGTTGTCACATTTGCTGTGAAATTGTGACGCATTAAATCCATCTTGTGACGCTCTAAATAGGAGTTTACAGTTTTTAAATGAACGAGTTTTTGACAAGAGATTGACAAGTTTTCCTTCCATTTGGTTCGTCAATATTTTGCTGTCTTTAAAAGGTTGACGGTTGGAAAGAATGAAATTTTTTGGTTTTAAATGTTCAATCCAATTTTCATGTTCTTGTTCAATAAATTCAATCAATCCTTGAATGTTGTAATATTGTGCTTCCAAATAAATACATTCAATGGCATGTTCATCTTTTGGTAAAGAAAAATGGTTTGGAATTCCACTTGCTCTTAAATAATTCAAAATATATCCAAAATATTTTCCATCTCTTTGAAAACAATGTTTTTTGTTCAACAACAACAAATCAAGAGAAGCCAACAACAACCTACCGATCAATAAAAATTGAACCATCCTTGTCAAAAGTTAAGGTATGCATTCCAGAGGCAATGGCCGAAAGCATATTTGGTTCATAATATTCATTGTTTTCCACTATTTCATCATTACCATTTTCATCATCCTCATTTTCCATATTTAGTTTTTTAATGGGTTGTGTGAGGGTTTCCTTCAACACTGCAAATAATCTTCCTCCGATATTGAATTTCAAAACTTCACCTTCTTTGAAATTGTACTCGTTTTCATCTTGTAACGTCTGTTGTGTGGTTGGGATCATCCGTCGGCGACTTTTGTTGAGAATTTTGGAAGTTTTTTTGTGTGTGAGACAAAACACTCAAGTTCATCAAATTTCCGTAAGTTCATTTTGGAATAGAGTCAACGAACCTAAATTAAATTATTCATAGGCTTCATAATACCCATAATTCTTAGTTATTCCGGTCACACGTCCATGGAAAGGTTTTCCATTCCATAAATCCTCCTCGTCGTAGAATTCTATCATTTCGAACACAGTCCCACCATCTCCTGTGGAGGATATCGATCATGTCATTCCAATAAATTGTGACAGTAGTTCATTTCTTTTCCAATAAATCATTCTACCATTTTGAAACCAACACTGATAACCATCGAGAGGTTGAGTGTGTTGTTGATTCTTAATTATTTCAAAGAATTGACGATAAAGCCATTGAAACTCCAAAAAATCTTATAGGACACGTCCAGTAAGCAAATGGATCCATGAGAACACTCCGTAATACTTTGTCGAAAAATTCAATCGAAGCCATAAAACTGTACTCCGTGTTGGATGAGTCGAGAAATTTATAAATTTCCATTCAAACCTTTTGCTTGTTGCCTAAATATTTTCAATGTTCTTGCAATTTCATGATGAAATTTGCTTTTGGTGGATCTCTTTTCAAAAGAGCATTCCGAGTGTGTCAAGGAATAAATACACTACAACATAAATGTATACAGAGGTGGTATTGAGAAAAAAAAATTAAAATTCCCGTCCAGCCAATTTTTTTCTCCTGGCTCGAGAGATCTCGTTACCTGTCCTCCCTGTATACGTTACTGGGGTTCTTATGTTGTAGTGTTCGTTTTCAAACATTTTTTTATTTGAAAATAATATTTACAATACTCATGGCGGTATTAATATTCCCAAAATGGAATTCAAAGAATACACACAATACTTTTTATTTACAACTTCCTGATTGATGAGTTGGAGTGACATGAACCGATTCACTTGGTCCTTCCATACTTGCACTTTTTGTCTCTCCATGAATATGCATGAGTTTATCCATCGCTCCAGTTATGGGATGTAATAATTTAGTTCCAGTTTTCATTGGAGTTTTTGGATGAGGTAAAGTTGGAGCATTTTCTTTACCTCTCACCAAATCAGAATACAATTCACTCATTTCTTGTTGAGTCAATAGAGTGGAAAGTTTTGGAAATAGAAATTGTTCTTCTTCCGACATGTGATCCAAGAGATCCATTGTGAATTTTTCAACTGTCTTATTGAAGAGTAATTGTTCATTGGCGTTCATGTTGAGAGTAGTGTGCATGTGATCGATGAAATATTGAAGAACTTCTTTGGCTTGTTGATGATCTAAATAGTTCCTGTCACTAATCATTTTAGCACCACTGTCACGAATTTTTGAGGTAATGAGAGGATAGACATAACGTTCTTCAATGGAGGAATGAATGCATATTTCTGTGATGAATTGTTCAATGATTCGAATTTTCTCTTGTTGGGAGAGAACACTTTTGAAAGTGTTAAACAATTGACAAACCTTGTCGTGGTCGTTGATGAGTAATTTAAAAGGATCGTTGAACAAGATGGAAGATTCTACCATTTTCTTTTGTTGGAGCAAGGTAATCGTTGTATTGCATGATCGACAATAAAGAATGGACGAAAATGGAAAATCACCTTATTCCCTATCGTGCGTTTCGAAAAAATGAATCAAAAAAGGAAAATTTACAATCCATCTATTTCTACGAGCATTATATTCTTATCTCATACTGGCCAATAAAAGCAAAATATTCCAATTATAAGCATGTGAGGATCTCTAACACAAGAAGGAAGATGATTGTCAAATTACAATTGAGTCCTATAATTTTCTGCCTATAATATTCTTTCCACCATTTCATACCAATCCATCTCAATAGAAAACCTCTTTCTCGAGGGATGGCCTCTAATCTGGAGAATCACCTAACATGGAATGTAATTGTTACGCCAATAATATCACGAGCTTTCGACGTCGAAAATTAGTTCTCTAGTTTACTGGAAAAGATTTTGATCAAAAAAAAATGAGTCAAAATCGTCGCACCAGATCCTCTCCCTTGTAAGTGGCTTCAAGCTTTGGCAAGCTTTAAAAATTCATTCTTCTTCGGAATAATTGGATCATCCAGATCCAAGCTCAATTCCCTTTTCAACGATCTTTATTCAAAACATGCAAAACATATCATCCATAATGTATTAAAAGCCTCCGATATGGAACAGTTCAAAAGCCTTGAACGAAAGTTAGAAAACAGCACCTACACCAAAAGGAAAGAGTTTCTGAAAGATTTGGAAAAGGCATTGGAAAGCGTACCTATCCATCATCTAACAACGATAACGATTATCAACTCGAGGAAGAAAACATGTAAACTGAATGAAAGTTTTAATGGAGATGAAGTGATTGGGAAAATTAATGACGATTTACAAATGGTTTGTTTCTGCATGATGGATACCTTTGAAAACGTTTTTAATCCATGATTTTGTGAAAGATGGAAAGTCATGTGAGGTTATTGGAAGAGAGCATTAGTCCTAAAGAGTCGTCGCAAGATACAATCGATCGATTCGAATCAATGAGCGAGTGTTCTCAAATTGCTAATAGTCAGAATGAAGATGATCCCAACAGAACTCCTAACAAAAATCATGCCACAGAAAGTAACAAGAGGAAAAAGAAGAGTAAAAAGCAGAAAAACAAAACAAGAAGAAAGAAAAAGAAAACAGAATCAAGTGATCCAGTTCCACCCAATTTAGAGGAAGATAGAAATGATGTCATCCCTGTGGTCGATGACATGCATTCGGAACAGGAAACTTATCCTCAAGAGAAGGAAAATGTCGAATCTAAGGAAGAACCATCAACCTGTTCATCTTCAACAACAAGAAGAAGAATCGGTTTTTCACCTACTGTTGTCTTTTATGAAGATCTTGTGGAATGTCCTTTGTGTCAAAGAAAATTCACCAAGTACCAAATCAAGATTCATATGGAGAAGATGCATTATGATAAAGATAAAACTCTTCAGAAAAGGAAAGCCAAACTTACTAAATCCATTATTGAGCAAGTGAAAGCATCAGAGATGAGAAAGAAGCTACAAGGTATTTTGTACAAGTAGCAAGATGATATTGCTTCATTGTAAAAATAATTGTTTAATGGAAAGAATAATTTGTAAGTATAATACTTTGCACCCTGTACTTTAAATGGAATCCAAACATCGAAACGGCTCACCTTAACGAACATCCAAGGTGTGCCATTTTGACAAGAATTCACTCAAATGGCATGTATAACATGTTCAAGATCTCAGCTTGGTCGTAATTACAAATTATTAATTTCTTAGAATAATTTATTATGATGATGTAAACAATATATCAAAAAGAGGTGAGCTCTGAATGGTAAATGATACAAAATTATGTTTAACAAAAACCTGAAAGAATTAATATCCTTGTCCATCTTCTTCCTCATCTATCAGGTCTTCTTCGACGGCATAGAATCCAGTATTTGAATCATCCTCATTACCAGTATAGAAAACTCTAGCAGTTGGTTTGAACACAATTCTTCTTGTTTGTTTTTGTTCCTCACCACTTGGAATAATGATACCCGTTGGAGTGTAGCCACTAGTGGCAGTTGGGACTGCTCTAAAGTTTGGATTGAAAGAAATTCTTTGTTCCTCTTGTCGGATCTTCAAAATAGATTTGAGAGGTTGTTGACCAACTGGGAGTGGGTTCTTCTTTGTGACACGTTCATACACGGTATTGTTGGAAGAGGTTTCAGTGTCCCCATTACCAGGTTCACCGATATGAGAAGCTGAATGGCCAGCTCTACGTTCCAATTTGACAACCTCACGTTTCTTGTTAGTTGACTTCTTTGGACTTTTGAACATGTTCACAAAAGGAGAAAACCATTTTGATTTTGGTACAGTGAAATCCTTCACAGAGAAGAATGGTTCAATGACCTTATAATTTGGATGAATTCTCTTCGAGTTGGCATTGGCAATGGCAAACAAGCACCATGAAATTTCTGTCAAAATGCTCCTAATATCTTCAACATCAAATTCTTTTTCTTCACTGTGAGGTAAAAACAAACTGGCATACTCTGCAACTTCCTTACTTCTATCAGGTCTTGGTCTCTCAGCCTTCTTCTTTTTCACACGAGTTCTTGGAATACCACTGTCTTGCAATAATTGATAACTCAAAGTTTGCAAGAAGGCGAATTGTTTTCCTGCTGCAGAAGTTGTGAATTTCATAGAGTCACGAGCTTTGATGGAACTCTTTCTACCATCTCCAACAAGAGCGGCAGTGTCCTCAGCTGAAATGATACCCTTCTTTCTTTTTTCATGGAGATACACTTTCAAACCTTGAATGGCTCCGTTTTTAGTATTTTCAATGTCACCTTGTTCAGTAAAGTAAAAATTGCAAATGTCATGTCTCTTGAAATGTTTTGGATCAAAACCAGTCTTGGGTTCATATTTGAGTGTCCAATAGGCTTTGTCGGTGAGAACCATGTAACGATCTTGACTGATTTGATGTTTGTTCACCTTGATCACATGCCATCCTTTGATAATTTCTTCATGGAAAGGATTGTTGATATTTTCATCTTCATCAAATCCATCCTCTTCTTGCATACCATCGTCGTCATAGTTATTCATGAGATTTTCATCATTATTTTGTTGATTTCCAGAACCAGGTTTTAACTTTAAATCACGTTTACGAGTATTTTCATTAATAAATAAGCGTGCCTTCTCAATGACACCCTTTTCGGATTCAGTTGGAGTCCACCAATTCAAATCTGCTCTTGCCAACAATCTCTTTAAAACACTCAAATCAGCATATTCGCGAACTTTGTACAATTGTGCTGCAGAGGATAAAAGTTCAAACTTGAAGAGTGGTGTGACATCGGTATTGTACAAACCAGCCAATTTGATGATTGGCTTCAATTCATCTTTGAAAAACATTCCATTCATGTCATGACCTTCTAACACAAGTCTCAATGTCAACGTCTTTGATGATTCATGAATGTCAAAATCCTTCTTTGGTTTTTCTCCAGTTCCAGAGTGTGGAATGGGTTGTAAAGTGATTGCAATGGTAGTGAGACCAAGTGACAGCGCGTCAACAAGATCATCTTCTTCAAAGGCACAAATGTCACTCACTGCCAAATACACTTGTTCAAGTACATATTGAGATTGTTCCTTATAAATTCTCTCAACCGCACGCGAATAGTCAATAGCAGCATATTTCATGTGATCCCAATTCACTTGTAATTTAAGAGGATGTAAAAATTCATTCAAGATTCTTCTCTCAAATTCTGGGACATAGTATTTGTCAATAATAAATTGTTGAATATCAGTACATCGATCGAGATTTTTGGTGATATCTCTGAAAATCCATTGAATTTCTTCATCTTGTGTGACTTCAATTTCTACAACGTCGACAATCACACCATCCTTGTAGTAACCAACGTCACGTGGATCATCACTATATTTAATGACATATTTCTTTAAATTTTGTTGGAGGAAATCTCTAATGTGGACATGTTTGGATTTTTCATTATCTTTAAGAATGAAAACGATCAAAAGGAGTCGTTCAAACAAAACAAAAAAGGAGCCATTCATACAAATACACGAAGAACGAAACCGATCAAACCAATTCGTTCAAACAAATACAAAATGTTTGTATATATTCCATTCAGAATACGCGTGAGTGATGACTACTTACGGTTTTGTGGAGGTTTACAATACTGTGAAATCAAAGTACCAATCAAAGAGGCTGCACATGATTTGGACAAGAATGAATTCAAAATTGTTTCAATCACTTCTGGAGCTCCCTCATTAAACAATGTATTAAACAATTCATTGAAACTCTCCCAATCCACTTCGACTTCGATTTTTCTCTTTTCAATTCCATCTTCTTCACACAAAGAAGAAGTTGTTGACGTTGATTGGGGAGTGGATGATGAGGTGTTATTTACGGATGATGGAGTGGTGGTCGTTGAATTAAATTGTTGTTGCAATTCAGGTGATGATGTGGAATTCACTTCCTCCTCGTGTGAATCTTTTTGTAAAGTGACCGAAGATGTTGACACAGTCTCTCCATTGTTGTTGTTATGCATCACATTCTGATCACTACTACTACTACTAGTCCGACTACTATTACTACTACTATTCATGGTAGTATTGCTACTCGTAGTAGTAGTTGAATTATTATCAATAGAAGGCGATGGAGAAGCTCCTTCCGAAGGAGAAGATGCTTCTTTCACAACTGCCACAATTTGATTATCTTCCTCAACCATTCGTTCAACTTCTTGAGCATCTTTCAATTTTTGTTTATAGATTTGACAATGAATGGGAGGAGCAAAGAGAGCAGCAGTAATCATTTCAGAGAACTTTTGAAGTTTTTCAAAAGTTGGAGCGAGAAGCTCTCCTCTCTTTTTGGAATCCATGATTGTAAGAGAAATGTGTCGATCGATCGATTTGGAGAATTGTTGGGTGGTTGTTGTCAATCGGTGTTGTTGTTGTTGTTGTTGGTGATGTTTGTTCACAACAACTATCGAAGAGTATCAATATGATTGACATGAATCAGTGAATCAGTGAGGAGGAGGATGCGGATGATAGGTTGTTGTTGTTGTTGAATGGGTTTTTCGAGATTTTGAAAATGTCCACAACAAGGAGATTGCGCGGTGTGATCACACCAATCATCATCATGATGGAGAGAACACCACGTCATGATCGCGATGTGGTTGTTGTGGTTGTGTTGAGAAATGTGATGGTTCGTTCATGGATAGAAGGTTGTTGTTATTGTTGTTCCATATGGAAATGACACGAACATAGTCATGAGAGGTCAATCACAGCAGCAGCATTTCAAAATGGGAGAATCACCATCACCACCATCATAGGGACAATTAGTTGTTGTTGTTGTTGTTGGTCATGACATTCATGATTCCACAAGAAGTGTCATCAAGAGGTCGACCAAAACCGTATCATCATTTAGTTCATTATGAAAAGGTTTTAATAAATAGGTATTTATCATTATGAAAAACACGTACGTTATTAGAAATGAGCTATCTGATGTTGTTTGTATACTTGTCAGAATAATGTTTCAATGTCAACAAGAATCATCAAATGGTTGTTGTTGTTGTTTCGAAAAGTTTTACAACCGAGAGGAGAGAAAGAAGGAGGAGGATGCAAAGTGTTGTTGTTGTTATTCTAATTCTCTCCTTTCCACTTGTTGTTTTCAGAACAAGGATACAGCAGCGATTGATGATTTTTTATTTTTTGATGATGGGTTTTGACATTGAGTGACAAATTGCTTTACGCTCTTGTTTTGCCAATATGGGATGGTCTTGCACCTTCTTCAGAACACTCAACGAGGAGCTCCTTAATATTGGGCGTGGCGGTGAACAAACGAAAGCATTTGGTGGTTACAAGTTGGGTCACTCTCTTAATATCTTCACTTGGAGGGGCTAGACAGGTCTGAAGAGGTATTGCTATTGGTAACAGCAATGTTACTTGTTGAGGCATTCGGATTTGTTGTGGAACTAGTCATCACCACAGGATGGGTGTTTCTGAATGATGCAAGTGACGGTAATGGCCAATGATGCTCATTTTGTGAAAGGAAATCGCCAAGTTTTGAAAGTCGAGGAAGTACTTTGGAAATGTTGGAAAGGATTGGATTAGCCACGGATGATAAGAATTGTCTTTGGTAAGATCGATGCATTGGTTTTGTTCTGTCCATGTAGGCAGAGATATGAAGGCCCATATTCTTTTCTCTATCTCCCTGAATATGAAATTCCTCTTCTAAATAACCAACCCATTTCAAATATTGCTGTGTAGGTCTAAAGGTGTAGCAAATGTCAGCTGTTTTTATGACCATTTGTAATAATAATCTAACGTCTTCTTTAGAGGAAAAGTCTGTATCATAGTTGTTGGGATCTTTACCGAGTTTAACGTTAAATCTTTGCAGAGTGTAGGCGTGACTGCTCATGTCAGAAGAAAGCACAATCTGAATAATTGTCTCTCGAATGTCTTTGAATTGATCATCTGTAAGAGAGCTCAAAATATTATTTTCTGGTGAAGAGAGTACTTCAAATGCTTCTGATAAGTGATAATTCTCAAGAACAGATCTATCATTATATAACATTGCAAGTTTTGAAGAGGAATGTAATTGAAATGAATTATTGGTTCCTGGGTGTTTGTAATCTAATACTATGGTTGCTAATAAACATGCTAACAAGTCTTCGTCACGAAGTAAATCACCAAGCCCTCCCTCCTCAATAATGTAATGAACAGCTTGCAACACGTCTGCAGCTCTGAGATGGTTGTGAAATGGATTTTCGTTATAACTGGTTTCAATAGTTGTTAAAAAATTAATTAATACGTTTTCCTTAATATCAAACTTCTGTAATAGATCATTCTTTAAGAATACAAAATATCCAACTAATACCAATGGATGTGCTGTAAAATCAAAAATATTAAACGAGTCCCAGCTTGTCATTTTGTCTAATGCTGTTCCAATCTTTTGTTTCAAAGGAGACAATTCTTGGTCAACAAGATTTTGAGTTTGATGGACGCCTACGTCTCTTTGAGCATGTTTTTACCCAGTCCAATAAATCTTTGTCAACCTTGCTCGGTATTGAGGGTTTGTTGAGATCTTCTAGCCTAATTGCTTTAATTACACAATTGAATGCATCTACATCCAGGTGATTGATCATCTTTTTAGCAATTAACTTTTTCTTTACATCCATAATGAAGTCTATTACCGATTCAATTGGCATTGGGGGTGGAGTATCCTTTGAGGTTGTTCCTTGAACCTGTTTGTCCGTTGATTTGATATCTTGTTTTTCCACATTCAGCTCTTCAGGAAGTTTGGCCTCCGTTACAGTTTCATAACTATCAAATAAATTGTTCATTTATGCATGATTTTCTAACCCAATACTCACCTTCTTTTCTGATTCTTTTCTTCCATTGACTTTTTTACGAATTCCAAATAGCTCAACTGTTCCTTCAATCTTGTTTCTGTTCTTTCTAACATTGTAATCCTTTCATAGTCATTATTCTGGATCTTTTCGAAATAATTGTTAAATAATGGTATTACAAAGAAAGAAAATATTTTCTCATAACAGTCTTCATGACGTCTCATTCGCAACCCGATTTCAGTTCGAATTTTTCTGATCGTAACTTCAATAGATAGTTTTGCATTTTGTATAGTTTCATCAATAATAACAAATGTAGGTTTCTTGAGCGTCAGTGATGACACGATTCCCTTGAAGAGATGATCATTATTCACTGTTCCTCTTTTAATTTTTATGTCCAATGCTTTTCTCTGAGCTGCAATTAACAACAGAATTCATTAAAATCTTACTTACTAGTTCCTCAAACTCTTCTGCAGTTACGCTTTTCTCGAATAGCTTGTCAGCACCATCAGTTGCAGCTACGTAAATATCTTGTCCATTTGGAAAGCATAAAATAACATATTTTGTTGACACTCCATAGTTATCAATGACGTAATGGGTGAAGATGTTTGGAAGATCGACCAAATGTCTTTCAAAAGACTTTCGGATGTTGGGATCAAGCTCAGCAGGGGGTTGTGGTTCCGACGGTTTTTTATCAGCCTGATCGGTAGGAACCACTTTTCCGTCTTTTGTTGATATATTTCCCATCAATGATGATGATGATATGATATTCAAACAATCTCTTTCCACCTATTTTTTTAAAGAATCATATTCGTTGGATCCGTACATTGGATTTTGGCGCCAATTTAAAAATCGCGCATGGTTTCTCGTACGAATGGATAAAATTCCATTCATATCCATAACTTATCGGAAAGCAAAAAGAACGATCATGATGAAGACACTTCCATAACATGAGGAGAAGGTGGACAGAGGTCTTCCTCTCTCGTCATTTTTCTTTTCTAAAAAAATGACGCAAGCTATCAAGTCCTCATCTTCTTCACATTGTCCTTCATTCCGATTAATACCACTCTCAGACACAACCAGTCCGGAAAGGATCATCCAATCGGGATATGTTGTGATTGGCAGAGGAAGCTGCCCAGAAGATGTCGATCATTCTCAATTCTATAGCATTGGTGAACGAGACACCACAGTTTCTCACAAGCATGTAGGTTGTGAATTATCTCTATCCTCAACAACAGCACCAACTAATGTCTTTCAATGCACACGAACAACTGGAACGGTTCGCAGTGCTCTATTATTTATGATAGCAGTCGAGACCAGTTTTTCTTAATCAACCATAGTAAGGTTTGTACTAGTTTGACTAGAAACGTTCTTTATAACAACCATCATTGATGCTAAGAATGGTACTTGGTCCCACAATGGAAATCAAAAAGTTCAATTTGAGCCGTGTCCACTCGCAGACATGGAACGATTTTACTTGGAAAAAGGAAACAAATGTGGATTTGTGTTTAAGCTTAAAGATTAAATAAACAATGTACTTCTAAGGAATGATATTGTTTATTAATCTTCAACACTGTTTTGTAATGATACACAAATATCCAGTAGACAAACGCTGCTGATTAAAAATCACATGTAAATGTTGTTGTACATGTTGTACATACACGCTCAACAAAGTTGTTGTGCCTTTGGTTATTTACAAAATTGGGAAATATTTGGAACTATATACAGAAAGGATTCGAAAAGGTACAACAACCACAAGTTGAACAACTTAGAAGTTAAGAATACTATTGCAAGTAGTTGGAGGAGAGAAGTTCAACAATCCAAGCTCAGCACCAGCAAATTTGTGACCTTCGTGATGAGGTTCTGCCATGTCGAGATCATCATATGACAGATGATACTTTTCGATTGGTCTTGTTCGAAGCTCGATCAAGAAAGAAATGTCCTCTTGGGTAACAAAATTACGTTTCTTTCTGTGATCGTGGCTACTTGAACGCATTGTGTGGAAATCTGCGTCGTCATAACCAAAAGTACTAGGAATGCTGTTCGAGTTTTCATCGCTGTAAGGAAACACATCGTCATAATCGTCATCGTCGAGGTGATTTTCATTGAAAATTGATTCATTAATTTCCAGTTCGATAGTGGGTGGCGAATATGTTCTAGATGGAGTGTCGTGCAATAGCGTATGAGGAGAGAAAGGAGAAGCAGAGGGTCTCGAAGTTTGGTGTTTGGGTGTCATGGATGAACTGCTTGGGTTCACCTTGCCTTCTTCATTGATCTGCACTTGCGCAGGATTGGCAGTAGAGGCTGCAGATGATGAATTTCTTGAGAGAATCTTGATCAATTCCTCGTTGGCAAGTCGTTCTGGTGTTCCTGTCGAGAATTGCGGGGAGTGAGAATCTAGGCCTCCTCGTGGAGAAGCAGGCTTGGATGGAGAGGCTGTTTTTGGATGGCAAGAAGTGGAAGGAGATGAATTGTCTTGATGATCACCGCTGCTGCTTCGTGTTGATAAAGAATGTTTTGGAGTGGAAACATTTAGCACCTTTACAGGTTTGGGAATGATGATTTGCTTGTTTGACAAATGATGATAGGGAGATGATGGTAGTTGTTGGGGAGGATTGGGAGAGGCATAAGAAGACAAAATACGTGAAGTGGTGGCACCTTTAGTCGTTAAACAAGGAGAAGAGTTACAGTGGTGCAAGCTTCTTTGTATGATTGAAATGTTGGAGGAGGACATTTTCGGTAAAATTCACGGCACCTTGCTGATGATTTGGATGATGATGAAGGAGGCTAATGACAATGTATGGCTCTGATGAAGTCGTTAGTACAAGGTAATAATAATAATGAAACAATAATTCGTGATGGTGTTCAAAATGTACTCGAGTACTCGTCGATGATGAAGAGAATCTTCACGAACAACAACGTGTTGATAATGTTTGTGTGTTGATGATGGAAATTCAACAACTAGAAGACAGTAACAGCTCTCGCAACACCAATAAGAGTACAAAAGATCGGTCGATGTGGTCTCAAAATTAATAAATCGTCTCAACTTTTAAAAGCAAACGGCCGTGGTTGGGAGGAACAAAGTGGTACCTGGTAGAGGAATTCCCTTTGCAATGATGATCGGACGTTGGAACAATGAGATTTTTTCGAGCCAAGCGACCAATATTTTTAGACTCGTCCTCTTCGCGTTCGTTCAACAATGACTCTCGCTAAGGACGACAACAACAACAACCACAAAACAAACGCAAGATGAATACCAACAACCAAAATTGATTGGACTGCGACCCGCACCAAAGATGCAGCAAGGCACTAAGCTTGGTGAAATTCACACGAACGAGAAATGAAATGTTTCCAAAACAAAAATGCTCTCTGTGCACACGTGGAAGCCTTGTGGTCTGAGATGCAAGAGAGAGTTTTTCTTTCGTGTTGATATCTCTGAGACTCTGTCTGAGGAGCCTTCTCAACAAATAGCAACGCTCGATAAATGGAGTATGTAGCACCCTTTTAGTGCACTTGAAAGCTATTGACGTTGAAGAAGTGCCCAGAATGATTGTTTTCGTACTTGTAGTAGAGATATTATTGGACTTGAATAAGAGTCTCTTCAAGTCTAAGGTAGGATGACCATAAAGTAACAACATGAAATTGTGGATTTTATCAGTTTTTGAAAGTATGTCTTTTTCGAACCTCACCACAAGCGAGTGTTGAAATGTTTATTTGCATTTTTCGAAATGCCATATAGGAACCTTTTTTAGAAAAGGAAGATCAAAACATTTTGATTTTCGTTGAATTTTATACAACATGAAGAGAATGATGAATTTTCCTTGTTTCTATTGTGAACTCACATTCAGAGTAATGACTACTAAATTCATCCTATCATGGTCTATTTCAACCGAAACAACTAAAGGGGGCTTGAAACTGAGCTTGACAATGTTCGAGAAACAATAGCTTGAATAGATCAAAAGCCCCCTAATCAAACTGGAAGCCCACCAATAAACATGTTTTCTCTCAAGAGCGATCCAAACAAGGGATCTCTCTCGAACACAACTATAAATTCCTTCACGAGCAATACTTGAGGGAACATTATTGCCGCCAAAATTCAAACAAGCACTACAAAAAAATGTCTTTCCGAGAATTGAGAAGTAAGTGTTCAATGAGAAGAGGAGGTGATGAAGATCAATAATTGTTGTTCCGAATACAACTTTGTTCAGATTTCACGGAGATTATGCGATCTCTTGGCTATCCAAGAAAAATTTCTGTTGAAAATTTTAGGACACCTAATTATTTATTGGTTTCCGAGATATTATATTGGCTTGTACAACGGTAAGATTTTATAATGATTGACAAAAAAGTTGAGTCATCATGAGTTAGATATGATCCTAACATTGATATTGTTGAGGGAATAGACACTGTGGAAGAGAGACTCACATTTTTAAAATCAATTTGTGAGGTGGTGGTATGTGGTTGAAACAATAATTCATATTATTATTGAACACTATATTAGTATTACAAAGCAAGAATCAAGCTGAACATCAAGAGGTTGTATCAAGCTGACGGGTATGCTGTTAAAGAAATGCTAAAGCTCGCCAAACTTTTGAACGATGCAACAGAACTTGCCAAAGCCGTAGAGGAAAATGAAGATTACGAAACCGCTACTCTTCAACAATTAAACAGCTCAAAATTTCAATTAAATGTGAAACAAATCAGAAGCATTGCAAGTGAGCTTACCGAACTCGGTGCTGAATTGCACGACTTGTTGGGAAAAGAAATGGAATTAAAGGTAGGTTAGTGACCATGAAAAAGACCAGTTCCTTGTGACACAACAGTCAATAGCAAGAAAGGTTAGATGCAATATCTTATCCTCATAACATTGAAACTATCAAAGAGCACATTGAAAAGAAAAATATGGAGGCTGTTGATATGATTTCGGAGTTACAAAAATCAATTAATGATCTTAAAAAAGACGAAGAAAGCTTGAGGGATAAAAAAAAGAGAAAAGAAACAGAACTGGAGAGAGCTAAAAAACGGTTGTCTCGAGTTTCAAACTTTAGACCTGCATTTATGGACGAATATGAGCAAAAAGAGCAAGACCTTCAAGAATTGTACAAGAAATATGTCGAAAAATACCGAAATATTGAATATTTGGAGCATGAACTTGAAAAGCATAGAAAAGCTGAGGCAGAAATTGTGGAAGAAAACAAGAGAAGGTTAAAGTTGCTTCGAAAGAAACTGAGAGCAGATGACCTCAAGTATCTGAGAGGGGAAAACCAGGCCACTTATGACGATGAAGAGGAAGAAGAAGAAGCAGATGAGGAAGAGGAAGAAGAGGAAGGAGAGACTGAGACTGGAAATGATGAGGACGATGAAGAAGATGAAGAATCTGATAACGACGTGGATATTAAGTCTAGCCAAAAAGCAAGGCCACGTGCAGCCAGTGGAAGAAGGCCTGAGGGCAGAACAACCACGACCAATCAACATTTAGTTAACACCGCAGCTAAAAAAACGAGAGGTGTGACAGATGGGTATGACTCTGATGAATACATGGAATCAGATGAAGACAGCTATATGAACGGTAATGACGAAGAAAACATGATAGAGTCAGATGATGAAGGAGACTCTTTCTAAATCAATAACGTGAACTCAATTAAATAGTAATTATAATTTATTCGTAGAACAAACCAAACACCATGGCAACACAAGTTAACGAGCTCTGCGAACGCGATTTTAAATATTAATGTTGACATGTTCAAAGAACTTACATTCTTGAAGGAAGCCGAAGCATAATTGTCTGTAGAGGGATCCCACAAAAATCTGGAGGCAACTCTAATTCCTTGCCCTGAGGTACTTGTTATCACAACTTGAACAATAAATTTATATCTTGGGTATCCACATTTCTTTAGAAGTTCTAAAATTTTGGAACTCAATTCTTTTGATCTCACCACCGAATGGTTTGCGTCGTACTCCTCATTTTCCAATTCACTTCGTAAAAATTCATTTAGTTTGTCTTCCACATCTTTTTTTACAAATCTTTTAATCATGTGATACAAGTCTTGAGGATCCTCAAATTAACGTCCTTTGTGACTTACTTTTGACCTTCTTTGGGCTTCATATGATAGGACTGATGAATTATTATTATTTAATATTTGTTAAGTATGTGCCTCAATTCCGATAATTGTTGTAAACATACATTCATATAAATTTCTTCTTGAATACCATTTTCTGTATGAGTTTGAATATGAATGGCGTCCATGATTATTTATCCCGATAGCACAATGTATTTACAAGAAATGAGTGAGAGAAAGAATGGATGTTGTAGATTTTGTTTTTGAGGGGCCTGAAAATTTTGGCGCCAATTCAGATGACCATACAAACTAGTACACGACAGCCATTTCAAATTTCAAAATGATCTTGAAAAGCACTCCAACGTTGGCCGTTCAATGTTAAAATCTTCACTTCCTAGATGCCTCATATTCGTGAATAACTCAATGTTTCAATTAATTTTGATAAAAAGTGAACTAGCTCAAATCTTCAAGATTAAATTTGAATTAAATCCCTTCTCATTATCTAATTCAACTCGATATCCTTGTTGGTTAGAGACCAATAAAGTCTTTCCAACTTGAATCGAGTTCGAGTAATGTGTGTGCCCAAATCCCCATACTTTAATTTCATCACTAAATTTGTCCATTATGAATTGCAAATTAGTTGAAAAGGCAGAGCAATAGATGGAGCTATTATGTCTTGGATGAGAGGTTCCTGATATCAGTGGAGCATGATGGGTCAAAATCACAACCTCTTCACCATTCTCTTTACACTTTTCTAATTCCTCCACTAACCATTCGACATCATCCCTATGAAATTGATTGGTATCTTGCACTGTGAGTTTCTGTGCTGTCTCTTCCTCTCCCTTTTGAATAGTAATGTACATGTAATCACTGATCGCTCTGGAAATGTCTCTTTCGTGCCGTGAAGGAATATTGGACCATAAGGTACAACCTTAGGAGGAGGTTGGAAATGAAAATCAATTCATCATCATTAAAGAAACAACAATATATTAGCGAGTTCATTGGTTAACTAATAGAATACCAACATTTACATACCAAGAATACGAATTTTTCGATTTGTTTGTTCTTCCAAGATGAGGAGAGAGTTTTGATCCAAGACGAGAACTTTGTTGTCGGGAAAGGATTGAACAATTTCCTTGATTTTCTGTTTTCTACTATAATATTCTCTGATGAAAGAAGAATTCAACAACAACATGTGTGCATAATAGGATCACACATTTGAAAATATATGTCTGTTATGGTCATTACGTTGGTTGGACTCCAAGAACATACCCTCCATAAAATTCATGATTTCCTATCGATTTGTGATCGAGTCCAAACAATCATTCCAATTCGAGAAGATTTGAAATTAAATACACCATGTCGGACGATACATGACCTTTCACTACTCACCAATGATAATCAACACTCTTTCAAACTTGTAGTCTTCAATGCATGATTTGATAAATCTTTCATAGGATTGACTTTGTTGGCATGGCTTTCCGATATCTCCCAACAAGCCAATGATTTTACCTTCTCCTGGAGGAAGTGTTGGAACTTTGGAAAGGGGCATCTCTAAATGCAAATCGGAGCAAATGAAAAGTTCTAATGGACCACTAATTGTGTGGATTATAGTAGTGTTTGACATGTTTTTTTGTGTGTTGTAGAAAGTTCTTAGTGTGAACAAAGTTTTGCCAAAATTAAAGTCTCCATCGCAAACGAGAACATTGAACTCGTGACCATCTTTTGAAGTATAGGGCGATTGGAGTGAAATGCACATGTTTCATTCTTGAAAACAATTGTTTTTGAAATAGTGATACATCATTTGGGCTGTGTTGTATCTGTGTTGTTTCCATTCTCGTCCCAACTTTGACAAAGTAGAGTTTGCTTCGTTTTCTAAAATTTCGTGTGGAATATCACGAAGTTTAATCCATTCTAATTGTGCATCCTCAGAACATATTGAGTTCATAGCAACATTTAGTTGATTTTTAAATTGAGCTTTCATTCTCATTGTTAAACCTTCTAAATACTGCTCGGACATATTCTCATTGGTAGCAATGTCTTTGAATACTTGTGACATGGAATTCAAAGGATCTCTAAAAAGTGTTGTAAATTCTTCTAATAGTTCCTCCTTAACATGTTTAAAACAAATCACAGCTCTAAACGCAAACCAAGGCCCATACTGTGGATGAAAGCTCAAATAAGAAACTTCATTTTCGTAATAGGCTACTCCACTCACTTGTCCTGCCACCTGAATTGCAACTCGAGGGTGATTTCCTTCAAATTCATGACTAAAGTATACAGTATAACTTGGTGAGTGATGCTCTTCAGAAAGTTCCTGTTGAAGAATTGAGTTAACAGTTTCTACCACATATTGATCTAAAGGATTCTTTCCAACTTCTTTCACTTTTTTTAAATGTGTCGTAAAATGAGGCCACAAACTTTTGGTATTTCCTATTAAAACGGCCAGACAATGATCATTGTCCGATGACAACCTTTCGTAGGGATTTATGTTTTTTTGCATTGTATTCTTGGAAAGTTCTCTAGTTTTTAAATAATAATCATGATATCTTGAAATAGGAAAAGGCTGAAATATTTCAAACCCCTTCTCTTTCAATGATTGCTGAATCCGAATCAAATGTGAGAAGCAGAAGGAAGGAAATTTGTTCATTTTTTTCGTTTGGAATATTTTGTCATTTACGTTTGGTTTGAATTCGAACTTTGAAACAATGTTTTCATTGAATTATCCATATTAACGACATCTTTGACTTGCACAATATATAATAAATGGGTGTCTTGAGAGGATGGCATGTGGATAAGCCTCCGAGCAGCAAACCATCGTTCTGACTTTTTTGTTTGTTCAAAAAAAATCCTTCTTTTTGCTGCTTTGTTTTTTCATCTCCGGCTTGCTTCGGAACGCAAACGATTGCAATATCATCATCTTTAATAGTTGTCCATCATCAACAATAATTGAACAATTTTAGACAATAAAGCATCATGGAGCAACAAAAAAAACAAGCAGAAGAGTTAAAAAACAAGGGAAATGAATTATTCAAACTGAAAAAGTATGAGGAGAGTGTTGAATATTATACGAAGGCTATAGAGATTTATGAAGATGCCGTATATTATTGCAATAGAGCTCTTGCTCAAACACATTTAGAAAACTACGGAGCTGCTTTAGATGATGCTGCCAAGGCTTTAGTTATTGACCCAAAAAACACCAAGGCCCACTACAGACGTGGAATGGCTCATATCGGACTTTCAAAGTTGGAAGACGCTTTGAAAGATTTTAATGAGGCTCTAAAGTTGGCTCCAAACGATAAACTTATCAAAGAGAGAGTAACACAATGTAAAAAGGAGTTGAAACATCAAAAATTTATGGAAGCCATTGGTACAAGCCATGCACACATTTCCGAAGAAATTGATTACAAGGTAATCAACGTTGAAGATTCATATGACGGAGTCAGACTCGGAGAAACCATTACTTTGGAGTTTGTTGAAGACATGGTCACTAGATTTAAGGCCCAAAAGAAGATTCACCTCAAGTATGCTTTGGAAATTCTTGTGATGGCAACTAATTTGCTGAAGAATGAGAAATCGCTTTTCCGGGTCCATGTACCAGAGGACAAACACATCACTGTATGTGGAGATACTCATGGACAGTTTTATGATCTTTTACGAATTTTTGAGCTCAATGGAAAACCATCAAATGATAATCCATATCTTTTCAATGGTGATTTTGTGGACAGAGGCTCATTTTCTTGCGAAGTTATTTTCACATTGCTAGCTTACAAGCTCTATGATCCAGAATGCATGTATTTGACGAGAGGTATGTATTTTTTTTTATCTTTTTTCGTGATTTAACATTTTAACCACAATGACATTATTTCAGGAAATCATGAGTCTCGTCATCTCAATCAAATTTACGGCTTTGAAGCTGAGACTGTGAAAAAATATAATAGCGAGGTTTATGAGCTATTCCAAGAGGTATTTAATTACTTGCCATTAGCATGCGTTATTAATGAAAAGGTTCTTGTTTTACACGGTGGAATAGGTTTCAAAGATCCAGGTGTAACATTACAAGATATTGAAAACATTGATAGAGTGAAAGACATTCCAGAGGATGGATTAATGTGTGACATTCTTTGGTCAGATCCACAAAAGTTGAATGGTCTAGGTGTCAACAAGAGAGGAGTTTCCAGAGTTTTTGGTCCTGATATTACAAAGAAATTCCTTGATGACAATGGTCTCGAACTGCTGATCAGATCACATGAAGTGAAAATGGCAGGTTATGAAGTAGAAGCCAACGGAAGACTGATAACTATTTTCTCAGCTCCAAATTATTGTGACTCAGTTGGTAATAAGGGAGCATTTATCAGATTTAATGGATCTGATATGAAGCCACAATTCACACAGTTTACTCATGCTCCTCACCCTCCTCTTGGTCCCATGCATTACGTGTCAAGCTTGTATGGTCAACTCATGTAATAATTCTGCCATGTTCATTTGTGTTACATAGTGGTTCAATTTTTGCAATCATCAGAAACCAACATCATAATGTCCGAAACAAATTTTCATAAATGTTCACAAATTTCCATCCCTGTTCTTAATAATAGTGTTTAACACATTGGCTTGTTCGTGAAGAAATGGCAATGAATACTCCTCCGAATCAATTGAATCGCCTACAGGATTGTTATGACCTTTCATCATAATAATTCCCATATTACCAGAATACTTGAATTGTTGTTTTGAAATTGGATGATGCTTGTTTTGCAACTCGGAATCATGATTAACTGCCGTTAATTGTTTCATTTTCACACCGGTGTGAAGATTTTTTGTTTTGTGGTGATGATCAAACATTTGAATTAGCGGTTTTATGTCAGTATTTTCTGTAAAATGAACAGATTTAAATTGATTGGTATCGTTTTGATTGTTTCGTTGTGTTAACATCGAAAAAACCGAGTTAGCTATCCATGACAGAAGGGAAGTTAATAAATACGAATTTTCTTGCATTTTTTTTACCAACAAAACAATTCATTTATTCATTGCAAATATAGTAAAATCGACTGATGCTGGCATGTCCAATAGAAGCTACGCAATTGTGTGATGAATAGAATTTCTCCATGTGTGTATGATTAAAGCGGTATCTGCAATCCAAGTCAGTCTCAACAACAACTCTTCTCAAAGTCTTGGATTTGTGACTCAATGAACAAGTAAAAGAAGTCCAATCCGACCAATTCTTGTGATCTCTTGAATCTCCATCAAAGGTGAGCTCAAATGAAATTAACTGAGATGAAAGGAAGTCTCGTTGCTTCATTAGCACTGTTTTTACCGAATTAAAAGTAAACCCACTAAGAGCTAAATGCTGAAGATTTGGAAGAGCCTCCTTGTTCAATAATGCCTCAAGAATTTTACGTTCTAGTTCATCAATAGGCATTTCTTTCTTGTCTTCTTTTTTACGATAACTGTACTCTTGTGAAATTCTAATACGAAGGAATTTAACGCCAGGGAATACACAATTATTAAACAATTCCTGCCAAGAGGTTTCTGGATAACCAGTATAGGATTCAGTCGTAGATTGTTCAATACTCAAAAACTGAATGTTATGAGGGAACTCGAAGCACGTTAATGGTTGAAATAGTAGAATATTTTCCAATTTGAGATAGAGAGCTTTTTTCATTCGTTCCTTAATCCGTTCTTGATCTATATCTTCTAATTTAAGAGTGTAAGGATCAAATGATTGAGATCGTTCAGCTCCCAAAAACTTGGCCCAACCTGAAGGTTTGCAAATGTAAATGCCTAATTTTGGTGATCCATCATCATTTTGTATTGTTCTTTTTCTTCTGTATTCATACATGTTATTTTGTTCTTCTTCTGCCCACTGATCTAAATAGTTAGAGCTCAACAATACATCACTTCCTTCTGCCCAATATTCGTTAACGTTCTCAGAATCTAATGCTTTAAACATGTTCAAAGAAAGAATTAACGATGAAAAAATAAATAATTGGAAGGAGTCACAATGATTTCTAAAGTATGTGCAATATTCCTCAGAAGTCACATCTAACTTTTCAAGTCTCTTCATTAACTGAGATTTACTCTGATCTTCGTCTGAATAGATCGGTTGTTTTGAACCTGGAACTTTCTTCTTCTTTGGCTTTGATTCTTTCTTTTCAGGAATCATAGAATACTTTTTCTCGTTCATTCTCCTTGAATTTGTGTTGCAATCGTATACCCAATCTTTTGATACAATAAAAGCTCCAGCTTTTTGGGCTTCAACAGATTTTTCACTTGTTCCAACAAATGCAGCAACTGCAGAAAATTCAATTTCACATGAAATTAGTCACTAATAATCCATGTACCTACCTAAGTGAGTGGTGTCATTAGTGAAGTTGGGTCGATAATGAGCACCCATCTTCAAAGCAGTTTCTCTAATTGTTGTTCTCTCAGGATTGGGAATGCCTGAAATTGCAATCACACACCCTTTAAGGACGTTTTCTTTCGATGTGACCTCTCCATCTAAGGGTTCCTCTTCCTCCTCTTCTTCCTCCTCTTCCTCTTCTTCTTCATCTCCACCATCATCATCATAACCATAATCTTCCCAGTCACTACTAATTGCAGTAGAAAGATCATCCAAAACCTTTCCTCGTTCATAGTGTTGAATCACATTCTGAATACGAGTCATTTCCATCACTTGATGTTTGTTCATATCTCCTTGTCCCAACTCCAAGTCATCCAACGATGCAGTTCTAATCCAATATAATAATTTTTCAAAAAAGTTGTAGCCATTCAACCAATACATTTCAAAATCTGTGAGAGTCTCATCCTCCTCTGAGCGAGAGGCAGGTGAGGTGATCATATCGAGCCAGTATTTACTGGACTTTGTAAGATTGATCAAGGCTTTAATATTTTCAAAGGGCGGAATATATCTCGTTACTTCTTCAGACAATATCTCTGCTCTAGCGACATAATAACGGTTCTTCTGATTGGTTTCCTCTCTTGATTTCATATCAGTTACATTCAATTTCCGGTTGGACTCTAAATCGCTCACAAGAAATGAAAGAATTTGAAAAATCATTTCATTCGGAAGTGGAGCAAGAATGCCTATGGATGACTCTGGGAAAGTACGATCATAACGTACAACGTTCAACTTGGGTTGTTTTGGCGAGTCATGATGATGAACATTGTCATCCACATCGTTTTTTCTCTTGGATTGTCTTGGCATTTTTTAAAGACTTGGTTTTTTATCGCCGCATTAGGTGATTCCAGTTTTTTCGAGCTGTCGTAATGCGCCAGTTTTTTTACATTTCGTGCGCGATGTTCTCATTGTATCATTTGACTTTCAGACCGATCTTTGTGCAATATGCACGACTTGACACCTCTTTAAAGTACTTTGAAAAAAAAAACAGAAACTAAGTTTCCTTGTTATTATTGAATAAGTGGACCATATTTGGCCAGCATGATCACTGAAAAGTGTTCCGTGATTCTCAATTTGCCGAGAAAGGGATTCTCTTGAATGTGTTTCTGAGACCCAAAAAAAGAGCTCTAAAAGAAATTCAAGCACGGAAAATCCGGACAAACTCGACATACTTTTTTGGACCTCACAACAACTATGAACAAGAAGAAAAAAAAACCAACGACACACACATTCCATTTCTTCGCGTCTCTCTCTCTCTCTCTCAGCAGCAGCCCGCAGACACACATGAAGGAACTCCTCACCAAGCCTTTTGAATTTTCTCCTCGTAACCGACACGAGAAGCGATACAACCCTTACCTCGCGACTACTTCTTCGGATGGTCGGAGAGAAACCTCTTCTTCTTCTTTGAGACACAAACGAGTGCATGCCAGAGTGCTTCTTTCTACTCGGCAACGAAGGCTCTTGATGGGAAGTGATGATGATGACGACGACGAGATGGATGACTCCTCAATGACCAGCAGCAATAACTTTGCCAATAGTAATACTAACTTTAATTCCAATAGTATTAATACCACTACTCTCAACAATTTCAACCCATCCCATACATCCAACAATAATCATCTCAACTCTCTCCACCACCCTCATCCATCATGTGTTCATCATCATTATCATCACTTCAACTCTCTATTACAAACACAACTCAAAACTTTAGTGGATCAATTCTTTGAAAGTTTATTAAAGAACATGGAAACCATGCATGGAAGAAAGGCTTTGATAATGACAGAAGAGGATCGACAACGATTACAACAAGAGTTATTGGTATCCACTGATTTTGTAAAGCGAGTTCTCAACAACAATAGAAATACCTCAACAGGTTCAACAGGTGGTGGAACCACTACTCAACAATCCATGTCCATGACCAACACGAACGAATGTATAGTAGGATTTCCAAATTTGACACTCTTTCAATTTGAAAGATTTTTGTTACAGAGCGGCAAGGAAGTGTTTGTGATGGTGTCCAACCTCATTCCAGGACATCGATCGATTTACTTGGCTACATTCTCAATAATAAACCGATAACCAACATTTTGTATGTGAATTGTATCATTGTATCATCATCCAACAATTTGTGGATAGGAAATATTTATTCAATGAAATAATATTGAAAGCAAGTTCTTGATCAATTATTCATTTCCTAAAAAATCAAAAAAAAAATGCCCAGAAAAAAGAAATCCGTGCTCGAGGAAGAAGAAGAGGAAGATGTTTTCGGTGATAATGAAGACATTGATGTTGAAGAGAGGGATAAATTCCTTCGGGATTTGAATGAATTTATGGAGAAGAGAGGTACTCCTATTCCGTATGATAATCTACCACAACTAGGAGGAAGAAGATTAAATGTTTATAAATTATGGCTTCAGGTTTGGAGTAGAGGAGGATACGAGGCTGTTTGCGAAAATAAACAATGGACCGAGGTGAGAGATGCTTATCAAGTACCAAAAACTTGTACTAGCGCAAGTTATAGCTTGAAGATGTATTATCAAAAGTGGTTATATTCTTATGAGCAGGTGATGAAACTCGGAAAGGCTGATCCTACTCAAAAACAAACTCCTCACGTGCTAGAACAACAGAAAAAAGAAGCAGCTTCGGGAGCTGTGGTGAAAAAGGTTGCCCCGACCGTTAAAAAGAGGGTTTTTACATCATCATCTGGTGCATCTAAAGCAAGAAAGACTGAAAAGGAATATCAACCAAAAAAGAAGCCATCCACATATCAGAATGCATTGAATTTTCAACAACTTGCTCAAGGTCTTCAGCTAGCAAATATTAGAAAACACCAAGCAGAGATTGAACACAGTGTTTTGCCAATAGAGAGTCTTGCAAATGCATTTGAGCATCGTATGAATGGCTTTTATACTAGAAGTGACATTGACAGTGATGACATTATCAAAGAAATTGAGTATGCTAAAAGAATACACTGCTCTTTAAGATCAAATGATCCTTCACTTGTAGAATGGGCACTTTATCAAATTCTCCGATTATCAGAGAACGAACACTTTAGATGTGAGCATGTCAGCGACCTTCTTGAGTTTTGCGAGAATTTTCTATTAGAATATGCGTGTGAAATTGAAAAACAGAATATGAAAGGTGATCAAGACATATTTAATTTAAAGGATCAAAGATATATGGAGTGCCAACACAAAGCATTTATTTGCATTACCATTCTGAGAAATGCCTCTTTAATAACAGAAAATAGAAGCTCTATTGGAAAGGCAACAGGTTTAATTGAGACGCTCACTTTCTACCTGAGATATAACGTACAGGATGTTGTCCATTTGGATTGGCGATTACGAATCATGGACATTATCATCAACGTTTCTGAGTTTATCGATTTCACTTCCAACACAATATTTGACAACGTAGTTAATTATACTCTAGATACTAATGAAGAAGATGGATTGCTGTTGTCCGCTACCTGCTTGGAATGTATCAACAGTATCTTAAAGACTAAGACCAACCTACCTGTTATTGAGTCATTTTTAATGAACACTCCGAAAATGCTTGAGAAAATTATTGGATTTTTGGCTTGTCCTTCTATTACTAAACCCTCTGAGTCATATTTTGATAATGAGAACGAACAAGAAAAGGTTGACGAAGAGGAAGAAGATGGAGAAAACAAGGAAGACCTAGGAATAGAAAATCAAAAATTAACCAGATCAAATGTCACTTTTAAGCTTTCCTCTGTTGAGTTGCTGTGTAGGGCCAGCGCTCTTAGTTTTATTTTCCATCTATGCCAATCTACCACGAATTCATCTCTTTTAGAACTGCTTGCTAACAGTACTAGTTTCATAGACAGAATTGTAACATTAATAGTATGGAAATCGAATTTATATAACAGAATACACCAATATCCATACATCATATTTGAACAAGTCAAGGATCATGTTAGAGAGAACTCAGAGCGAGGAGATGGTAATATATTTGCCAAAGCTTCCAACCATGAAAAAGATGACACTGACGAATATGATGAAAAGAACGACATTGAAGAATTGTATGATGGATTTGATAGCTGTTTTGCACAAACTCCAGATGAAAAAACAGACACTCCAAAAATTAGTGATGCTCTCAAATTCCAAAAGAAGTGTATTGCAATATTGCAAACATTAGGAAAACACACAGACGTATTGAGAAAGTCGCCACAATTCTCAACGTACAACAAGGAATTCATGTATTTGACATTGTTGACCCATCCAATCATCTCAAAAGGATTGACATCACTCATGCATTAATAACATAAGTTTATTTGAATAAATTAAGCATAATAGACTGGCGAGTACAACAATTGATTCACTGCGTACAATTCATCTTCAGTAAATTGTTTTTTGTACTCTTCCCATTGTTCGTGATGTGTTTTGTGGAATTGCGTGAATGTGTTCTTGATGGTTTCTGTTAGAAATTGCACATCCACATTCTCATTTTCTGATTTCTGGTAGGAACTGAATTTAGAGAGAGTTACCAATACAGACGGTATGAATGATGGAAGAGAATATGGATAGGCTTTTACAATGGCACTCAAACCTATGGCGATATTATTGGCATCCAATTTTGAAATTCTTTCAGGTGTGCCTGACTTTTTGTGGGCAAAATGCTGTTTGCTCTCCTCAACAAAGTGATCAATGATTCTGTTAACTCTTGCATCTGGAGCGATTTTGATAAATCCAGCCAATGTATTGCAAGCAATATCCCGAACTTCAACAAATTTGTCTTTCAAAAGGAATAGTAAATGATTATAAAAGTCATCCTCCACTTCTGTACCAATAATATAGAATTGATGCTTAAATGCAAATCTTTGAAGGAAAAAACATATTGCCAAGCGTACTCTTCGCGTAGAGACACTTGTTTGATGAATCATTAATTGTTTTTGTAAAAAGAGAATGGAATACAACAAATCTTTGATGGTGTGTTGTGGTAATAAATATGATCCCACTCTAGCAATAACGCCTGCACTAATGATTGCAATATCTGTATCATTTGAGGAAGTGAAACATTGCAACACAAGAGGTAAAAGAGATGAGAAATATGATAAAGTGACATTAACTCCAAACATCAAAGAAGCACCCATAAGTTCTACAACAGTCTTACAGAATGACTTGAAAGCAATTTCTTCTGGTGATAATTTGGTTTTTTGAATGGTTGATGTTTCAGATTGATCAAGAAGTGACTTTTGTTTGTTATACTCTGAATAAAGTTTTTCAAAGTCAGTATGAAGTTTTGGAATCATGGTCTTTTGAATAAATTCTGATTGATTGAGATCAAGATTGGAAAGACTGAATAAGAAAGGTGGGAATTTCAATGCTCCACTTTCATCCACAAATAAATTTTGTGATAATGTCAAAGCGTTGTCATTCTTCAAGAGTTGAGATAATATTGGATTAACTTGAGAAGACTTGATGAGTTTTGGTAAACCATTTTCATCTCTTAAAGGATTCCATGATTTGAGGAAAATGAGTGATAAATTTCTTGAAATCAATTCTCTAATTTGTTGATATGGATATGCGAGATGGTTCAATAGCTTTTCTTCAATAAATTTCTCTAATATCTTTGTATCTCTCCAATCCAGTTCAACCAAAGTAAAGAACACAAGTTGTAATACTTTCAGTTGGACCGATACAATTCCAGAATCTAAATTTGTCTTTTCTATTAAAAAGTTAATAATTGGTCTTGTTCTTCTTCCATCACTATCAAACATGGCATAGTGAAAAGCAGATCTTAGACCAGAATCAACCGCTTGAGGAGAACAAGAGTCAATCGTGTGTGAAATTTGTTGCAATAAATACTCTAAAGCATTCTGTTTGTCATTAAACTTCCAATGTTTTGTTGCTCTTGACAAACCACCAAATATTTCTGCTACAAGACATATTTTAGAATGTTCTTCTGGAGCTCCACTTCCTGAAACGGACAATAAATCCTCAATAAAAGGTTTTAACAACTCCAAAGCTTGAATACCCATTAATTGGAAGAGTCCTTTAAACATTTGAGCATTCTTTTTAGTGAAAGATCTTCCATTATTTTGAGTATTTGTTTCTTCAGAAAAGTACATGAACAATTTTGTGAGATAATTTGGTTGAAGCATGATTGAAGAAATTACTTGTTGTAATTCCAATGCTTCTTCTCTGAATAATCTCTCTTTGGAATAATCATAAACAATAACCTTATTTGGAAGTCCATTCCATCCAACATAATACTTGTCAACAAATTGAGTCTTTTCAAATTCTTCTTGACTTGTTGGTACCTCTGAAGAGTGAAAAATGATCGACTTGACAAGTTCCTTGTCTGTAATGACTTGACGAGGTTGAATAGGTTTGTATTGTGTAAAAATAAAATCTAAAGCCTTCATGCATAAAAGTCTCAAAGGAACATGATCACTCACAAGATTGGTCATGAAACACTTCACAGCTTCCATTGGTAACAATACAACACTGTCTGATCTTATTAATAAATTCAAACAAGAGACAGTAATTAATTGATAATTCCAATAAAAGGATTGTGATAAAGTTGAGGCAATAGAGACAAGTGCTGAAACTGTGTCATTGTAATATTTCAATGCTGTCTTATTATGGATGGGTAATTCTTTGAATGAAGTACTGTATTGCATGTAGAGACCATAGATTCTCTTTTGTATGGAAGATTTGTCCACATGATAGCAATTACAGATGGAAGGTAATAATTTAGAAATTAATTGCCAACTATCAGTAATTCTTCGAACAACAGTACTCTTTTCGAGTAAAAAGATGGATCCATTGACCATTGCATGAGTCGAGTCCTTGTTTGGCAAAATATCAATAATTGGGAGAATGAATTTTTCAAATGCCTTGTGATTGAATAGTTTTAAAATTCCAATAAAGGCAGTTTGAGCACGTGTTCTCACTTTGGAATATTCAGAATCGGTTGAAAGATGACGCAAACTCTCCAATGTCTCGAGATGAATTTCTGTACATGGAATTGTTCTCTGGAAAACTCTCCAAGTAAACAATAATTGACATCGATCCAAAATGAAGCATCTTGGATACTTTTTCTTTGTCGTACTTTTGAAAAAGTGTAATTTCAATAGAGACCAAATTTTGGTCATGTTCAACATTTTAGAGAAACTTAAACTTCTAAAAGCTGCACAAATGTGAATGGCCTTTGTGAGAGCAATTAACACTCGAACATCAATGGTAACACCCATCATTGAAGATTTAGATTTGAATGAATGCTCTTCTTGTGTCTCTTTTGAAGGTAATCCAATAACAAGACTTTCTTTCAATAAGGTTTGTAAAGTGTTGAGTAGTCCTTCTCGATTCATGACTAATTTTTCATCCGAAATAACAATACAACCAGCACTCTTATTCGAAAAATGATTCACAAGTTTTTTGGTAAATTCAGTCTTCTCATTTTGTCTAATTTCATCGAGCATGAGAGAACTTCCCTTGAGAATGTATTTAAATTTCATCAGAGCATGGAGTAATTCATCTCTCGTAACCACTTCATTTGGTTCTTGATTGTTTTTAAAGGAGATGAGCATGGATGTAGCGTTTTTGACGGTTAGAACTGGTCCTTTTACAAATTCATTGTAGAGTTGTGTGGCCTTTTCAATTTCTTGATCATTTGGAACATGCCATTGAGCATCAACATTGGTAGAATCATACAATTTACCCCAATAGTTGAAATGATTATTTTGGAATTCTTCACTGAACCATTCTTTTGGTGGAGCACTTCGCTTCTCGACAAGATAGACCTGTGTTAAACTTTGTAACACATTCTTCAAAAGTTTTCCACACGATTTCACAATAGCCTTCGATTCATTGTCCCAAATCAAGCGAATCACTCTCAATAATGAATCCAAGTGTTTTCCAACTAGAGCATTACACTTAACAATTTTGGCTAATAAATGTACATAGTAATCCATTTCTTGTTCGTGTAAATCTCTCAATTCATTCTTGTATAAAATCTTTGAAACCAATGCATCAATCATCATACCAAGTGGATCATAGGATTCTCCATTCTCCTTTGAATCCAAATAGATGGCAGCAGCTTGTGCAATCTCACCGATATGCTTCACTGAATTGGGTTTAAACTCACTTGTCAAATATTCAATAATTTTTAACACACAAATTTGATGCAAGTCTTGAGAGAGTTGTTGGAAGAACAGTGAAATCGATTTTGATAGGTGAATATAGACCTCCTTCTTCTCTTTCTTGGAGATTTCATGTTCAGATTGTTTGCTGTGAACCAATTCTCCCATCACATGCAAAATTCTTCGAATAAATTCCGATACGAAATCTGGGAATAATTCAATGACATAGGGCATTCCTTCTCGATCCTGGATGTGTCTATGACCATTACTACTACTACCACTACTAGAAATGACAGGTACCACAGAAAATAAAGTATTAAGGAATGAAATGGTGAGAGATGTCTTTTGTTGATCATTGGTATCAATTCCAAGTAGTGCCATATTCAACAAATCAGCCATATAATCCTTCACTTCAGGAATATTATGATACAAGAGTGGAATAATAATCGTATTCAATAGTTCGAGAGCAACACTAATTTGATGAACCTCTGTGAGAGTCTGTAAGGCATGAAACACAATGTCAAACAACTCCTTCACAATGGCTGATGGTCGAATAAAGCAAATGTGCTTAATGGCTTGAATGGCATTTTTAGAGACTTTGACCGACTTGCTGAAGAGTGCCATTTTACACGAAGGAAAGACCATTCGAATGATATCTTCAATGGTTTCATCATCCAGTTTGTAGGAAGAGTATGTTGTTGTTGATGTGGTTGTTGTTGATGAAGATGCATCTGCTGATAAAGAGTGTCCTTCTTCTTTTTCAGAAGTAATTCGAGCCGCAATGGAACGGAATAACTCGGAAATAAAAATACTCAATGGTCTTGACCATTCACCATTATTACTTGGATAATAGTATTGATCAATGGATTGGAATAATCTCTTGAGATAGATCAAAGTCTCTGGTGAGGATGGAGTGATGAGCCATGTCAATAATTGTGCATTGTATTGCATGAGTAAATTACGTAAATCACTCAATTTCCAAAATATGGAACAATTATTGCTTGGAAAACTGTGATAGGTCGAACCACCAGAGCTACTCAAGACTTGCAACATTCCAGAGGCTGCTGCATTTCCCATCGCTCCTGAAATTTTTTGTGAATTAATTAATTTCGATGCAGCACCTGAAGCAACACTGCTACTGGAGAGACCTGCAGAACCAATATTCAAATCCATGGATCTTAACATTCGAGTGAAAATTTGATCCAAATGTGGTTTAAAATCAATTCTTCCAGCTTGATCTTTGGCAAGACGATACATCAATGACACAAAATTGAGATCATAGAATGGTGAGTTTGTATTCCAATCCCACATAGCCAAGAGTTGTGTGAACCAATGATTGGTCAATGTGGATACTTCAGGATTGGAAGGAAGGAATAGACATAAGAATGCTTGAGAGACGAAAAACTCAGAATCACTGAGTAGATGATGGTCATATTGAATATATATATATATACATATAACAATATATACATATTGGAAATATAATTATTTGAGAGAGAATCATATATTCAAGGCATGTCCATCCAATCATCAATGACAAGTATCCAGTCAAATATTCAATCATTTATATATTTTCAATTCATGCATTCATATATTTTCATTCATTCATTCATTCATATTTGCATTTACAATAACAACATACCTGAAATAAAGACTTGGACTAAGTTCCGAAATGACTTCTTCCGTCGTTTCTACGCTAAAATTATTTCTCAATTTGCAAACCAATTTGACAATAGTCTTTCCGAAATTTTCAGATGGATTATAAGCAATATTTCGATTCTTTGGAAAATAATTAGTTCGTAACATTTCATAAAATCTTCTCCAACAAGTAATAGGCTTGATGGATTGATGAATCAATTTGTGATACTTGTTTTTCATCAGAAAGAGCATGGCATTGGCTAATTTCATTTGTAATTCCATATACGAGTCAAGTTGTTTGTCAATAATAATCGGAAGGAGAGTTTCAAAGAGAATCACTCGATCTTGAAGACTTAATGGATATGCCAAGTTCGTACTGTATCGATTGAATAGTCTGATGGTTGAATTTAATGTATGAAACCATTTGGGATGGATCATTGATTCAACAGCAGACAACGAAGAAGCCTCTTCTTCTTGTTGTTGTTGTTCGGATGAAAGAAAAGAAAGGCTCTTTTCATTCAACAACATTTCAAGTGTTTTCTTAAATCCATCAATAATGTCCTTCTTCCAATTTTCAATCTCCTCCGAAATACCTTCTTTAACAAAGGAGGGAAGTTGTGAGGAATATCTCAACCTTGTTGGATCTTCCTCTTGTAATTGAGAAGAAGAAGACATTTTTTTGACTTGTTATAATTAATAATAAAGCGACTTAAACGATATAATAGTGTTTTAAAAGTTTTCATGAAGAGAGATTTCTAAGTTATCCATCCAGAGGAGAACTATTTGATTTTCAAAAAGAGCGTCCGCTACGAATGAGTGGCATCCTTCTGATTGAACGTTGGTTTTGTTTAATTTATTAATAGAGCGTATTTTCCTTGAATAAATAATATCTCTGTAGGAGCGAATTCAAATCATAGAAGATCAGTCGGTCTCCAAATTGCAAACTTTGAAAACATCATGTACAACACTTACGCATCTCTTACCTTAAAGCATTCTTCAAGAAGAAGTAGCTCTTACCATCAAATTTTTTGTGTTGACATCCTCTTCAACTTTGAATTCATTTTCTAACATTTCTTATTTAGAAAACCATCGCCACACGCATCATGAACGTAAAGTCCAAATTTGAAATTCAAAAATAATGTCAGCCTTTTCTTCGTCTTCTTGTTCTTCGGATTCACAACATCCTTCTTCTCTACCTCCTCTTCTTCCGATGGATCATCCCGAATTTATTTCAACACATCGAGGTCCAATTGATGAATCGAATTGGTTGATCCCTCAACGTGTTCTCATGTCTGCCTATCCTGGTGATTTAAAACCACAAGTCGCTCAGCAAAAGATTGAAACATTAATTCAAAGTGGAATTAATTGTTTTGTGTGTTTACAAACAGAAAATGAATTGAAACGATTTCATCCCTATCGTCCATTGATTGAAAAGTTCCAAGTTACAAGTGAGAAGGTGTTGAACCATGATGAATCATATGGAATGATTCAACAAGAATTATCATGTTCTTCTTCGACTAATCCAACGAGAAGCAATTTGGGAGCTAATTCCAATCCAACCAATAGTAGTACTAGTAGTAGCAATACCTCTATTATTGAATATTTACATTTTCCAATTCAGGACGCAATGATTGCATCTGATACTCAAGTGATGAAATTTGTTCAACAAGATTTAATTCCAAGAATCGTTTCTAATCATCATTGTAAAATTTTAATACATTGCTGGGGAGGTCATGGCCGTACTGGAACCATTGCAAGTATATTATTGAGTCATTTATATCAATTAAATGCTGAGGAAAGTTTACAACGAGTAGCAAAATGTCATAAATGTAGAGCGAGACCAAGAGGAAGAGCTCCAACCACAGAAGTTCAATTTCAACAAGTACGAAGATTATGCGTAGGATCCAAAGAGCTTCAAAATCAAGAAATTGATGATATGGCATGAATAAACTGATGGTTACAAAATTGTCATTATTTTTTTCCTTATTAAACTTTCTTCCAACTTGTATGTACATCTCTCCAACACAATGATATTTGATTTGTCTTTTATTCATAACCACTCTTGATTGATCTGATGTCATGCCGTTGACCTTCAACATCTGACAAGTTCTCATAACTTGTTCCAAATCGTCATGACCCAATACGTAAGGCTTATTGTCCTTAAATGTACAAGTGTGATTCTTTCCTTAATGAAGACTTGATTGATTCCAAAAGAGAGTTCTCTCTCTCTCGTCAATCTCAAAAACAATCCTTACTCTCAAGTGTATGAATCATACTCACCGCGTTGTGAGCTTGAGCAATTCATCTATGATGATTGCCTTATCTCCTTCCATTCAGACAGACATGAACAAGCCTTGATGGAGAGATAGAGTCGCACCACTTGAACACAACCATCGCATTCTGTGCCTCAGTTGTGAAAGAAAGATCCCTTTTTAGATTTACATCCACAACAAATCTTTGCAATTCGTCATCAATGATGATGATCAACGAGAGAGAATCTTGTGAAGAATCTTTATAGTGGATACCCTCCGTACGATTCAAAAGGACTCGAATCTGAGCTTTAGCTTGAGAAAAAAACATTTGAATTGATAAAACGGGTTCATTACTATTAGACACGCACACACGCACACTCACCTGCCTACTACTATACTCATGTGTCCCAATAAGCCATTGAACATTAAATGTTCTCTCAAGAGGGGCTCTGTCCTCAACAAGAAGAATCAACAACAACATCCACCACCACCACTTGGGATTCGAAAAAGAAAGAATGGAAGGTTCATGATGACTAGACTTGGCTCCTCTTCAGGCTCTTCTTCACTCTTGTCTTTATGGGAACGAGGTGGTGGTGTTCTCTTCCTCATCCATCACTCGTCGCTCTCAAGAGAATTCTTTGAACTCTATTCCATCCACTGATAGTAGTAGTAGTAGTAGTCGTGCATTACTACTCGATGAATACTACGACGAGAATTCCAATAGCAGCACGGAATTCGATTCAATGGCCAAGTGGCAGCACGGTCAGAATCATTCATCATTGAAGGATGAACCAAACAGTCACAACCGTTCCACCCACCATGGAGTCACGGAGGAGGAAACAAAACCTCCACTTCCTTCCTTTACATTACTTCCAAGTGGTCGACCATCCTCTTCTTCTTCTCCTCACACCACCATCAACCACCTCCTTCCAAATCAAAACTCGACGAATCTCATCACCACCACCACATTGAATGCTATCAACTTATCCACCACCACCTCTTCCACTAGAAGTACTTTGGAGACAAGTAATTTGGAAGAAGGGAACAACAACCACTCTCTGACATCTACTGAAGACACTTTATCACTCAATCCTCACACCATGTCCATTTTAGTGCATCATTCTCAAGTGAAATCCTTCTTAATTGGTAAAGAAATGTTAAGAGCTCCACATGAATTTCAAATTCAATTTGTTCATCAACTCAATCAAGATATTTCCTTTAAGGAACTCATTCAACGTGCCAGTTATTTATCAGAGTATTTTCTAGTGATGAATTTTGATCTTCCGTATTTAACACACAGTTTTCATGATGCGTTACTGACCGCCCAAACCACCACCACCACCACCACCACAACAACAACAACAACCAATCCTCTTTGGAGATCTATACTTCCATTTTTGAGAGTGTACATTTTGTTAAAAGTTGTGAATGCAACCAAAGATATTGTTGTGTCTTTGTATCTATAAATAGGCTTTTTTACTAAATATGAAATTGTTGTCTGAGAAATAGATTACAAATAGTTCAATACTTTGATAACAATTGTTCATATTTAATATATTTATTCAAAATTGTTCGAACAATAATGATGGTATTGATTGTTTATTTACATTTAAAAATGTACAAGAAATTTTGTGTCAAGTTGATTCAATTTTACAAGAATGGAATTTCAGCTCTTTCTCTCCAAGAGAGAATTCGATTCACACTACTACTGTGTGTATTAGTGAATACGTGAATGAACAGGATGCATTTCAGCCATCCTTTCTTGATATTGTTGTTTTAAATTACAAATACAAGTATACAGGGTTTGAATTAATTGTCGAGTATGTACATGGGAAGGATCACATGGAATGGGTAGAGACAATGATGATTGATGACATTCCATATTCTCTGTTACATGGTCATCATTTTCTAGTTCATGATCCTCCTCCTCTATTGATGGTTCCGAACTAAAATCTCCATAAAACATTTCTTCCAACTCTGTTAAACTCAAATCTAATACATCAACTCCAAGTAAAGAATGAAATTTAAAATAAGGAATTGCATCCTTGAGAGAATGTAAATGATGTTTTTTCACACACGTGGTGGAAGAACTTGTTGTTAATGGATGATGATGATCATGATGATGATGAAGGAGACCTTTTCTTGTCAAGAGTGAGGATGGCGATGCCAAACTACAAGGAGTAGTACTCATTGTACTCGTTGTTACTTCTTGAAAAGTTTCCAATTCTCGCTCGCGACATTCACATTCAAAAGTCGTGGTCGCAGCGGCGGTGCTAGTGTGGTGATGGATGTCTAATTGTTGAATCCATTCCAGTACTTGCTCGCATGTCCATGATTCTATGGTCAATGATGAAGTGGTAGTGGTGGTGGTGATTATTCGATCCTTTGATTGAATGGTATTGTGTTTGGACGAAACAACACCAACAACAACAAGACTTGAACTACTCGTTCGACAAGGTTGTGTTGTTGTGGTATCACATCTTGTTGTTGTTGATGGTGCACCACTACAGGATGTTGTCATCATGATAGTCATGTCGACAAGTAGAATGATGTTTGATGAGAGAAGTGAATGAACCACAACGAGCGGGAGTGGTGTTTGTTTTTTTCTTATGTTGTGATCCTTGTGATGAATATACTTCCTGTTTGAATTCTTCCTGTTCTGGACATTTTGAAAAGGATGAAAACGTCTTCTTCTGTGTCCAGAAAAGAACAACCATGACTCAAATTGCATGACATCTTGACAATTTCGTTGCGCTGATTTGGTCAACCGTATTGCACAAAAATTTCTCCTTATTTAGTGAAAATCGAGGCAAGAAGATCTTATGCCAATAACGTATCTTGGCTTGAATGGGTTTCCAGCTTATCTTACCTGGACACACTACAACCCAAGCTTTCATGAACCCACATTCCATTTTCTAACCTCGACTACAATGTGTATCTTCTATTTCTCCTCCAAAACAAACGAGAACGCGTTCTCTCAGAATACAATTGTTGCTGTTGTCTCAAAGAAAAATCATTATTTTCGTTCGATTCATGTACAGCAATGAGAATCATGTCAAAAGTGCGTTTCAGGGCGGTGTTATACTTCTTTGAAAGATATGGAGGAAGCGCAGCTTTTATTGTTGTGTGACCGATCTCTGTCTTCTGCTGCTACACTTGAAGAAGAGAGAGAGCGTACTTTTCATCAAAAAGCGCACTTTTTGAAAGTGGGTGTGAGCTGTTTCCGTCGCGTGCGAGCATCTGATATTCAACTGTTGAAAAGAGCCTCATCGACAAGCGTACAATTTTTTTTCATAGAAATTGAAACAAAATGACGGAACCATCTTCTGCTGCAACCACAGAGCATCCTCTCTACAACCCAACTACAACATTGGATGGAGGTGTTGCATCCTCAGACCTTGAAATGAACATACAAATTGATAACTTACCCAATCATCATGTTATTTCTTCCGAGCCCACAAATGGTTCTGGAAATCATCATCACCATGGAGAGGCTACCTCTACTTCATCCAACAGTAGTACAACGTCGGGAGCCTCTTTGAATGAAGAGCCTCCTCTTCAACATACAAACCACAACAACAACAACAACAACAACAATACATCATTGAATGTTCAACCAACCGACATGGAAATGAAAAAGTCTTCATCTGTGATTCCTTCCGCAGAGAAATCAGGTGAATTCATTATCGGTGGTGTCGATGATGATAGCGAAGAAGCCTACGTTCCAAAATATAAAAGTGATTCTCCTCCTCTTCAACTTGAATGGAAAGATCTTACCTACAAGGTCAAACTTCCTATCAATGCTCCTCCAAACTATAGTATCTTTCAAAAGATTGGTTTCAAAATGAAAAACGCCTTCAAGAAGAAGGAGAAGGATATTTTGCATCCAATGTCTGGATTTGTGAGTCCTGGAAGTACATTGGCAATTATGGGTCCGAGTGGTGCTGGTAAAACTGTAAGTAGTGTTTTTTGGAGAAAGTTCATTCTCGTGGAATTCTGTAATTTTCATGCAATTTCAAAAAACATGATTCACCACTCTTATTGACAGTCACTTTTGAATATTCTTGCTCAACGTGTCAAGGAAACCAGTGGAGATATTACTGTCAATGGAATGAAGATTGGCAGTAGTTTTAGAAGCTTGTCTGCATTCGTCCAACAAGATGATGTCTTGATGGGAAATTTGAGTGTCAGAGAAACTCTTCGTTATGCTGCATTGTTACGTTTACCAAAAACTATTTCATGGAAAGAAAAGATAGAACGTGTTGAATCGATTATGGATGAATTAGGTCTTCTCAAGAGTGCCAATACTAAAGTTGGTACTCCAGGTTTGACAAAAGGAATCTCCGGAGGAGAACGAAAGCGTCTCAGTATTGCCATTGAATTATTGACTCAACCAAGTATTCTATTTTTGGATGAACCAACCAGTGGTTTGGATGCAGCCACTGCATACAGTGTCATGAAAACTATTATCAAAATTGCTAAGGGAGGAAGAGCAGTTATTCTCACAATTCACCAACCTCGTTCTAATATTTATGAACTTTTTGACAAGTTACTTTTGTTAGCTCGTGGTAAAGTTGCCTATTTTGGACCTGCTAAGGATGCAACTCAATACTTTGCACAAATTGGATATCCTTGTCCAAAGCAATACAACCCTGCTGATCATTTTATTGATCTCATTACAGAATCTACAAGTGATACTGATGAAGGAAAGAAAATGAAACAGGAAGACAATGATCGTATAGAGAAAATTTTGAATCATTACAAACATGTGGAAATAGCTCCATCTACTTCTCACTTGGAAACTGATATTAAGAAAGCCAAGTACAATGCTAATTGGTTTACTCAATTCTTTGTTGTTATGGCAAGAGCCTTTGTAAATATTTTACGTGACAAGATTTTGACATTTTCAAGACTATTCCAAAACGTAGTGATGGCATTATTGGTCGGATTAATTTTCTTACAAATAGGTCATGATCAACAATCGGTACAAGATAGAAATGGTGTTCTCTTCTTTTGCCTTATTAACCAATCGATGAATTCTATTTTCGGTTCTTTGGCAGTTTTTCTTTTAGAAGAAAAGAAAGTATTTTTGAGAGAACGAGGTTCGAAAATGTATCAAGTCAGCGCGTATTACCTTGGAAAGAGTGTCAGTGAATTGCCAAACATTGTATTCTTCCCAATTCTATTTGGTACGATCGTGTATTGGATGACCAACTTGAATGCCGGAGCAGATCGATTCTTTATATTCTTACTCATATTGGTGTCAATGGCATTGGCAGCTCAAGCATTAGGTATGGTGTTAGCAGTGTTGGCTCCTTCCATGGAGTTTGCTACTGCCATCGCTCCTGTTTTGTTAACTGTGCTCATGTTGTTTGGAGGTCTTTATATGAACGTTGATAACATTCCACCATACTTTATTTGGATTTATTGGCTTTCCATTTTCCACTTTGGATATGAAGCGATGGTGTTGAATGAGTTTGCTGGTGCCTCCTTTGAATGTCCTCCCTCTCCAGCAATATGTACTTACAGAACTGGTGAGGATGTCATTGCTAGAAATGCGATGGACAAACCATACTCCAATGTTTGGATTGACTTGGGCTTTTTGTGGGCATACTTTTTGATTTATCGTCTTTTGGCTTATCTGATCTTGGTATTCTTTGTTAGACCAAAGAAGAAGTAAATGTACATTAAACACAACTTTCAACAAAATTCATATGATCAAAATTCTCAATAATTTATTATTCCTTTGTGTTCTTTCCTCTAAGCTTATTCTTTTTTTTTGGGAGGTTCTTGTTGTGAAGAGCTGGCCACATCTTTGGTTGCCTGTTTTTGTTGGTTCTTCTTGGTTGCATTTGAATTTTGTGGTTTTTGAGAGGATGATTTAACAGTCTGTGGCTCTTGGTCAAATTTTCTCTTCAAAGTTCCTTGGTTCTTCTTGTTGGGTTGGCTGTTGTTACTCTTGAAGTTCTTCTTGTTGTTGTTAGAATTCTTTTTATCACCCTCATTCTTATGTGCTTCATTTTGTTTTGTTGTCTTGTTCTTTCCCATTTTACCTTGTTTAAATTTGAGAGCTCTCTCCGTTTTTTTATCGAGTAATCCTTTTTGTGCTTTCAAATTTCGAATTTTAAAGAAAATATCCTTCTTCACTTTTTCATCAGGTGGTTTGTAGTCATATCTCATTAAATGCTTCATGGATACTATTTTATCCAAATCATCATCATCTAAATTGATGATATCTTCAGTTGTTAATCCAAAATCAGCTTTATCCACAGTCTTGTATTTAAATTTAAATGTATCACCTGTTGCTGCATTGACATCTTCAAAGAAAGAATCATAATAATCTTCAAATAATTTGTTTACATGTCGTTTCAGAGCACTTGCAGAAGAGGTTGGATTAGAATCACCAAGATTATCATCTTCGTCATCTTCCATAGCAGCTGATGCAAATTCTTCAATAATCTTTCGTTTCTCAATGGCTTCCCATGTCTTTTCTGAATCATCACTTTTAGAAATTTGTAACTTGTCAATCAATGAACCATCTCCTTTGATCATCTCTTTCAATTTAAATATTGATTCTATAATTTCATTTTTAATTTTCTCTGCTTTTTCATTGTGTTCTCTTTTCACTGATTCTAATTGTTCTTTGAATTTTTCATTTTTGGCAAGACGTTTTCTCTTTTTTTTAGAATCTTTTTTTTCACGTTCAGATTTTGGAGTTTCAGAAGAAGAGGAATCATCAGAATCATCATCAGAGAGGTCAGAATTAGAATCATCCATATTCTCGCGTTCTTCATCTTGTGTTGAATCATCACTCTCTTTGTATTCTTCATCTTGTTCATCATCATCATTGATATCCAATGGTACTGCATTCGATGTTCCTCCCAATTTTGAATTTTCCAAATTCATTCGATGAGATTCAATATCCAAATCAGCATATTCTTCATCTAATGCATCTCCTTGATCCAATTCTTTTGCTTGTTGAGCATATCGATCTCCATGTTTTTCATAATCAAAGATCCATCCTCTTTTGAATAAAAAGTTTTTTAAAAAGCGATCATTTTCATCCAATTCTTGATAGGAGGCTTTTTTTAAACCATTGAGAGGATCATCATGAGCAGCAGCAGTCTTATTGTCGTCGTCTTCTTCATTAGAGAGGACATTACCATGCAAATCACCAGTTTCATCCTCCTCTTCTTCATCGTCTTGTTCATGATGATCATTTTGAACATTGTCTGTATGTTCATCGTTATCTTCTTCGGAGTGAGTCCATTTATTTTGACGGTTTGAGAGACCACCAGTAGTCATGTTCTTCTGTTTAGTACTAGTTGGAGTGATCGAAGTAGTAGTAGTAGTAGTGGTTGTTGTATCCTTCCCGAGAGTAGGTTCTTGTTCCGAATGATGATGAGCCTGAAGTGCTTCTTCTTGTTGACTCTTCCGAAGTGCTTCAAAGGCTTCTTCTTCCTTCTTGGCTTTCTTCAACTTTTTATGTGAAGGCATTTTTTTTAATGTCTTTTTTGGTGTCTCATCATATGTACACCACATCAATGAAAAGGATGAGAATGACAACAACAACAACAACAACAATAACAACTCAATGACTCCTCTCTGTAGAATCCCTATGATACCACAAATACTTGAATTCCTTCTTAATAGGTGGTGAGGTATTATGACCAATAGGAGGAGGAAGAGGATCAAAGAATCCTTCCAGACCTGTATCCATCTCAATAAACCACTCCAATTCTAAACTATCAATATGAATACATTCTCTCAACATTTCCAATCTTTCTTGTAAAGTCAATGCATAGAATCGATGAGGATGTCCACTCTTAATATATTGTTTTTCAAACCATCGTGCTCTCACACTATACAAATGTCCATCACATTGCATTAACAAGTGAATAATATCATTGAGAGTAAAATTGAGTACTCGAGGTGATAATTTGTAATGATGAATCTGCTGTGATTGGATCATGAGTGATGGAAATTTCTTAATGAGTACATCTTCATCTTTTTCAATGACATGTTTAGGGAGTGAAGAGAGAATGGGTTCTACTTGATTCAAATCGAAAGGTAAAAGAGTGTTGTTGTTGTTGTTGTTGTTGGTTGTTGTTGTTGTTGTGGTAGTAATTGTTGATGTTGTTGTTGTTGATGAGGAGGAGGAGGAGGATGACAGAGTGGAGATAAAGCTAGAGGTGGGTTGACGTACAGAATTACCATCGAGAAAGGTTTCAGCAATTCGAATGAGATGCATGCACACAAAGCTCATGTCCAAACCATCTTTCATGATCGATAGAGTTGGTGATGAGATAGATTCCTTCTTCGTACTTCCACTATCATGAGGAATTGGATCATTTGGATTCCTCAACATACAATGTTGTAACAAGACAAGTCCATCCAAACATGCCTCTTCATTACGATTTTCCAATCGATACAAATACAAGGTCATTCGAGAGAGAAAGGACCAATAACAATCCAATTGTGTTCCAATATGGCATGCTGCATGGAAATATTTCAAAGCCTTCTCATACAATCGTAAATTTTCATAAATCATTCCCATATTCTCCAAAATGAGCGGGAAATAAATCTCCGTATAAGGATAGTGTAAGAGAGAAGACGAAACACGAAAGGAACGCAATGCCTTTCGACACGACTGTTCAAATTCAACAACATCCAATTCTGCTCCATCATGCACATGAGAATACATTTCACTATATTCAAATCCATAATAAAAGGCATGATAGAACCATGCTAGAAAGGATTGAGGAGAATGATCAATAAGAGTTTGTGTCATTTGATCGATTTGAGAGAGAGTAGTAGTAGTAATAGTATTTCGTGTACGAGAAGAATCTAGTGGAGTTGAAGTGGTGGATGAAGTAGTGGATGAAGTAGTGGTTGAAGTATTCGTATTGGCACTTGTATCACTGTCAGTTGTGAACAACACGAGAGATGATTTATCATTGACATATCGATTCAAATTCAATACATGATAATATTCAATGAGTTGATGTTCATAGTATTCAATGATAAACTCCATCAAGTGGTACTTGTTAGAATCTCTACATGTGTTGTTGTCATCATTCTTCTCATCCTTTTCATTCTTCTCATCCTTTTCATTCTTCTCATCACGATGGGTATTACTTGTCGTAGTAGTAATTATAGAACTTGTAGAATTGCCACTACCAACTCCAACACCAACACTAATATTGCTGCCACTACCAACTCCAACACTCATACTCTTCTTTTTTGTTTGTATTCGATGAATTTGTTTGTAGTGTTCAAGAAAATTCAATTCTTGCTTAATTTTGAATATTCCTAATTCTAAATATCTTTTTTGATAAATGACACAATCGGTGGCTCTACTGACATTTGCTAAATATAAATATAATAGGAAATTCAATGGATCTACTTCATAGGCTAATTCATAGAAATATTTAGCTTTAGCATTTTGATAATTGGCTCTATATTTTTGTCCTATAAAAGTATAATCACAGGAAGTGTGTTTTCGTTGTTCAAGTGTGGATTGCAAAGATGATAAATAGTAAATGATTCGTGGAATGGAAGATTGATATTCATATTTAAATAAATAAAAAATAATTGAATTTAGAAATCGTAAATGACTTTGATTTTGCAACAAGGCTTGCATGAGTTGTTGAGTCGTTAAATTTAATTGTAAAAATATAAAATCATCATTGAAGGAGGAGGAGGATGTATTAAAAGATGTAATGATGAGTATTGATGGATCTTGTTGTTGATGATGAAATACTTGTTTGATCGCTTCAATATATTTGATTGCCTGTTCATATTTGAAATTGGTTTGAAGTGTATGAGAAAAGAGTAGAGGATAGAACGTGCCATCATCTTCTCCACAAATATCGGAGGATGAGGAGGATGAGGTAAAGGACGGTGAGGAAGATGAATTCATCTGAGAGGAGTCATGATATTCTCTATTCCTCCTTCTTTCCTTATGGTTGATAGAATATAGAGTACGATGATGCAATTGAAACATTTCATTGTTCATATTCATTACATCCTCACATTCATGATCATGATTGGGAATGACAGTGGTGGTGGTGGTGGTTGTTGTTGATGATGAAGATGTGGAGGAGGATGAGGAAGAGGATAGGGAAGTCGATTCATACATTTTTTGTGATCACCACCATCACCATCATTGCCACCACCCACCCTCACCAACACCCTCACCACCACTTCTTTCCTGCGTTATGAAATGTCCAAGACGTAGGTGAGGCGATAATAACTGGCGGACTCAGACAAAAAATTGACCTCTACTGTGTGTGTGCCTGTGTGTGTGTGTAGACGACGTGTAGACACGATCACACACCTATTCTTGTTGTGGAGCATCATTCCTTCGTTCGTTCAATAATAATTATCATAATAATATTTTGAATTTTCGTTGTTCTTGTTGTTCTCAGAAACAACACCACACGTTGTAAAGAGGAGATTCAAGAGCATCCTTGTGAATCATTAGCATCATCATCATCGGATGATAATTTTCATCCATCACGACCATCCTTGTGAATCATTAGCAACCTTGAAGGTTCATCGTACAATTTATCATCCTTGCACACACCCAAATAACCAAATCATTATTATTTATAAATATATATATATCAAAAGATGACTCAATCCTCTCCAACCACCACCACCACCACCACCACCACCCATCCTCATTATTACCATCACAATCATTACCACCAACCATCCTCATCAAATACCACAACACCAACAACACCAACAACCACCACCACCATCACCAACACCACCACTCTGACCACCACTTCTGTCACGACCTTTCTCGCTCCACCATCGTCATCGTCCTCTTCATCTTCTCATTTTAACATTTCTCGTAAACAACACAATCTCTATACCAACAAGAAGAAGGCACTCACTCTCATCAATAATACTCCTCTCATCAAAGTTCCCTATATTGAAATTTATTTGAAACAAGCGACGAATATTTATGAACGAGTGAGTATGTCCTCCTCCTCCTCCTCCATGACCACTACCATGACAAGTGGCAGCAGTAGTGAAGGAATGAATATGTCTCAACAATCCTCTTCAGCACTCTCAACAACAACAACACCTCCCTCTTCACCCAATACCTATGTTGTATTTATTTGTTCCATTCCTACTCAAACTCTCTCTGAATTTGATTCTACCAATTACAACAGTAGTGGAAGTAACAATGTGAGAGGATACAATCGAAGAGTATTGAAATCCAATGCCATTCGAATGGCCAATCCAGTATGGAATGAATTATTTATTTTTGATATTCATGTATCGAATCATTCACCATCCTTGAATCCATCTTCAACAAATATCCAATCTCAACAACAACAATCAATCATGTCATCCTCTCAACAACAACAACAACAACAATCAATCATGTCATCCTCTCAACAATCATCATCTTTGATTCCATCTTCATCATCTTCATCAACAACAAATACCCAATCTCAACAACAATCATCATCATCTTTGATTCCATCTTCACAATCATCCTCTCAACAACGTATCATTCATGAAACCATTCTCATACAAGTATGGGCCAAACACATTTTCAAAACTGATGAATTACTTGGTTGTAAAACTATTTCACTTCAATCATTGGTAAGAAATCGAGAGAATCAAATGACTCTTCATTTATCAGGAATGTCCCATGCACAATGTCAAATTGAACTCTCTCTTATTATTCATGATTCATTGGATTCTCAAATGAATGTGAATCAAATTGGAAATGAAATGACAAGTCATCATGGTGGTCATGGACATGGTACTACTACTACTACTACTATGAATAGTAATACTAGTGGTCAGAGTGGTGGTGGTGACTACACGACTACAACCACTCCTCATGTTTCTCCTGGTGGAATTTCTTCCAATTCTTCCAATTCTTCTTTTGACTTTTTTGATTCCACATTCACATCATCCAATCTTTCACATTTAATACTACCAGAGAATACTCTCATTCAAAATGGAAGATATCGTATTCTACAATACATTTCAAATCAAGCTTCAAAAGGAGGAGATTCCATGATTTATAAAATTATAGATCACAAACAATTGAATCGAATCAAAATATTGAAAAAGATTAAATGTGAAACGATACAAAATGCCAATGATGCCATTCGAGAGAGTTGGCCACTCTCAGAATTGAAACATCCCAATTTAATACCCTATGAAGATATGTTTATTGATATTACAACCAATGATGTATTAGGAAGTGTATTCTTTGTGTGTTATGTCACTCCATTCTATGAAGAAGGTTCACTTTATGATTTTATGGTTAAAGTGAAAAAGAAGAATATTTATTTAACACCTCGAAGAGTGAGTGATTATGCATTGCAGATTGCACAGGGAATGGAATTTTTACATGCTCATTCCATCATGCATCGAAATTTAAAACCAAGTAATATTTACTTGTTAGAGAATAATACTGCATTGAAAATTGGAGATTTTGGATTTTCAAAGAGCATTTCTCATGCATCTACTATATTAGGTGGTGTGACTAAAATTGCTAATTTTGGATATACTGCACCTGAAATAGCATTGGTCACAGAAGTGACAAATGTGTATGGTTTTGAAGTGGATATATGGTCATTTGGAATCATCTTGTATGAATTATTGACATTGAAGATTGATAAGGAACAATTGAATCATTGTGCATTGGCTAGTTTTCAATACGATAATTATATTAAAAATGTGATTGAAGGTGAAATTAGAAAGATTTATAGAAATGATGCAGATGATTTTATTCAATTATTGAAGAGAATACTCGTGTTAGATCCATCTCAAAGAATGAATGCCAAAGAGATTGTTTCTGAATTGAAAATGTTGGTTGAAAAGTTTGCAAATTTAATGAATCAAAAGACGCATTGATCATTATTGTTGAAATAGTAAAATTCGTGTGAATATATCGACGACACCATGAAGAATCATTCTGAAGTTGTTGAGTTTTTATTAGGGGTCTAGTAGAGTTGTTGTTCTCTCATCAATTCATGGTTCAGCCTGTTGTTGTTCATCATCATCATCTCTGAGAGAGAGTTGTTGAATTAATTGTGAATGGTATGGACTGAGAGATGTTTTATCCTGACCACCACCACCACCACCACTCTCATCACCACTCTTGCCCTCCTCCTGACCACCACTACTCTCATCACCACTCTCATCACCACTCTCCATCATGATGGAGAAATAATCTCTCAAAATTCCCTGAAGTGTCTCCATTTGAATCTTGTATTCACGACTCAATTCTTCACTCATAAACTTCAAAACCTTTTTCGATGCACACACATGTGCCAACACATAACACAATCTCTGAAGAGTGTACAATCCACCCATCGATAATCTCTTTTCAGAAATTTCCTGTTCAGAGAGAGAATTAAAGAATTCTTGTGGTGATCGAGTGGTTAAGAATTCTTCATCATCCATTCCAAAGAAAGTTACAACAAATTCTTCAACATTGTGTTCCATTAATGTATCAAATAAATAAACTTTCTTGTAATACTTGTAAATGAGAGAAGAGAGTATTTTTGATTTCTCTAATTCTTCAAATTTAGAAATAATTCGATCTTTCAATTCTTGATCTTTTTTTTCATCCACCAATTTCAATAACATGTTCATTAAAATATTAATAATAAATGTTTCCATCTGATCATCATCTTGATTCTTCTTTCCAATTCTAGAAAATAATGCAAAAAGTGTTTTCAATCCTCCACTCTCTACAAATTGTTGAATATTCAATTCAAATAAATTCTCCATCGAATAACTCAATACTCTCATGGCTCCTAATCGATACTTTTTCTTATCTTTAATTATTTTTAACATTAATTCAATTCCTTCAAATTCATGAAATATTTTCTTAAAATCATCACTCATAGTGAATAGACTTGCTAAAGTATTGAAACAATTCTCTGCCATTTCATCCATTTCAACAACATCATTTTGATTGATTCTAAATTTGTTTAATACATTTAATAGAAGATTAATCATTTCACTTGAATGTTCTTCTTGATGTAAATAATTGAATAAAGTTTGACTTGATACAAGTAGAAATAGAATTTCATAGAAATATAATTGAGTGTAATGAGAATAGAGAGAATGAGTAGTATCAACAGAATATGTGGTACTATTAATAGTAGTAGTAGTAGTATTTGCATGAGTAGTATTTGCATGAGTAGTATTTGCACGAGTAGTATTCACATTGATAGTATTAGTAGTATTATTATTATTAGTAGTAGTAATATGAACACCACTACTCCTTTCAATACCATTTCTTATAAATTTAAATAATAATTCTATATTTTTCATAGATATAAAAGTAATAGCCTCTTCATCATGTTCAAATATATTTTCAATAAGAGAGAAACAATCATTAATAAATTCCTCTTCCATGTTGTCGTCGTCATGTCTCAAAGCTTCAATCAACTGATTCAATGTCTTGATGATATAATCCATTAAAATATTAATAAATTCTTCATTTTGAGTCAATAAATCCATAAATGTCATGTAATTTTGATATTCATTTTCATCAACAAATGATCCTTCTTCATTGGATGTAATTTCAACCAATAATTTAATAATTTGATGAAAGAATGGTGAAATGATGAATTTGGATTGATGATTGGATTCAAAGGATTCAATATAATTTTGAAATTCAAAAATAGTTTTTAATACCTCAAGTCCATTCCATCCAGAAAAAGTCGAATCATCATGTTGTTGAGAAGAAGAGGTTGTTGTTGTTGTTGATGACTTGACAAATAAAGGCAATAAATGAGTTTGAACAGAGAGTTGATTTTTCAATTCAATGATTTGAGAGATCATTTGTGAATAACACTCTTGTATTTTTAAATGTGTTGATGATGAGTGAGTGGTTGATTTTTCCATAAGAGTAATAAATTGATCAAAAACTCTCTTCATGGATTGTAAATGAGATTTTAATGGAGTGTTCGAAGGAGAGGGAGGAGGATGTGTTTGGGATTGTTTGGTTGAAGATGATGATGAGGAAGGAGTGGAAACATGTTTTGCCTTTTTTGAAGGTGGAGGTAACATGGTGTTGATTTGGGGCTGTGGTTGGGTGCGCTTCATTTTTTAAATATAACACGACGCAAAAAAAATGAACACAAATGAAGACGTTGTAATGAATAGTATCAACCAAACATTGATGACCCACTCAGAAGCTTTCGGAATCATCTTTAAACATATTGAGAATTTCTCAAAAACATTGGACGGATGTGTAATATTTTTGATTTTAGATATTTGGTTTGATGGTCCATCAGTTCGATAAGGATGTGCAGGGGATGGAGTTTGTTCTATGAGTGTTGTTTTTGGAGGAAGAGGTTGTTTAGGTTTAATTGGTTGGTTGCTGTCGGAGACTAATTTAACTGACTTTACCTTTTGTTTCCGATTATTGATGTGGTTAGATAATCCGTCCAATGTTTTTGAGAAATTCTCAATATGTTTAAAGATGATTCCGAAAGCTTCTGAGTGGGTCATCAATGTTTGGTTGATACTATTCATTACAACGTCTTCATTTGTGTTCATTTTTTTTGCGTCGACAAACCGAAAAAAATGGATCCACAGCCAATTACACCACCCGCTACAAAGAAGAGAAAGGTAACAGAAGCGGACAAGATCATGGAATCAATAGAGAATGATCAACAAGCAGATTCAAGCGTTGACGGAAAAGTTGAGGAAAATAGACGATCGATTTGCAAATAGATATGCGTCGACCGGGAATTGAACCCGGGTCACGGCGATGGCAACGCCGTATTCTACCACTAAACCATCGACGCTTGAAGATGCGTAAAATTCATACTATGTTTAAGATGTTCTACTGATTGAAATAAGCATAAGTTAGTGTTCAACTGTTTCCATCCTCTGGGCTAGTGACACCCAACCTTTCAGCCAAGCCAACCTGGAGAGCTCAAAATCTAATTTATAACAATAAATCATCAAGAGAGGAAATTTGAGGAGTTGCAATCTGCTTCTTCATCAACAACAAACAACCAACGTTCCATCCAAGTGTTTGTTCTTTCGATTTCAAGTAATCTTCGTTTTTGAAAACTTTTCACAAACAAATGGTCATTTCTTTTACTCAACTTATCAAACTTGAAGCAGGAGAATATTCACCCATGTGATATCACCACACTGCTTGATTTATTTCATGAAATGACGGATTCATACTTGGAGCCACCAATTAAAAGAGAAGCACCTGCTGGATAAACATCGTGTAATCGACACGAAAGAGATACATTCACATCCAAGACCTTAAACAAAACTTACAAGTGAAATGCTTCCGATAAAAAAGATATTAAATACGTTTGCAAAAAGATATGCGTCGACCGGGAATTGAACCCGGGTCACGGCGATGGCAACGCCGTATTCTACCACTAAACCATCGACGCTTTTGTGAGAATTTAAGTGGGATTATTGCGATGGATCGGATCCTCTTTTGTAATGAATTGACAGAATGCTATTTCTTTATTTCTCAATCCGTTTACAATATCCAATCTTAGGGGTGTTAATTAAGGAGATCGGATTGAAGGACAATGAGAGAAATGGTCAAAAAAAAGTCATAACGACCGACAAATTCGAATGTTGTTTGATAAAGCAAGAAAAACAATAGATCAATAAATATTTACTACTTTCCTTTCGTTTTCTCAGAGTTTTATATGCCAGAATCTTCTCATCCGAAGTTGTTTTGTGATGAGATGATTATGATGATAATATATCACTAATTTAATTTGGTGATGAATTCAATCCGATTGGATTGAGATTTATTGTAAACAACCTGATTACAACAGATTACAAAAGCCGATCCGATCCATCCCAATAATCTCAAAAGCCAAGCTAATTAAATTACCTCTTTGAAGTCAGCCAATTCTTTTCAAAAGAACAGGTGTTTCGACTCGCAATCATTATTGCCTTGGCAAAAAACAGTCAATAATCCCACAATCCTTCTTTCTGTGAGTTCTTGTGAATGTTACTACTAGTATATGCTTGTTTTGAACAGTGTTAATGATTAACTTCCAAGTTTTTTCACTTTTGTTAAGTTTGTGGAATATGACAACAAAGAGGAGTGACCATTTGGAAGATAACTCTTTGATGTGTCTAAATGCAATGAAGCCAGAAACAGATTGGGAGAATGGTTCTTTTTCAAATAATTGATGTTGCATGTTTTCATATCATGTGATCATGCTGATTGGGATTGTTGTGTGCTTTCATTTTCTTTCTTTGAATGTGTTGGTGTTGAGTGCCAAGATGTTGTTACTGGGGAGATCATTAGATAGACAAGCAAAACAGCTCTCTAAAGAGCAAAGCAACCCAACCGCAACTTCATAACAATCTGCTTTGACACCCACCGCTCCCAATATTTCGAGAGAATTTTTCTCTAACACTTGTTGTTATTTCTTTTGACTTCGGTAATTATTGGTCAATTATTGATTTGCTCAATTTATTGACTATTCAGATTTGGATAACTTCGATTTTATCTATGGCCTTGGACACTTATTTTTATTTATTTACTCATCATTGATTTGTTCAATGATATTTTCGTTCTAATCTTTTTCAACTAATTTATTGATATATTATTCCCGAATTAATATCCTTTCCTGGATTTGGTGTTTCTCAATGAACTCGTTGAATCTTACATCACATACCACTATCCATCAATTTCTCTGGACAACTGTACAACAATTAAGCTTGTTGGTAGTTTGGAGAGGAGAAAGCAATTAACCTATCTACATTAACTAATTATTGTTTAGTTACACTACATTTACCAATGACAGTCAATACAATTATAATTTTACAAAAACAGATTTAATCTATTTGTATAAACTAAATAGGAAGTATCATAATACATAAAACGGATCAATATAGTAATAGCAATTTTGAGAGGATATATAAAAGTATTATAAATCTATTATTATCAGGGTACGAAATAATATAACAGAATACATTTCGCGCATCGGTTGTTTCTAATATTAACATGCTTTCATATTCCCTTTTCATTCAATAAAGTAGGAGTATAATAACTGAATGTTACAATATCAAGGAGCGATCTTTTGAAGGAACATTGTCGTTTCTACATGATTCACTATTGAAAATATAAGATTGTGAAATATTTATAATAAGGATCAACATATTATCAGAATCATTCTGATCAGAATATATTTCTATTAAAAATTTTAATGCAATACACTTCTTGTTCATAGGACAAAAGGATCTCAAATTAGTTAGGATAGAATGCGAATGTGAGTAGGCAAAGTTTGTTTCCGCTTGCGTAATTCCTGGTTAAGGAAAGTAACCATTCAGGAATGAGTTTCGATTTTTGGGAAATCCAATGTCCATTCCGCTCCACAAACAAAAATTTCATCATACAACACACACACTCTTTACCTGGTACTGCTCACTCTCATTCGGACTGCTGCTGATTCATCATCCATTGATTTTGAATTCTTCTTCTTTGTTCTGTTATTATTATTGAATATACACTTACACATCTCTTCTTCGGGAATCATGACGACGAACAATAGTAGTCATCATCACACACAAGAAGAAGAAGAACATTTGATTTCATCATCAGGTAGTAGTATTACTACTCATGATTCCAACTCGGAGGTTGTTGTTGTTGGTGGATCATCACCACCATTAGCATTGTCGAAGAGTCTTACAATTCCTCAACAACCAACCTCTCCTCCTCCTCCTCCTCCTCATCATCAGCAACAAGATCCTACAACTACTTCAACGAACATCCTTCAAACAGCATTACCTCCATTCTTTACACCCGTTCAAGTCCATCCCTATTCTTCTCCTGTCATTCACTATGATCGTCATTCATCCATCATTCTCACTTGTAAATACACACCTCAAAATAACAACAACATGTTGTCGAGTCGTTTAGCATCATCACTGGATATCGACTCCACTGTGTATTGTGTGAAGGTTTCCTTAAATATAGGATCCATCTCTCAATTAGAAAATGATGTTGAGATTTCAAACTATTTAAATAAGGAAGAACATTTCAAGTCTACAACAACAACAACAACCACCACCACCACCACCCCCTCATCATCAACCACCACCCCATTCCTATTGGCTCCCAAAATATTTGCTTATTTGAGTGATTATTTTATTTTGGTGAGGGAATGGATTCATGGAGAAACCTTTCGATCTTGGATGGATCATCCTAAAATGGAGGAGGAATTATTGTCTTCTTTGGGTCAATCTCCATTATTATTGTCTGCTTCTTCTTTAGATCATCCTCAATTATCTTTAGAAGAAGATCAGATGCATTCAATTCATCCAAGTACTACTACTACTAGGACGACGACGACGACGACGACGATTATTCAGAAGAAGATTGAATCATCCTCTCCTCACTCCTCCATGTTGTTGAATCCTCTTGCAATGATGAATTTTAAAATTCCATCTTTAATCACCATTCTAGAAATGGCCATTGAGGCTTGTCATGTTCTTGATCAAATTCATTCTCTGAGAGTGTGTCATTGTGATATTCGACCTGAAAATTTCATGTTTGATCATGAACATTCTTGTGTGAGATTGATTGATTTTGGACTCTCTTGTTTTTTACCACTTGATCATCCTTTCATTTACACGGATCGACCGAAAGGTTGTTACAAGTACATGTCACCAGAAGCCACTGGAAAGATACCAAAACCAATGGGATTTCACAGTGATATTTATAGTTTTGGTTTTGTGTTATTTGAAATGATTGCAAAGGAACATCCATTTGGTAACAAACTCAAGAATAACGATTACATGTATTGTCATGTGACTCTTGTTCCAGAATTATTAATTACTAATTTATCAAAAAGAGGAATCTTACAATCATCATTCTCTCAACAAGTACAATCATTTAACTCTTCCTCTCAACAAGTACAATCATCATTATTGAATCAACAACAATCATCCTCATCATTATTGAATCAACAACAATCATCTCAAGAACAATCATCCTCATCATCATTATTGAATCATGTCATTTCTGCCATTTCTCTTGTCATTGCTAAAATGGTACAAAAATCCATTGAAAAGAGATATCTCAGTATGGATGGAGTGAAACAAGATTTATCCTTTATTTTGAAATGTTTGAATTTAAATGATTCTGTGAGTTTAACTAAATTTACACCTGGACAATTCGATATTCAAACGACTATGAAAATACCCTATGTGGTGTATGGAAGAGAAGATGTCATTACGAACATGACATGTGTTTTGAATGAAATGATTGATTCACAATCTCCTAAAGCGATCTTCATTTCAGGTCATAGTGGTATTGGTAAGTGGTGAGAGTGGTGTTGTTGTATATATGCTATGATGAACTATTTCTATAATTGGATAAATATTATTCATTCATTGATGGAATTTGAATTCATTGATCATAATATTACGTTATATTATGCATAATATTATGTATGCATGGTGAAAATTAATGATGGATGTATATTATTCAATGTGATATAATGAACTATTATAATTCATAATGTCATGATTTAATGAACTATTATAATTCATAATGTCATGATATAAACACACTCACACACACACATATTAGGTAAATCTTGTGTGGTGAGAGAATTTAGAAATAAGGCAAAACAAGATGTTTTATATTTTGAAGCAAAATATGATCAAAATCATAACATACCCTTCTTTGCTATCAAAACCATTGTCAGTGCAATAACAGAGTCATCTTTAGGAGAATCTGAATTATTCATTCAAGAATTTAGAGAACAATTGGTGTCTGATCTTAGTCCTAGTCAAATAGACATGATTTGTGATGCCATTCCAACTCTCTCTTTACTTTTCTTTTCATTTCAAAAACGTCCAACGACTCTGAAAGATCATGAAAGTATGAAAGAATTTTCAGAATCGAGTAAGTTCGAGAAATAATAGTAATAATTTATATCCACTCAACACTCTATTTTTGAATACTCTATTGAACACCCAATTCATCTCATGACCATCATTACCACACATACTACCACACATACTACCACACATACTACAATCACTACCACACATACTACCATCACTACAATGAACTCATCTTTTATTCAACACACACTTTACCATCACTACAATGAACTCGTGTGTGGTCTTTTAGTCATTCATCTCTTACGAGTGTACACTCAAATGAAACAAAAGAATCTTTGCATTTTTCTTGATGATTTACAATGGGCAGACTTTGAAAGTTTAAATTTACTAAAACAAGTTCTGGGATTGAGTGAAACCTTTCCATTCCTTTTGATTGGAGCTTTTAGAAATAATGAAATTTCTAACAATTCTCTTCATCCTCTCAATATATTTATTGAATCAATCAAAATGAAAAATCAATCCATCACAACAGAAATTGAATTAAAAGAATTAACAGAACAAGATTGTAATTTATTAGTTGCTGAGAGTGTTCACAGAACTCTCTCTGATACCTCCAATCTGACATTTATTTTATATTCCAAAACAAAAGGAAATCCATTCTTCTTGAAACAATTACTCGTTACACTCTTTCAAGAAGGAAAAATATTCTTTGACAAGTCTCTTCGTCAAATCTCATGGAATTTAGAAGAAATTGAGAATGTACAATATACTCAGAATGTGGTTGAATTTTTATTACTAAAATTAGAAAATATGGAACCAATGACAAAAAAAGCATTAGCTTATGCCTCTTGTATTGGTTATTTATTTGTATTTCATGAACTTTTAGAACTCTTTCCTGAAGAAGAGAAACATCAGTTGAAGGATTGTGCAATCAGTCAAGCCATTGAGGAAGGATGGATTAGTTATGTGGATGATGGAAAGACTTTGAAATTTAATCATGATCGGTAGGTGTTGTTGTTATTTGTATTCATTATTAACTCTATTATGACTTGTTCATATTTGTAATTAACACTTCATGAATGACTGTTACTCTATTTGTAATTATTCATTATTAACTCTATTATGACTTGTTCATATTTGTAATTAACACTTCATGATTTTGGTATTCTTGTTATATTAATATATTCATCATCATCATGAATCCTCACACTCTCATTCTATTAATTGATTTCAACATTTGATGAGTCACTACAGATTACAACAAGCAGCCAATGAATCTCTCTCGGATCAAACAAAATCTCTCATTCATTACAAATTTGGTAAATTTCGACTCGGACAAGTGGAGAATGGAGAAATTCTTTTGGATGATTTTATCTTTGAAATTGTTAATCATTTGAATCATCGATCTCATGATCCTAAACTCTTACAAAATACAGACAAGAGAAGATATTTATTGAATCTTAACAAATTAGCAGCCAAGAAAGCAGTGAATACATGTGCTACTGAACAAGCTCAAGTATTTGTTCGAACTGCTTTTGATTTACTAAATATGGAAAATGAAATCTCCACACTCTACAACACTGCTTTTGAATTATTAATGATTCAAGGTCATGTTGAATATGCGAATAATCATGTGGATGATGCCATTCAAATCTTTCATTCTGCCATTCACAAAGCCATGACCAAACATCATTTATTCGAAGCATGTTATCATGCCATTACAGCATACTTGTCTCAAAGCAAGTATGAACAAGTGTATCAAGTATTGTATGATCATGTCTTTACATCGTATGAAGAATTGTATTTTTTACATGATCAAGACTCCACCACAAACCCAATCACCACCACTCTGACCACTCTTCATGAGAAAGTCAATGATGATTTAAAATCCACTCACACCATTATTATGGCCAACATCACTCATTCAGAATATTTAAAACATCATCTCGATCACAAAATGTCACAAATGAAACAACAATTCATTCAACAACCACTCAACAAGAATGATCTATTAGAAATGATCGAAATGAAAGATCCTGAAAGTATCTATCTCGTTCATTTAATTGCTCAATCTGCTCCTGCTGTGTATCACATCAACAAACCAAATGCTAAATTGGAAATGCTCCTCATGCTCTTAATTGGTACTGAAATTGTACTAAAAAAGGGTTTGTGTCCATTAGCACCACTCATTCTCTGTCAAGTGGGAGCCATGTGGTGTCTACATGATTTCTATCCTCCAATTCATGTACTTGTTGAAGCAGGTGTGGAATTGGCTCGAAATCGATTCAAGAATTTACATCATTTGGCAAGTTGTTTACTTTTAAAGGAAATGTGTTATTTCATCTTTCCAAATATTAATGCAATAGAAGTCTGGAATATTACTGAAGAGGCATTTCTATTAGCCATTCAATCGAATAACAAATCCTTTGGAGGTTTCTCAATATTGTGGTATCCTTTTCATCACTTTTTTTATACTCGATCGAATATAAAAACATCGATCGAATTGAGTAAGAAGAGTATGGAATGGTATCGACAGGTTGGAAATTACATGTTACTCGATGCCAGTCAAATGATTTTAGAAATGAAGAGAGTATTGAGTGGAGAGAGAGAAACCTTTGATCCCTCTTATTGTCAATCACAAGTGATTGAATATCCATTCTTTAGACAAATGCATTACATGTTGAAAGGAATTACTTGTTATTTTCAACAGAATTATGAACAAGCATTTTATTGTATGGAAAAGTCATTTGAATATCGACAAGATTCTGCTTGTTTGTGTTCCACATGGATTGATATTGTCTTTCAGGGACTTGTAGCATGTGCCTATCAGAAACAATTATTGAATCAACAACAACCACCACATCAACAATCACCACATCAACCACAGCAACAAGAACAGCAACCACCACAAGAGCAACAACAGTCAACTTGGAACACTTGTCTACTGTTGTTGGAACAATCATCATCCATTCAAGAATTAATTCAAAAATGTCAAGTATTGATTGATTATTCTTTAAAAATGTTAGAACAAGTCTCACAATCAAATCCTCTCGTTTTTCAATGTTCTCTTGAATTAATCAAAGCAGAACATTTACATTGTCGATCTTTGAGATATGGTGAAGAGAATTCAAGAAGTATCATTAGTGGTTTGAATAAGAGTTTAAAACTAGCCATTCGAGATCGACATTATTTGATTGCTAAAATTGTAAATTTAAAGATTGGAGAACTTTACAAATCATTGGAAATGGATGATTACATTTCTGGAAGTTACTTTTCAAAAGCATATGATCAATTTTAAGAAATGGGTCTATCCATTGTTATGGATTATATTTGGGATCATTATCGATATCAAATTGAAGAATACAATCGAGAGACTTTATCTCAAAAGATGAATGTTGGATCCGAATTGTACAACACCACCACCACCACCACCACTACGAGTGCTAATACTACTACGAGTGCATCGGTTCAGAGTTCCTCATCTTCGGATCCATACTCGACTTGTTATTTACAGGAACAACAACAACTCTCTCTCAGTGCAATCACTAAAAGTAGAATTGCAGAACAATCTGAATTGGATTTTAAGGAAATATTTATATCGATTTTACCTTTATTGAGTGAACATACCGATGCCAATCGATGTTGTTTACTCTTGAAGAGAGATTCCAAGATTTATTTAGATGCAGAATATCATGCTGATCTTTATGATCATTTTGATTCAAATGAAATGAATATCATCACTAGTAGTAGTAGTAGTAGTCTAAATCTACATACTCCTTCTCCATCAACGAATACTATTATTAGTACAACTAATAATAGTAATACTACAACACCTAATAGTACTATTACTACAACTAATAATAATACTAATAATACCACTGCAACTCCTTCACCAACGACTAATATCTCTCCTCCCACTCCTCCTCAAAATTCACAAAAAACACTCTCGACATTCATGAATCATGAATTATTGATTGACAAATTGTCAGATCGTCTTCCATTGAAACTCATTTATCGAACACTTCGAACTCGAATGGAACAAAAGAATTCTTTACAAGAAGGATCTGATGAATCTTATTTCACAAAGAATCATCGAGTAGCCTCTGCATTGTGTATTCCAATTATTAGAGATAAGAGTGTATTGGGTTGTGTTTATTTGGAAAATAGAGAAACAGAAGGTGTATTTACAGTAGATAAGATTTCTATTGCCAAATTAATCATTTCTATTAGTATTGATAATGCAACTATATTTAATGCAATTAACAAATCCTATGCTAGATTTCTTCCATCTGAATTTCTCAAATTATTAGGAAAGAGTCATGTCACAAAGATTCGACTCGGAGATGCCATTTCAAGAGAAATGACTGTTCTCTTTTCAGATATTTATGGTTTTACAGATTTGATGGAAAAATTTTCAGCAAAAGAAGGATTTCGTTTTATTAACAAATTACTCTTGAAGGTGAGTGTTTATGAATGTTGTTGTTTGAGTTATATTCTTATTACTCTTGAAGGTGAGTGTTTATGAGTGTTGTTTATGAGTGGTGTTGTTTGAGTTATATTCTTATTCCAATAATGGTGGAATACTTGGGAATACTTGGATCATCCTATTCTTATTCCAATAATGGGGAAATACTTGTTGAATACAATTCTAGATTGCTCCTCCCATTAGTAAAAATGGTGGATTCATTGACAAGATCTTGGGTGATGGTATTATGGCTCTCTTTACAGATCCTCAATCTGCTGTCAAGGCAGCACTTGAAATGATTTCTCAACTTGAAGTTTTCAATAAGGAAAATATTATTAATATCAAATTAGGAATTGGAGTATCAAATGGTATGGTGAGTTTGGGTACAATAGGATATGAAGAACGATTGGATGCCACTGTCATTTCAGATACAACCAATGGTAAGTTAAAGACAATTTCAAGAAGGATGACATTCTGATGATCCTACAATGTTAATATATTCAATTTTATATTATGAACCATTTTAAAAATTAATAATGATGATGATTCTATTCTTGATTCAACAACACTCTAAATCCATTTTTGATTCTATTCTTGATTCTATTCTTGATTCTATTCTTGATTCTATTCTTGATTCAACAACACTCTAGTTGCCTCTCGTTGTGAAAGTCTTTCTCGTAATTTCAAATCTAGAATTATTGTCACTGAAGGGATTGTTCATTCCATTGGTCAAAATGATCCATCCAGTACTTGTATTATTTATCTTGGAAGATTTATTTTGAAAGGAAAACAGGTCTATAAAGATCTCTATGATGTTCGAGGAAAGTATTGGCAGAATGTCATTTCCGATTATGAACAATCCATCCTCTCAGAAATTGTCAATTTGTTTCAACATGGAAAATTTGACAAGTGTTTGCATTTAGCAAAAGAAACAATTCAACACACAGATCATCCATTTGTATCAGCCATGTGTGGATTGTATGCACAATCATGTGATATTTATCAACATTGTCGATTACCAGAACATTGGACAGGAGAAATACGTCTAAGTAAGGATGGAGAACCAAAACCTTACTATTTGGATGATCAATAATATAAAGCAATTATAGTACTAGTTTTTAGTGATGAAATACATTTAGTGATGAATTACTTTTAGTGATGAAAATATATATGAATTTAGTGATGACATGGAAATTATTTTAATTTATTTGAGATCATTTTGAGGATGATCATCTTCTGTGTGTGAATAATAATACACTTCACTTGACCATACATCCCGAATATGGAACATCAAACAATTGTCTTGCACTACAAAATCCATTCACAACAATATCAATGACCTTATTCAAGCTTGAATTATAAAACAATACTTTCAAATTGGTTTTCAAATCCTTAAATTCCACTCCCTTTTGTTTCTCCATTTCCTCATCCATGAATTGCTTTAATTTTGAATGTATGGATTTGGCTCTCACACAAGGACAAAAATTGTCACATTTGGGTCCATTACTATGCATGGCAATTGGAATTCTCTCTGGAATTTCCTTATTACTGACATGACAATACGTCTCATTTACCACTCGAATATGATCACATGCCAAATAGGTAGGAAGTCCCATTGCTGTCCTACAATCACCCAAAACAGGATAATGTGACGACTTTGAAACGTACATGATCTGAACTGCTGCTTGATCATCGTTGTGAATGTAATTTGGATTTTCAACCATTGCAAATGCAGCTTGCAAATACATTTTCACATCTCGTTTTCTTCCGACATACATGCCAGAGTTTAAATATTGGAAACCAGAATTGGGAGGACAATAGGATGGGTTTTTGGGATAGTTTTCCGTGTAGTTCTTTTGGAGAAAGGTCATGTCTAAATTCTATTTATTATTAGAAACCATGTTTCATAAAAGTAATAACGAATTAAAAATTACCTGAAACGTGAACAAAATCTTACCTTAATTCCGTTAAAAAGTGAAATGGGTGGCCATTTGTTCTTCTCAGAATTGAAAAGGAGAGGCCAATGAGTATTTTCGGTATCAAATTGTTCATCCTTCAAATATTCGTAATAAATGTCTTTGATGTGTTGGACATTGCCATTGAAAGTGACATCCAGACCATCGCTAAAGAACACAAAATCATCTTCTTGAATGTAATTGGAGGCTTCACTCTTTAGAAATTGATCCAAAATGAGGTACTTTCTCCAATGACCTGAATTAGTATTTGTGTAAATATCACATGTCACCTGTTTGAGGTTTTCAATATTCACCATTACTTACCGTAATCACCTGGACGATCTTCTTGTCCAATAATCGTTGGAAACGTCTCCACTACGACTCCTTGAGAAGATTCTTCAGTCATTCCCAATAACAAATTGTAACTGAAATAACTTTGTAAATACACTCCACATAAAGCACCCACTCCCCACGTCGATTCATAATTTCCTCCATGTTCTATTTTAACATTAGTAAAAAAAGTGATGGGAAAGACTCGTTGTTGTCTTCTCTTCCCTTCGAGAGACCTCTGTGAGAGTTTGTCATTAATTAATGTCGAAGAAGAGTTACATGTTTCACATGGCAAAGGATTTGAACGAAGAATCAAACTATCGGCAAGATGTCCATTTTTCAGTTGTTGATGTTGAACCACTATTTGAAAGACGATGGTGACCCCAAGAAGAATAATGCCTCCAAGAAGAAGAAGGAGTCTTCGATTCTCAAAGAATCTCATAGGAAGGTCGATGAAAGACAAAGAAAATGTTTTTTTAATATTGTTTTGCGAAAAAAAATCGAAAACGACTTGCTCAAATTCGGTCAACCCTCATTTTTGGACTTGTTTCTTCCCGATTTTGCTTGATGTTGACGAGATTCGATGTTGTGCAACAAATTTTACATACAAAAAGAAAAAGCTCTCGGAAGGCCTCCACATTCAGGTAAATCAAAACACCTCTCTGTGTTAAGATTTATTGATATCATATTCAGTGAATACAATACTGTTAATTATGCAGAAGTACGTCAAATAGTTAAAGATTATAATCAATTTCCGTATCTCAGCTCTCCAAAATAACGACTAAATATTTGTTCTGAAGTTTGAAATTTGTACAAACATTGCAAACTCCGAAAAAGATGTGAATTAGAAGTATTGGTATTTAAAATACTATATCATCTTTAATCTTATATCAAACATTTAATATCCTAATCAAATAATAATAATATATTACTATCAAACATTTAATATAGCACATTAAGAAGTCCACAATCGAATAGTCTTATCACTTCCAGCAGTAAAGATCCATGGTTGAATGGGATGGAATTTACAATCCAAGACACCCAAATGAGAACGTTTTCGATGTCCACGTAGAATCTTGACAGGAACAATCATGGTCTCTTTGGTCCAATCTTCAGGATAGACTTGTCCATGGAATACATTGCATGTAGTATCATCACTACATGTTGCAAATAGAGGATATCTCTTGTGGAAATCTACACATCGAATGGCACGTGAATGGAATCTCATCGTCTTGTAAGGATGTGAAGAGATGGCCAAATCAAACCATTCCATTCTCTCATCAAATCCACCAATCAATACATGTTCACCACTTGGATGAATAGCAATCGATGAAACATAATTACATTTCTGTCCTTTCAATTTCTTTGAAAGTCTTTGTGATTGTAAATTATAAATTCTCACCATGGATGTACTCACAACATAAAAGTGAGGTTTCTTTGGATGAAATAAAACTCGAATGAATTTCTGAGAAGAGTTTCGAACCTTGACATTTTCTTTGAATACTTTTTGTGAAGAACGATGAGATAATTGATGAATGAGAACACCCTGAGAGTATGAATTGGGTGCCAATGATGCAAAGTAATCTCCTTTTTGATGCCATGTCACTTGAGTCACTCGAGATTTGTGAATAATTTGACACATGATACCATCTTTTCTTTTCTGAAGTGTGGATGCTGAAGTATTGTTGTTGTTGCTATTACGATAGAATTTCCAAGTGACCAATTTGATTTTACGACCCTTTCGACTCTTACTTTCAATGTCACGTTCTTCTTCTTCATCTTTTTCTTCATTTGTTTCAGTAGTACTAGTGGAATTGGTAGTCGTTGAATCCTGTTCTTCTTCTTCATCAGAAATGTCATACTCTTCATCCTCATTTTCAAATCCCTTCTGAGGGAATAATTCTTCAGTCAATTCATTAGTAATTTCATTTCCACTCTCTTCAGGTTGAATCAAAAACACTGAACTACCCACAGCCACAGCAAATAAATTAAGTTTAGCATTGGGATTCCATTCAACCCATTTTGGAACATTTTCAATATTACCATCAATACCCACACGTTGAGGTTTCTTTTGGGTGGATTTCTTGGAATCTTCTGAGGTGGTGGTGTTATTATTGTTAGGATCATTGACCTCAGTCGTAGTCGTATCAGTAGCACCAGTCGTAGCACCATTATTATCAACCATCGTAGCACCAGTCGTAGCACCAGCCGTCTGGTTAGGCTCATTCGTGGTGGTATTGTAATGCAAAAAATTCCAAACACGCCTACAACGGCCAGTCTCTACTTCCCACAATCGTACCGTTCCATCTTCATCGGAACATGAGACTAACCATTTACCAGTTGGATCCACGCTAATACTTCTCACCATGCCTTCATGTCCTTCATAAATAAGTGATTGTATTTCTGGATATGGTCTCAATTGTTCAGGACGAGGTAATTGAGGAAGTAAAGTATCTGGATCTTCAATGTATTTCTTTTTAGTAGGTTGAACACGAGGTGCCAAATATAAATCCATACATCGTTCAAAACGTTCTTGGATAAACTTGTCATAGACTGGAACACTTCTCAATGATTCATAAATCTTGTATTTGAATTCCTTTCCTTCTTTAGCCTTTTCAGGAATATATTCAGGTGGTGGATTATAGGACAAGTTATGACCTGGTAATTTCTCTTTGGGTGGAGGTAAAATACCAATTCGAGAAATTTTCTCACCAATAATTTGTCCATCATCTCCCCACATTAAATACACAGATTCTTTCTTCTGTTTCTCTTTGGTTTGATTCATGAGAGCAGGATTTCTCTTAAATCTCAATGCAATCTTTGAAATTAATTTTCTCTCTGATTTATCAGGTAAGAAATGTTCCTTAGGAACTGGATTACCATATAAAGGAAAACGAGAGTCTAACTTGACATATTCAACATAATCCTTGTATGGATCGTATCCAGGTGGGAATTGTCCTTTAATTCCAACATTGATAATAGTCTCCAAATCTTGATTCGATAATACGTGTTCTCGATCATTAATTTCATCATAGACAGTTCTTAAATAATTTGGATCATCATGTTTAGCAATTAAATGATCCAATGCATCTTTTTGTTTTCTTTTTAAGATTCTATTTCCATTTCTGTCATAACCAATATGGTCATATTCTTCATACCATTCCAATGGAACATTACCAATGGTATTGATCATGGATTCGTCTTCAGAAGAGTCATCACTGTCATGAACATCATCAAAGAGTGATTTCTTAGTATTCTTCTCTTTAGACTTTTCTATATTGGAAGTAGTAGAATTGGTACTTTGAGATGACTTGGCAAGTTTCGACCTTTCATACCAACTCAAAGGCTTTTCATCATTAATAGAAGAGAGATTGGTGAAACTCTCAAAGACTTTGACATCCTCTTCATCACTATCATTCGTATGTTGGAATAGTTCCTCCTCTTCATCACCTTCTTCCTCTCTTTCAATATCTTCTTCATCATCACTCAGATAGACATCATCCTCTTCATCATCATCAGTACTGTTGTTATTACTCACTGATGAAGAGGTATTCGAAGAAGAAGAAGATTTGGTGTTTCGTTGTTGTGGTCGATAGGAAGATGCCTCTGAAGACTCATCCTCCGAAGAAGCAGATTCTTGTACAGCTAGTTCTTCTTCGTTATCATCATCTTCAAATTCAACTTGAGGTAAATCTTTGATGGAAGATGCTGTTTTCGTGAATCCGTATCGTTCTGGATTTTTCTTCACCAGAGAGTCGGAATCATCAAGAGGATTGGTTGTTGTTGTTGAGGTGGTGTTGGTCTCTGATTTTGCTTGTTGGAGTTTTCTCTTCATTTTTTTTGTCGAACTTGTTGTTGAGTAAAATTTTCTCAACAAACAACTTGAAGAGCTCCTTTTAAAACGACTTGGCCATGTACACTTACTCTATTGCAAGACGTGTACAAATGTCATTTGCTACATGTTAGATCTAGATACTTAATTTCAACATGTTCCACTTGAGACGAACAAATAGAAGACAGTTAAAACGACACTGTCCAATAATGAAGGGCATGAACTTGGCACTCCACGACCGAACGGGGGAAGAGGTTTTTTTGGAACCAAAATTGAAAAAATTATCTCGTTTCAGCTGGAGCCCAAAATTCCATCATCATTATTGGTTCATTCCTCTCAGACCCATTATTACAGATCTTTTGACCATCACCATCATCCTATTATTACTATCATCACTTGAACCACTTTGAAAATGTTCAATTGGCCATCCATGTTTCAAAACAACAAACATGATTCAAACTCTCTTTCGGAGCTCAACAAATTACAAACCACAACCACCAACTCCAATCACACCACCACAACCACCACCACTACTACTACGACTAGTACGACTGCCATGAACAACAACAACAACCACCACCACCACCACCACAACAACAACACCAGAGAGACTACTCTTCTTGCTGACCATGACGATCATGACTTTGAACTCATCCATCGCTCTTCCTTATTGTCAAAATCTACTACAACTGCAACCACTACATCCACTCCAACTACAACCACTTTAACTCCTCCTCCTCCTAATAAGGAAGCAGAAGAAGAAGAAGAAGACTCTTCCTCTCATATCCATCTAATCATTCTCATTGCTGGTATGGGTGCAAGAAAGAATCATCCATTAGGTGAATCTATTTTAATTCCAGCTGGTAAATGGTTTGATATTCACAAGTGTCAAATGGCCATGAAAGAATCCATTCATAATCTTTACAATCAATATGCATCGAATCAAGTGAAATCTCAATCACCTCATATTATTGTGAAATCTATTGATTATTGTTCAACAGTGAGAGAAGAAGGTGGTTATAGTGAAAAGTTAAATTTAGTAACCATGAAATCAGGTGCACAATTATTGAGAACCATCGCCAATGAGAGTATGATTGATGTATTAATGTATAATAGTGAAAAGATTAAGAAACAAATGCAACAGGTGGCATTGAAACAAATTAATGAAATTTTGGATGAAATGGAAGGATTACCTGTGAAAACTATTTCCATTGTTGGGCATTCCCTTGGATCTGTTTTGGCATTTGACATTTTATATCAACATCAACTCTCTGAGAATACTTTATTGAAACGAACACCAACACATTGTTTTTTATTGGGGTAAGTGTGGAGTGTAGAACGACAATCATGAAAGATCATTACTACAAAATGACAATATTTTATTTTAATATTTGTATTCTATTGTATATATTATTTTAACCTTTATATATATATAATTGTATATATAATTTTAATCTTATTATAATAGATCTCCACTTGGATTATTCCTCACTATGGACATTCAAACCAATCATAGAGAATTAGAAGCATTCCATTTTGTGAATCCCATTTCAGGTAAAAAACAATTATTAAGAGATTTACCAGTCTATCATTTGTATCATCCTTACGATCCTGTTGCTTATCGTTTAGATCCTCATTTAGATCCTAAATTTGCTAAATTTGATCCATTGAGTTGTAAGTAGTGTGAGTTCATCATTTGAATCATTTGTGAATTTGTATCATAATTCTATTATTGGAAAATTCATTTCTTTAGTGGATTTCTTTAGTAGAAGAGTGAGACCACCCACTCATCCAGTGGTTCAACTGACCAATGCTGTAAGTGATTGTTGAGAATGTGTGTGAATTGGTGTAAATTGATTCAACATTATGTTCAATGATGTCAACACAAATACTATTCAATAATAATTTAAAATGTTTCATCAACATTACAGTTCAATCAAATGTTAGTGACATTGGGAGTTGATACAAACAAAGTTGATGATGAATATCGTGAATTAATTGATCAATATGAAATGTAAGTCATAGATAGGAATTGAATTTTTTATTATTGATTGTATCATTGATTGAATTGATTGAATTGAATTGTAAATTTTGTGTGAAATTATAATTGATCATGCATGAACAGTATTGATCATGCACTTCCTGTCATGTCTGAAATTGTCATTAATGAATACTTGTCAGCAAGTGATGTTCATTTAAAATATTGGAGTAATTATGAAGTTGTTAGTTTTATTTTGGAAAAGTTGAATCTCATTTCGGCAGCAGCAGTGAATGGTTCACAATAAATCCATCATTCGATTGACCTTTTTCAACCGCGTTGCTAACCAATCATAGAAAGATGGTTATTATCCTTCAACAACAATACATTGCTTACCATTGATCATCCTTTTCAACAACAATACATTGCTTACAAATTGGTGGTGGTTGTTGTTGTTACTTGACAATATTCTCTAGGTGGTGCAATTTCAGGAATTTTAAATAAATGAAAACTTGGAGATTCAAATGCCTTCACATCTTCATCACTTAGTTTTTGAAAATGATTCAACACCACTCGATCATCCACCACCTGTGGATCAATATCATAGTGAGTAAAGAATTTTTCTTTCATTTTCTCTAATTGTTGTTCAAAGGTGAGAGGAACTTGAGAATGATGATGATGATGATTGGGTGTTGTTGTTGTTGTTGTTGTGGAATCATCCATCCATAAATCATCCATTATGGAGTTGTGTTGTTGTTGTTGTTGTTGTTTCTCGAGTCGTGTTTTTCGAATCTTTTCATCCACTAGACTTTCATGGCGCTTGGTTCGTTCCATGGCAAATGGATCTGGAACTCGTTGTGCTTGTTTCCATTCTCGTTGCATATCCGTATTGGATGTTTTGTTTAATAGGATTCCATGATGATTCTGTAAATTAGTATTAAAAGAGAATGATCCACCCGATGATGCAAATACACTTGAACCTGGTTTGGAGGTTGTTGAAAATTGAGAAAATCCACTTGTCTGTCCACTACTACTACTACCAAAACCACCACTACCACTACTACCACTACCACCACTACCACTACTACTACCAAAACCACCACTACCAAAACCACCACTACTACTACCACCTAGAGTGGATGCATCCACACGTGTGGTGGTTGAGAATGGTGACTGTGAATAACTAGATTTTCCAAATTGAGCAGAAGAAGGAGTAATTATTTGTGAAAAGGATGACTCGGAAAATGATTTGACATTTGAATTGGGTCGAAGAGAAGAAAAGGAGGATTGTCCGAATTGGTGTTGTTGTTGGTAGTGATGAGGTTTCGATGATGAAAAATTACGAGAGATGTTGTTAGAGTTGAAATTATTCGCATTTCCAAAATTACTCGAGTTAAACTTGGAATTATGATTGTTATTATTTGAATTGTAATTCCGATTGTTGTTATTATTGTTATAATTATTATTGTTATAATTATTATTGTTGTAATTATTATTTCGATTGTTATTATTCGTATTGTTATTATTTCGATTGTTATTGTTTCTTTGATTGTTGTTGTTGTTGTAATAATTCCGATTCTTGTTGTTCATGATGTTGGTTATTTTGTTTTTGAATTACAATTATAAAAAAAATAGTGAAAGCCTATTTTTAAACATGATGAATAATTCCGATTGGAACTACCAGCATTCACAAATCATCGATGACAATGCAAATTTTGCTGCTGGAATGATCCCATCATCATCATCGGATCCCAACTCTCAATTCTATCGTTCCACATTTTTGAACTCTCATTCGAGGCCATCATCATTATATGAAAATCCTCTTTCCTATCCATCATCATCATCTCTATTAGCCTCATCATCCTCACGATTACCACCACAACAACAAGTATCATCTCTCGTTCCAAGTTACGACCAACAAATTCCACCTTCTTATTATCAATTACATAATTCACTGTATAGAGATCGATCACAAGTATTTAATAATTCATTTGGAGAAGAAATTAATAATAATCGAATAACGAGTTATAAATCATCCTATCCTCGAAGTGGAGGAATTCAAAGTTTATTATCTCATTACAATCCACTCATTCATTTCTTTAAAGATTCTTCCGATTTGAAACATAAAATATTATTATTATTATATTTTATGATTGGTGTATTTGTGACCATGATGTCACTCTTTGGGAGAAATGTATTTTACAACAATAAGATTGGAAAAGAATGGAAACTATTTAAAATAGTACAAGATTTTATTAAACAATATTTATTTGGTGGCAACATGAGTAGTAATAGTCATTCAATGAATCAGTTTGATTTAAATTCTAATAATTCCAACACTAATACGACTGATTTGAAAAAACTTCAACACTCAAAAACTCTCTTATCTAAATATGAAGAAGAATATTATGATTTTTATAAATCCTATTTAGAGAAACAAGAAAAGAAAAAGAAGGCAAAACATTCTCGATTACTTTCAGCAAGTATTGAAAAATATTGCTCACAGTTCAACACTATGAATCAGAGTGGCGATCAAGAGTTGAAAAGTGAACAGAGATAGAAGAAGGTTTTAATGATGATGATACTGTCAGGATATATTTGAAGAGATTCATTAGAGATTTCTCATGGTCAAGTGCACTACTCACTGTCAACACAATCTCTAAAAGAGTGATACATTTATGATTAACAAGAAGAATGGTCAAATGGAAAGGTCAAGATTCTTCAAAATGTGAAAAAGAGGACATGTTGAAACTCTTATTTACAAACTTTTTGTACATCAAAATGGTCATCCAATCACGATTTGATATTCTCTAAATTTACAGAATGTTTACAGACGAGAATACACACTCCAAGATCGAATTAACAACAATACCACTTCAGTGTGTGTGAACAGAGAAGCATATTATTCATCCAATTGAACTCTTCTGGTTAGAACCTTCTCTTCCGAATGAGCCAACTTTGGTAATACAATTTCTAATTCATCATTTTCTAATCTTGCCCTTGCACCTTTTGTGTCAATATATTTTGGTAAATGAATTTTCTTTGTGAATGGACCCGAGTGATCAATGGAATCACTGGTTTTAATATCACCGGAAACAGTCAAAATGTGATGAACATCATCCATATCAATAATGAGATCTCGTTTCAATAAACCTTGTACTGCAAATCTCAGAATGACACTTGTTTCAGTGTGAGTGATGGTCATTGGAGGTGTTTT